AAAAGAATACTTTAGTTTTGTTTGATCAAATTATTTGTTCGGTTTTAAGGTTCACATGAAAACTGTAAACTTTCACGTTTTTTCTAGGTTGAAAAATAATTTTTGTCTTTTTTCGTAAAAGGCCTAATTCTTTGACCTTTTTTTAATCAAATGTAAAAAAAAGGGTCATAACTCTCATGATTTTATTTCAAGTGACAAAACGTTTTGCTTACGAAATGGCAGATCTTAAGTACTTGTCGACGAAGTGTTAATGACCCCATATTCACACTTTTTTTTTCTTGACAATTATTTCAAAGTATCCCTAATTTTTTTATATTAAATACTCGCAATAAAAAGAAGATGAGCCCCATCCCTCAGGGTTACTCAGACCCGACCGAACGATCACTGAAAGAAGATAAATTAGACTTTGATCGAAGATTGGTGGTAGAGAGTAGATGCTTGCACTAAAATCAAGCCTCCTCATTTTAGGAGTCGTTCCAGCTTTGCTCCCATATTGACTGGTTCTTGGAACTTTGCATCCTTGCCTAGACATGTAGGGCGATCTGGAACGCGAGGAACAAGGCAGTTTGGGAGCAGGAAGTACCATTGTCTAACATGACACATCACACATCATCTTATATTGGACCGAAAGTGTGTCAATGGGTGAGCGTTGCATAGTTGGCAATGTAAAGTAGTGCACACGAGGTAACACTTGAGTTCGGTTCTTAGCCACTATTGTGAGAGACAACTATGATAAGCATATGCTCTCTACAAGTATGAATTGTGAACTCCATCTTTAATCACCGATCTTTAATTAAATATTATTGTATCTCCCCTCAACTAAGTATCTTCCCGGCTTTGAGGAGTCCTTAGAATGGAGTTCATCTTTTTTTCTCTGATTGACAAACGTTGATCTGTATTCTCAAAAGGCGGGAACTTTAACTGCTCGTCTTATCTAGGCTCGTTTGTGGATGATTGTTTGAGTCTTTTGTTGTACTTTGGTTGGTAGTGTTCTACTAAGCCTTTTCGATATGGGGTGTTTCCACCTCCCTATGACCAGCCCATCACGCCACTCTTCTCATATCATACCAGGCGTGAAGTGAAGTGGTGTTGCACGTGCGATAGCCATTCCGCCGTGGTAAGCTTCTTTCTTTTTTGTTTTTGTTTCAGCAATCAAAATTTAATACATATTCACCATAAGCAATCAAAATAATTCCCATCTTTACACCATCACATTTTTATCACACCCTCCTTTTGAACCTCATAACACATTTTTTACTCGTACTCAATCGCTTACAGGGCGCCTGCATAGCACTTCATCAAGCTCGTCAAGCCCGCCATAACACATAGTCTTATATATTCATGGTTCGAGTAACACAAAGGGTGACTCGAGGTGGGGCTCAACCAAGTTCATGGCATGTTATTCCACCAAACTTGTATTACCACTTTTGGTCCTTAATTGAGGTTTTGTTACTCCCTTCTACCCAAAAAAAATTCTTTGTTTTCTTTTCGGAATGTCCCAAAAAAATATTTCTTTCTTTTTATAGAAAAATTTGAGTGGTTCATAATATTTCTCTCTTTTATGCTTCACTTTCAAGAATAGATTTTTATTTTTCTTAAACTTTGTGTAAACTGAAACTGTAATTTTTTTGGAACGGATATTTTTTTTTTAAATACCATGGTAAGTGGAAGATTACCGACCTGTCGTGTAATCCAAGAAAGTGGAGATCTGGTCCTGGTGTTGGGCAAGGCGGAAAGTGGCGGAGGACGGCAGCTGCCCGGCGGGTCCGATCGAATAGATCACCCGGTCAGACGGACGATCGGCGATCAGCCGGAAAGCCATGTAGATTCTCGAATCATCGGCGACGACGGAGGAGCTCCGGTTAACCAGCAGAAGCGTACCCTGATCAGGCTGCACTAGCGAAGGGGACTGCCCGCCGAGATAATACCTCTTCATCGTCGGAGCCCCGCCGTCGCCCACCCACCCCACCACCGCACTGGACCCCACCATCTTCCCGTCCGGCGAAAATCCCATCCCGATGTACGCATTTGCGTTCGGCGCAGACAGCACGAAGCTCCACACGCTCGAATCCGTTCGCTTGTACTGCAAAAACAAAAACAACCATTTCAAGAAACCAATTTAACCAAAAACTTAATCTTGTGCTGAAAGCTCGTGAATTTGTATATATTCTGAGCAATATTTCTTCTGAATTTCTATAATTAACATATGGGTAAGCCATATCAAGAACAAATTCAACTAAAAGTTTAAGCTTGTGTTTGAAGGTAGCTGGAAAACTTACTCGGAGGATGAAGCGGTGGGAGTTCCAGACAGTGAGACAGGTGAAAGAAGAGGGATCAAAGGGGAGTTGGTTCTTGGGGAGGAGATTATTGGAGTTGCAAGAATCTGTAGTGGGTTGGGAATTTGCATTCAACAAGAAATGGAAAGCAAATTGTTGGAGGAGGAAGATGGAGATGGAGAATTTGTGGGTTTTCTTCATTTTTTCTGTCTAGAATTTCAAATTGTGTAGTTGGAGTGAGAAGAGAGAAAATGTGGATTGGGGATGAATGGGAGAGATGATGATGATGATGATGTTGGAGAGAAGAGGTGGTTGACAAGAGTGGTTGTGCTGGTTGTTACTTGTTTGTTAGACTATGAAGATGATGATTGGGAACAACTAATTCATGTCAATCCATGAAGATATAGACACATCTTTCATTCTTACCTCTAACTTGTAAATAAGAAGAAACAGAGGAAATGGTTTTTTGGGAATAGTAACAAATTTACTCCCTTCATCCTCTCTTCATGAACACATAAATATACTACAAGGGAGAAGGGAGAGATCTCGAGTTCGAAGTCAGAGGGCTGTGATACGAAGCACGAAGCCTCACTCATACGCACACTGGCAGAAATTATAACTTAATTTGTTTTTCTCTCAGCTAACTATTCGAATGGTGCCAAAAAGCTCTCGACATTCCAACCAATTTGTGTCAAATATATTTTCTAAATTCTATTTTATCATAGTTTTAGTAGTATTCTTTTTACATACTTTTATTGATTGTTTGGTAAAATAAAATAGTCAAATCACTACTTATTTTACATTTTGCTTTTCAAGTCCACCAATTTTGAAACGGAAAGAATATACTACTACGTACTCCCAAAAGTCCCAATTTTGCATCATTTATTCAGATAAAAGAACTAAAGAGCAAAGTCACCTGGACAGAAAATAATGGATAATTTCCGTACACATTATTTACAGACACCAAGAAATCTTTTGGACCCAACATCCTATATTGACAATGTCACATGCAGTACTAAAATAACCTAATCCTATACTATAAAATCAACCACCCTCCCCCACCCCCAAAATAAAGGAAAGAAACCTGCAGGAAAAAAAACATTACAGAAGGAAAATTTTCTGTGACTGTGCCAAAGAAAATGCAGAGAAAATTTGCAAACTCGGCATGGCCACAGCCGCCGGGGATTTCAGGACGTGTTTGGCAGTAGCGGTTGAGGAAGGATGGAATTTGCGAGCTCTTCGTTTAACTTCACGGGGAGTGGCGGCATCTGCTTCATCGTTTCCGGCATATCTTTCAGGCTGCAGTACACATACAGTTGAAATAAACACAACTATTATGTCCATGAATCTTAATTAGGCAAATCTTACGACTTCAAGATTTTACCGAAGATATGACCTAATACGTGGATAGAGCTATAGGCCCTAGTTTGTTGTAGTTTATGTTGGGGTAAATTTCGCCGGTGGTACTTGAACTTTTGGACGTTTTTTTCAATTAAGTACTTGAACTTCATTTTCTATCAGAAAAATACTTGAACTTTACCAAATCTTTCAAGAAAAAGGTTTTAGTAGATTTCAAGTCATCTACCAGTCATTTTGCTTAGTACACAGACCCTACTTTTATGGGAACTTACTAGGTTTGTTGCTGTTGCTGTTGTATCATGTCTATGGATCCACATTCGGAACAAAATAACTGCAACGAACCAAGCATGAACATTGTTTATAATTTCAATTTCTATTATGCTACATATAGTGCTCCTAACATGCACATGGTTTCCACTTCTAACAGCTTCCATTTTTTTCACTTCCTTTTCTTGTCCGGCTGTATATAGGCCTTATATATGGTTGTTAGAGAAAAAAAACACAATGGGCCTCTTTGGTTGCTATAATAGCTGTGCTAACAGCAGATTATCAGGCAATTTTAAAATCCCATATTTAAAATATAAAAAAATGGTATTGGGTCGCACACACTTTAACAGCAGCATAAATGTCATTCGGAGTATGCAGTAAATATTTATTATACGTACTCATTTAAGATTGAGAGGATATTATTTCGAGTCTGGCAGAAAAGACTGATGTTCTCGTGTATCTGCAATGGAAAGAGAGAGTAATAAGAAAAAAATTTAAGTCTGGCTGGCTTGAAAACAAGAACAAGAAAACATATGTGATGAAGTTTTCTCCATTGGAACTTTGGAAGTGACAACCATGCTTCCATTTAAACAATGTAAAATTCAAAAGCGTTCTCCATTGGAATCCGTTAGCACTAAGTTTTATATCTAAAAGAGAGCACGACTCCATTCAAACCTTGAATGAAGCAAAATTCGTAGAAATCTGGTCCAAGGAATGGGAAATATGTTCGAGGAGCTGTCCAGTGGGGCCACCGATATCTGCAAAGAGACAATGCCCAACAAGAGGTCGTGTTGGATGGGGATTAATAAATGAGCATATGAAAGAAAAGTAATGATATGAATCTCCACTATCCAAAAAACGACCAAATAGCACAAGCAAAGGAAGAGCACGTAGTGATGTAGACAAGAAGCGCATTCCGACACTAACTAGACCCAAAGCATTTTAACTGCACATGCAAAAGTTACAAGCTAAGGTAAAACGCACCAGCAAAAACTACAAACTAAGGTCCAAAGGTCTACCCTACTGCTCTAATCCTAGATCTCATATTCACTCGAAATCTCCAATAAATTATAGACGTAACTTTACTTTAAATCCTAAGAGCCACATCTTTAATGTAAGCTAACCAGAAATAGGGGAATGCACGGTGAATCTTGCAATGATGTCTCATGTAGTCCATTCCCTCACAAATTGGTTAGATATTGAATTATTGATGTGACAAAATCAATTATTTAACCCTAGGTCTTCAACACAAAGGAGAGAGTGAGAGACAAGAGGCTAGGTTTCAATACGCTAGGGGTTTTTGTTTGGATGGAGGGGGATTGGGGGGTTTTTGAAATAAGTCTAAGAACAAATAAATGGTGGTTGAAATGTCATCTGACAACCTGTAAAGTCATTCTGTTTATTCCTTCAATTTTCATAAAATCTCACATATATGTGGATTCATGTAGGGGTAAGGTCTATGTGCACTCACCCTGCCCAGAACCTACTATATGGGATTTTACTTGGTTTATTGTTGTTGATGATGTTGCCACATATATGTGAAGATATATACTCAGCCCTCCAAAACCCTCCATCCAAACTGACCCTAAAGGATCTTCAAGGATCATCACTATGCATTCTTCAAGCAAGTGCTATTCATGCATGTATCACAGATGACTGCAGAGAATGGACACAGAACATACCTTTGTAGGAGATTCCATCATCATTGTCCAATGGTGCTGCTGAATGAGCATAGACAGGGACACTTGTTTGATTTGGAACTTGTGTGGGTTTTGGCACAGACTCAGTAACTTTTTCCTGGAGAAAAACAAGAAGAGAAATAAGCCACTTGCAGATCATGACTAACCACTTGTTGCACACAGACTTCGTACCTTTTTTTCTTTACTTTTCCTCGACGAATTATGATCCTCTTTTCTCCGCTTGCTGTTTTCCTTTTTCTATAACAAAGCAAGAAAACATTCATTCAAATGATACTTTTAACAGTAGCTTATATTGCAGGCCATAAATCCAAAGTGGTTGGGCTATATTTGATTTCTCTGCTTTTAAAACTATCTTGAGCAATTTACTACTACTCCGTAACTACTAAGCAAGAATCTACACTTTTGTGAAATGCCGGTGAACTCTGGACATCCCACTGAAATAGAAAGAAACGGCTCTCAAGGTGGCCCACATAAGCACAAAATTTATGTTTGAGCAGTCCAAAATTAAACCATGTAGGGAACCCAATATACCTAAATATCTAGGCATATAAACTTCACACACAGTGGACATATACATGGGCGTATTAAGGATTTCATAGAGAAAACCACTAACATGATAAAAATGTTGTTTTTTAAAACACAAGCAAAATAATATTCAGTAGTAAAGCATTCAACTCGCGTTCCAACTAGCTTGATGGTGGTGGATATATAATAGATGATACATTTTCACACACATAGAAAGAAAGATAACAAAATCAACATGAAATCAAATGCTTACTGTCATCCATCTACATCTTAGAGCTACATCCCGAACAGTCTTATCGTTTAACTGCATTGCAATTTTCGCATAGCGGACTACATTACTTTCCTTAACATATCTGCAAAAGGTGAATTGCAGAGTCAGCTCAGAGCCTGAATCAAATGTTGGAGCATATATGAAAATATTGCAAGTCAAAGTTGAGAAAAGACAAGCTGAAATATACTAGGGCATTGAAAGGTGACTCCAAAACTAACTAAAAGGCATGGTTTGATGTCTTTTGAAGAAGAGGGCACATGGGAAATTATCAAATCCATTAGATTCTAAGGGGAAAAACAATCTTTTGACCTAATTTGAGGAATCTTGACCTTCAGCAAGATTTATTTTCCTAATTTTCCCCTTTTCCAATGGGACACTTATACACATGGGCTCAAGTAAAGAACCTTTCGTGATTGACTAAGAACTCCCAGACAATTCTCGCCCCCACAGGACCATAACTCAAATCTTTGCAAAAACAAAACCCAAATCTTATCAAATTCACAAAGGGGTGAATCCACATGTAAATTCAGAATGTCAATTCAAAAGTAGATAAAGAAGAGAGCGAAAAATTACTAACGTTGCGAGCAATTCTTCCAGAAGAGACTGTTCCTCGGGAGTCCATTCGACAGATATGCCCGGGTTATGGCGGAGCGCGGCCTGGGTAGGCCCTAACACCGAGTTCTCCGGTACAGACAAGCCATTCACGGAGGCGCCATTCGCGTTGCCCGCCGCCTCCTGGCCGTTGCTACTGTTTTCGTTGCCGCTTCCCGGCGCCGCGTTCGCACTCGCAGCCATCCGAAACAACGAAAAAAAACCAAACAACACAGACAAAATCTCTCAAGTCCGAAACAACGAGGAATTCAAATTGGGTTTCCTTTCGGTAAAACCTCTAATTTCTTTAGCGGGAATTTGGGCGTCCTCTTGGAGGAATTGAGCACAGAGCCAAGCAGATGACGAGAAAATCCACGACCATACGTCCTAATTAGGAAATAGATTTGCCCTCTTTATTTTTGGTAAATGCGAAAATGAGATGATTCGAAGGAATAAAGACATGGGGGGTTTGGGATTATGAGTAGGCATAATCTTATGCTTGTTATTTGCAAAAAATGATGATTTCTCTTTTAACTTTAATTTTCAAATACTAGAGTCACAAATCAAATATTTATAAAATTTATAAATTTACTTTTTTTAAAAAAACTAAATTAAAAGATAAAAAATCATATTCATACATAGTAATTTTGTGAATTTTGTTACCATTTAGTTTATGACTCTAGCATTTATTTAAATCTCCTGACCCTTCATCTGACGTCAATTAAGCCCAATCAAGTGAGGGGGGCTAGAGGCAGATGGGGTGATGGTTTAAAAGTTAACGATTTTATACTATTTTTGTGTATAAGATTGCCCTTCATTGTAGTCCTTTTCTGTATCAATGACGTATTATGTTTCTTCAGATCAATCTTTAGAGAATGAGGTGTGGGTTGTCAAGCGTTAGATGTACACCATATACAATGTTGACGCTGATTTTAATCTTGTCACAGTGAAGGCAAATGACGGGTGATAGTTCGAGATTGTTGTAGCAATTCCATTCAAGAAATACATCATGAGCTTATGAGAAAAAGTTGCTTGATAGTCGAAGCTATGGGAGCAAATGGCTTAAGGAGAACATCATAAATCAACATCTTCCAATTGAGATGGATAACCAAATAGTCTTCATGGCTAGAATGACTTCCTAAAATGGTGTTTATCCCTCTAGCTAACATTTTAACATTTTGAATTAGTATAATGTTGTTTTTAAAAATAAAGAGTGATAGACAATATTGTGTGACCACAATAGTTTAATCCGAATTGCCCAATCAATTATAAACACTAGTCAAATCATGCTCATACATTCTAATTACTCCCTCCGTCCCAAAAAGAATGTTACATTTCATTTTTTGCACATCACAAAAAGCACGGCTACTCACATCTAAAAATTCTAAAATTTAACATATTTACTCTTTATTATAAGATGAAATTGTTTTGAAAGTTTTGTTGGCATTTGAAACAATATAAAAGTGTTTTAAGGGATGCGCAAAAAATGAAATGTAACATTCTTTTTGGGACGGATGGAGTACATTACAAAAAGGAGAGTATGTGCATGTATCAAAAATAAAACAATCTATAGGTTACTTAGGTATATTTTCAAAGCTATGTGCCCCACACTCTTGTGTTAAAAATCACATTGAATAGATTAGAAGTGTTTCAAATATTTAAGAAAAATGTTTGCGACAGGGAGAAGTTTATATCATGGATTCATGGACCTAAGATTAATATAAACTTGCTTAGACATATTTCTATGGAGTATTTATTTGCTTTTAAAATTTTAAAAATTATTATTATCTTAGTCGTAAAAATTGTAGGTTTAGCTTATATAAAAGTCTACTATAATATTTACATTATGTTTGGTTTTAAAAATTTAGGAAAAAGTAAAGGAAAATGGATTTTCTCTCCTTATTTTTCAATGGTTTGGTTTTCCTTCTTATTAGATTCTTAATGTATATTGTCTTCACGTTTTTTTTCTTTTCACTTTTCTTTTTTTGTCTTTTCAAACCAAACACAAAAATTTGATTTTCTTCTCTTTTTTTTCATTTCCCTTTCAATTTTTGGGTTCATGAATGAATTGGCATACGATAAGACATATTCCTCCGTCCTAGAGTATTTCTTCACTTTTGACTTCTTTCGATCAAAGTTGTTAAATTTTGACCTCAAATTAAATAAAAATAATATTTGACATTGATACTAAAATAGTTTGAATCAATTTATTTTATAAAATATTATTTTATCTAATAAATATACAATATATTCTTTATTTAATGACAAGTCAAAGGTTGAAAATTGTTGACTGAAAAAGTCAAAACTAGATAAATATTATGGGATGGAGGTAGTACATGACATGATGAGTTGATTGTGATAAACATGTTAAGGCCACTTTTTTTTAAATAACATTAAATTGTATAAAAGCTTTACTCCCTCGGTCTAAAATTAATCTCCAGTTTCAGTTTACGAGGCTTGATCAATTTTATTTTTAATTTAGTTTATTTGATTATAAGTGTACAAATTAAAAAATTAAATTTATATTTAAAAAACTACATCAAAATTACTTCAAAACCAAAAATGACATCACTGCATTATTTTATCAAATTACTAATGAAAATAAACAAAGAAGATGAATAAAGTGTGAATGTATCTACTATGACTCAAAAGGATAAATTTAAGACACGAGTAGTAGTAATTTTAAGGAGATCCATATTTAAGAAAAAATGAAATCTACGGCAGTCCGGTCGACCTATTGGTCGCCGCCATTATTCAGCTCGTCGGAAAGAAATTAAGAAGAAAAGAAGGTTGCCACATCGCATATATATCAATAATCATTGCCGATTGCCGGTTCTAGAGCCGCTGGAATCCAGTAGTTACGGAAGCCACTGCTTTCTACGGAGCTTCGTTCATGAAATTGATAATTCCTACCCTCATAACCCCCGGTAAACCCCACGCCAAGTCTCGACCGAAACTATTCCACCACCTACGTCAATTGCACCTCGCAAGTATAATTGACTTTAAAGTCAAAATTTTTGACTTTATACTTGCGAAGTGCAATTGACATAGGTGGGTGGAGTAGTTTCGGTCGAGACTTGGCGGGGGTTTACCAGGGGGTTAGGAGGTAGGAATCATCAATTTCATGAACGGAGCTCCGTAAGGAGGCAGTGACTTCCGTAGCCACTGGATTCTAGTGGCTCTAAAACCGACCTCTTGCTTTATTTTAGAAAAGCAAATTCGTATAGTATAGTCGTTGACAACTGAAATTATGACATATTGTCCTCTTTGTGCTTTCAGCCTCTTCATCAAGTCCTTCTAAAATTCACTAATATATATAGTTAATAATTACTAGCTATTGATGAAGAGTCTGAAAGCCTCAGGTTTACTTGGTTTTTTATAAACATTTTTTTGTTGTTATTCCGCAAACACCTATTGGTCCCTCCATAATAATTACATATATGTGGGTGTTTCTTTGTGTTGATAAATTAAAAATTACTTATAAGCAGTTTGAAAATTTATAAACATATACAAACACTCACTATATAAGTAAGATTTGACATATATATCGGTGATTTGGGATTTTAAGTTGGTGACTAGGGGGGCAATTTCACCCATTTCTCATTACATAGAGAGTATTTGTGAGTGATTAACTTCTAGATAAAGTGATTTCCACAAAAGCTAAAAGCAAAAGCTCCTCATACCTGCTTCTCTGAAACAGTGTTTTATACACAAAATAGTGATGGTGAAAAGCAGAAGCTGACATGTCAAACAGAATAAAATCACTTCCACTCAATGCAGAAGCTAAATTATTAAAAGCAGCGCATTGCCAAACACCCTCATATATTCCTTTCATTTTATAAAATAATTTTACTTTCACATTTTGCTCTTTTCATAAAATACTTCCACTTGCAAAAATAAATTATCAATTTGATTCCTACTAATTGTTAACTCACTTATCAATCATGTGTATTCATCACTATTGATGGACAAGAATTCCACCGATTGGTCTGACTCGATGGGTGGATCGTAAGAATATTATTGATCAAAAAACTCGAGAATTACAAAGTTTTACGCTACGTTTTGCTTGAGGATCCTTGTGAAGATCCCTCCTATTTATACCTATCCCTATACACAATTAAGATGATTTTTTATTATGGAAGCTAATCCCACAAATTACGCGATCCAACCTAGTCGCGGACTCCTCTCGGCAAGCGTGTTGCCGACGGCTCCTTTGTTTGGATCGGCCCGGGCCCAATGCCTTGGGCCGGCCCAACACTGACCTTGGGACGTCCACGGGTTCCAAAACGCACTTGGGCACATGGATTGGGTTTCCCGGGCAGGTAACGACTCATCAGCTATGTATTCATCTCATCCAAGAGTATGATTAGTAAGTTAACTACAAATTACAGAGTAAAATATATGCTTTATTGTGTCAAAAATTAAAAGATGAATTGTTTTATGAAACATAGGCAATGCAATTTATATATCATCGGTCCGGTTCTAGTGACACCGGAGAACGGTGCAACTTCGGTGTCACTGGGATTTTGGGTCACCTCCGATGCTTCGTTCGTAAAATTGACAGTTCCTATCCCCCCCTAACCCACCCCCTAAACCCCCACCCTTGCACCCCCACCCCAACCCCGTCGTAAAGCCCCCACAAAATGTGTGGCACACATTTTGTGGGGGGCTTACGGCGGGGTTGGGTGGGGGTGCATGGTTGGGGTGTTGAGGGGATGAGTTAGGAGGGTAGGAACCGTCAATTTTACGAACGAAGCACCAGAAGTATCCCAAAAACCCAGTGACATCATTCTCCAGTGTCACTAGAACCCCACCGATATATCATATCGAATTTTCTTAACTAGTAAACATTTCTTTGGCCCGCAAAGACACCTGTTGGTAATTTGGGATTAAGGTTAGCCACTAGGGGCCAATCCGTCCATTTATCATAACAATGTACACTGTTTTTGTTTTTACAAAATAATTCTACTTTCACATTTTACTATTCTCATAAAATATTTCTACATTTTACTATTCTCATAAAATATTTCCACTTTTAAGTAAATTATTAATTTTTCTCCTCATAATTATTAACTCACTTATTAAATCATGTCTATTCATCTATAATCTATTCATTTAATCCAATTTAATACTCCGCATACTATATCAAATTTTCTTAGGTAGTGTTTGGCAATAAGGATTTCATTTCAATTCATGTATTTCAATTCTAAAATTTGAAATCTTGAATTTCAAATGACAAGGGGAGGTGCATGGATTTAAAATTAAGTTTTGTTATGAATGAGAAGAATTTGATTCAACCAAATACAAAACTTTTAAGTTTCCCAAAAATGGAATTTGAGCCAAATCCGGATTTAAAATCCAAATTCATGTTCCCAAACATACCATTAACTAATTCGTACTCATGCATTACGCAGTAGAATATTTATTTCAATTTATAAAGTATTTGAATTTTCTGGTTGGATTATAGTAACACGGGTGTCATATAATGACATTGATTCAAGGAGACCTCATACAGTACTCTATTTAGAAATTGTTACGGAATAATTCATATATCTCATAACTCCATTGGTTAACCCCTCACTGTGGTCCAACATTAACTCATCGTGCCACTCCCAGAATTTGTTAACTTTAGAGCCAAAATTTGGTTAGCTATTTATTTTTTTCCAAATTTGCTGACATGTTTTTTTATTATGATTAAAAAAAGTTAAAAAGCAATGCTAATAAGTAATAATTCAATTTCAAACTTTGTTTGGTTAAATTCTAACTTTTTATTTCAAATTCTTTTTCAATTCTAGTTTTTTTTCACATTATTTCAACTCTTTTAACTTTCTTCTTATTTTTTTGACATTTAGATCTATTTCTCTAACGGAAAATAAGAGACAAATTTACATAAAAGCCAATATACAAGTTTGTTTCAGTTGAGATATAGATCGATTTTAGCTATTTCATGTTGTCTTTTTTCGTGAACCTAAGGTTCATCTCATAAAAAAGAAAATATTCATATGGAAACCCATTTTAAATATAGACTTTGGATCATTTATGGGACATGAAATCAAAATTCTTTTACTTTGAAATTATTATTCTGTATACTTAATAGACTTGATATTTAAAAAAAAAAAAGAAAGAAGAAAGAAACAAATGGGCCGGCCTTTCTATATTTTGCGGCTTTGGGGGCCGCTGCCCCATTTTTCTTCCCCGGCCGGAACCGCCGACCCTGGTGGCGGCAGCCGGCAGGAGGATCTGCCGGATCACTAGCACAGCACATTACTCACTTAAACCTGTGAATGTCGTCATCATCATCATCATCACATCTCCGGCGGGTGAGATCGATCGATGTTAACGGATGCCATTAATTCCGGCCAGTCACCACTGAGCGCGGCGGAGCCTCCGCCGGTCCTGATTCTCTGGGTGTGTGTGTGTGTGTTTTACTGCCACTCGATCAATATTCCACGTGCTGGGAAGAAATCTACGAGAGAAAAAGGATCAGTCTGTTTCCCACATCAGATACGTATCAATAATCTTTTGCCTTTATTAAAAGGAAGCACGATCAACCGATTGCCGGAACAAGTGTTTGGTATCTCGGACATTGGACTTGTCCTTCTTTTCATTTTCTTTTTGGATTTATATTTTTCAAAAGAGTGTTACTATACTCACCCCTTATAAGAGCTCATTAAAGTATACGGAGTAATAATTTCAATGAAATTTATTTTTTTCCAAATCATATACTTCTTTTGTCCCTTTCAATTTTTTTTGAACCAAACACAGTGTTAGATTCATAAATGAATTGCAGAATTGGCCTACCATATGACCTAGATGCCGAGTTTACAATTAGCTTGTACTCCATAATAAGCATTGGTGTGAGAAGATTTTTGATACGTCGTTTGATACCGAAAACCCTCGATCAAAAAGAGATGAGGTGAAAGATGGAATGAAATGGAAATGTGGAAAAAGTAAATGGTGAGTAAAGTGGTGGAAGTACAAGATGTCGATCCACGGGGATAGCGTGATTGGTTAGGAATCGAGTGCAGTGTGCAACTAAACACTAATATCGAATTCTTAAACGTGAATCAAGGCCGAAAGGAAGAGAAGGTGAATGATATGCAAGAGGGAGCTAAACTAATGCAACACAATGAACAACACTAAAAATGAAATGCAAGGAGTAAAATGAAAGTAAGTCTGGGATAGAGATTTCATGCTAATCAATGCAATTGCCAACGGAATAGAGGAAGATGAGAAATCAACAAGGAAGCGAGCAAATCACCCCGATTTCACTTTCGTGAGAATAGAGAAAGAATCCCATTGATAAGAACCTACTTCCGTGGCGCTCGTCTCAAGAGAACTACGAACACATCGGGGTGACTCAAGTATCCTCCACTTCCATGGTAGCACTTGAGAGTAGAGACACACGGCTAGGATTCTAAATCCCAATTCCTCGATGATTTAGAATCCACTCCAAAATACAAGAATGCCATCGTGGCCAACAACATCCTAGCAACAATAAGATCAATCTCCACAAACAACATAGAGCAATATCTCATATTTCACACTAATCCATCAACAACAAGCACAAATCAACAAGCATCAAGATTACAGTTTAGAAGACAAAGACAGTTCCTTCACATGGCCATACTCCAAATGCAAACAAAAGGAAATGATAAAAAAAGAGCATTATATATAAGTGATTAAAGTATGTTTTAAGATTTAATTTTGATAGTATCAATTTTATACAATTTTATTTATTTAAAATTATGGGATATATTTAATTTGCGGTCAAAGGTAACCTAAAAATCGAGCTAGGACAAACAAAATGGGAGGTATGGGTAATCAGTTTAATAAAACTTATTTAAATTTCAGATTACTTTTGTGTGTGTATATTTTTACTTTCAACTCAAATTTTCTAAATTTTGACTTGAGTAAGTTTTTAAGTCTTATACAGTAATTTAGTATAACGTTTTTACACTTCTTGATTATCTGATATAATGTCAAAGTTCTTAAAGGGCACATGTAATGAGTTATAATGATAAATAAAATATGGCTTTTGAAATCTAGAAGAAATAATACGGATTTTGATATCTGATTTGAAATGATATTTTGTCATAAACATATACGTTTTGTGATCTATTAAGAACAAAATCTATTCTTCAAAAAGACAAAAAAATTAACGTTATCAAATAAGTAGGCTTTCCATAAGAATCAAAAGCAAAAAACGCAAATATCCACAAATACCACATTGAAATTTTCATATATTTAAAAACTACATTAAAATTTTATAAAATAAAAACATTTTATTTTACCAAATAAATCAACTGAGTAGTAGTAAAATGTGACATTTTTTGGACGGGGAAAGTAGTACAGAGTAAGAAAGTAGGAAAAAAACTTTAAAGAACTCATCAATTGGCCTCCGCCCTTGCCGCACATTCAATTCAATGTGTTCATCGATCTTAAATCTTTATTGCCCTGCCTATCCACGGCGGCTCCCGGTGAGCGGTGTGGCCGCCGCCGCCATTCCATGGACCGGAAACAAAGAAAGAGGAAAGGAAATTACCACATCGCATTTTTATAAAAACACATTTTCCTTTATTAGGGAAGCACAACCTTCTAGTCGCAACTCATAATGCGGAATACTTGTTTAAATGCCTTGAGCCTTTAGACTCTCATTGGTAATAAGTTAATATTCAGTAATTTAACTATAATATTTATTTAGTTTCAATGAGGATTTGAAGGTTCCAATTATTTAAACAATGATTTTAGTTTTAAACTTTTTATTTTGAGTTTATATTTTTTTTTATTACGTCATTTATCACAAACTCTTAGAATCATACGAATTCCCAAGTTAAAAAATTACATGAATGGTCTTTGGACTTTTAAAAAATGTTACATCAATAGTCTATATGTGATAGATTTAGGAGCCTTAATCACACGTTCATCAGTATATATATTAGAATCGAAGTAAGATATCATAAGGAGTGCATTTTACTAGTTTTTAAGTTTTAAACCCGCGGAGTATGAAAAATTTGGAGCATTAGACCATGTTTTTCTTACTTGATTTGAATAGTTCGTATTTGATTGAAATAAGTTCCGATCTAATTTGAACTGATTAAGTAAGATAAATTCGCCAAACCACTTCTTTCTTTTTCTTCTCTTCCACCAAAACACTTCTACTTTTTATTAAAAAACCACTTTTACTCATACTTTTTCTTGTTCTACCTATTACATTATACTTCTCCTCTAATAATCTATGAATCACGTCTTACTTTTATTAATCACATCAAAAATAAAATTAAAAGTTAAATATAATTTAACACTTCGTTAATTTGGCACTTAGTTAAAATGAGAAGTATTTTCAAAAAAAGGAGAAGCATTCCTATAAGAATGAATTGAAAGTCTACAACTTAAATCGATTTGGGCCGCTGTACGGAGTATGAATAGTATATCCAAAAAAGTTCATCCGTAAAACGGATGCATAAACAAACCGTCGTCTGGTGACGGTCTGATCTCTCTTTACGCCTTCGTGCGGTGGCTTTACATCCGGGCATCCCCACGCGCCGCCGCTTTTTATGATGGAGAACAATCAGCAACAATCAGGTCCGCAGAATTCGATCTTGTATCAATTCCTATCTTCTTCATCTAAACCTCATAAAATTTAATTGTATCCCCCCCCTCTAGTAGCCTTGGTATTGCCGAGATTGAATGATTATTGTTCGTCTCTAAACTGAATATTTACGAAGACTTTTCTGAAAACTGGAAAAATCTGAAAAAATTTCCTCTTATTCATGGCGTAGAATTTTGGAATGGTTGGATTCATCGAATCGTGGTGGGGTTTATTTTTTCAGCGAGAAGGCATCACTTTTCTTTGGTAATTGATTTGTAGTTATTCTCTACTGGGAAACATGCCCTAATTGGCTTTTGTGTCTTGTGAGCAATTTCATGTGTTTGGACTTTGGACTGTGAGTCTCAACCAAATTATCATCTTAGCTAATTGTAAGGTCATTCAGTCATTATATTGTGAATTTGTTTGGCATCCCAATTCATAACCACTTGAATGATCTAGAACTGCAAGGTGTGAGATGTTTTCACAAGTTTCGTCCCCGTCTTCTTAGAATTCTTGTCTTCCCTGCACATGTATTGTTCCTTTAGGCAGTTCGCTCTGAGGAAAATTTTTTCATTTTATTGTGTATTCCCTGAAAGAGGGGGTTCCTTTGTTTGGTAGGTTCAAGGTGGGCCTTCTTTAGAGTATTTTTCCCTTCACTTTGAGAAAAGAATTATCCCTGCACTTCTTAGGTACTTCCTACAGTATTCTTTATTCCTTGTGGTCAAGGAAGAGATAGTGGGTGATTTCGGACTGGAAAACCTCTTTAGAATACGTGTAATAGTTTGAGATAAAATGAATGAAAGGGCACTTACGTACTCATACTGCTTATTCCTTACCGTTCCAAATTTAACCGCACAATAGAAAAAGTTTCCCAGCAATTTCATTTCGACAACCAAACAACAATTTTTCCCCATGTATTCTCCACATATTCTTCTCTCAAGGAATACACATTCTTTTCCCAATATTCTCTCTATGGGCATTGGGTAGCGAAACAAGCTTTTACGGAGTATATTTTTGTCATATCTGCTGGCAGGTAATGGATCTCCACCAAAGCCATGGGAAAAAGCTGCATCCTCTTCTGGTCCTGCACCTTTCAAACCGCCTTCTCCAGGCAGCACAAGTGATGCAGTGGAGGCATCAGGAACTGCTAAACCAGGTGAAATTGTCACGTCAGCTAACAGGAATATGGCTGTTAACACAAATACACTTGCACGACCAGTACCTAGCCGGCCTTGGGAACCACAGCAGACATATGGCACCACCTATGGAGGTATCAGCTTTTTGTAACACAAATATTCATGCACTCGTTTTTATTTTCACCCAAATTTTCTTTACACTAGTTGTTAGCTGCTACAAAGCCGAGATGCCTGACACCTCATTAAAGTGTTGCTTCTTGAATATAATACCCTGATACTCTCTTTATCCCACTAAGTTTGGCACAAGGGAGAATGTCTCACAGATTAAGGAAAACATAATTGTATGGTTGAAATTGAATTTGTTAGGTAGGATGAAACTTGAGGCACTTATAGGGAGAAAGACCAAAGTAGGACTAAAACATTGAAAATATACCAAAATAGGACTTCCACGTTTTTATTCCCGAAATAGGACTTACATTACCAAACATGGCCATGTACATTACCACAAAAGTATATTAATGTGTACATGTACACTTGTACAGTGCCACATTACCACAGTGCAAAGTCCTATTTCGAAAAAAAAAATTAAAGTTTTATTTTGGTACTTTTCTTTATGTTTTAGTCCTATTTAGGTTGATTTCTATAAATCATAGTACCAAATATGGCATGAGGAAAACATTTTGGGTTAGATCAAAATAAAAAATGGGACAAACGTAGTGGGACTAAGGGACCACTCTTTTGCACATAGGACATTAAACTTTCATTACATGGATACAACAGTCCCAGTTGAATTCTAAAGAGTGAGATCTAGGGATGGTGTGTGTACGCATGCCTTTCGCCTGCTTGGAAAGTAGAGAGATTGTTTTTAAGAGACTCTAGCTCGAAACACAAGCGTATAACCACAAATGAAAGAAGCACGAACAAAGAGAACACAAACAGAATACACACACAAACAGAAACTAAAAACTAAGACACAAAAGCACAGAAGAAGTTTCCACAAACTAAGGCTCGAAGGACTATCTTACCACCCTAATTATAGACCCACATGTGCTTCTATCTTAGGTCATATCATTGGTAAGATCTTGAAGCTGTACGTCATGTCTAATCACCTCCTTCCAACTCTTCATAGGTCTACCACTACCCCTCCTCCTGTCCCCTACCTCAAGCCTCCAGCCTCTGTCACCTCCTCACTGGGACGTTCGTGCCTCTCCTCAGTACATGCCCAAACCATCACGCAGTATATCCCTCACAGAAACCACTTCTAGCCCTCCCCGAATATCCTCATTCGTGATCCTATCCATGTTTGTGTGACCACACATCCACCTCAGCATCGTCATCTCTGCCAGGTGTAGCCTCCAAATGTGAGCATTTTTTAACTCCAAGCACTCTGCACCATACAATATAGTCTTACCACAACCCGAAAAACTTCCCTTTTAGGTTTGCCGATATTTTCCAGTCGCAAAGGACTCCTAAAGAAAACTATCAATTTGCCCAAGGGGCACCAATACGATGTGCAAGGAATATGTGGCCTACAAAACTTCTCTCTTCTAAACTAATTCCACTTACACACTTTTCACTTCTCAACTCTTTTCTTAAATCTGTGAAGTCAAACATGGAAGTTCTTTGCAGGACGGAGGGAGTTTTTGAATAGATTTCTTTTTTGTATTTAATTTTTGACGTGATATGGATTTTGAGAACCCATCCAACTTTTTAAGGCCACCCGTAGTACTCCATATTATACTGTCTCATTTGTTTTGTTTTTTTTAGTTTCTTGTTAAGATATGTGTCATCACATTTCAATATCTATAAGCTATTATCCATCTTAATCAGTTTGTTTCTTTTCATAGGTATCGGCTTTATTTAAGTGTTTACTGCAATGACATTGCATTGATCTTATTGATTTTCCTCATACACAGGTTATTCCTCTGGTTTAAACTACAATTCTGGTTATGGGTCAGGGATGTATGGTGGCGCTTCATATGGTGGATATGGATCAGGCATGTATGGTGGTGGATTGTATGGGAACAACATGTATAGAGGAGGTTACGGTGGAGCATATGGAGGTGGCATGTTTAATGGGGGGATGTACAACAATGGAATTGGTGCCGTTGGAGGCCCGATGGGTGGTTATGGAATGGGCGGGCCATATGGAGAGCATGATCCGAACAATCCATATGGTTCCCCTTCATCTCCGCCAAGCTTCTGGGTTTCCTTGATGCGAGTGGTATGTTGCCCTGCATCCCTGTTTCCCCTCATAGTCAATTTGGTAAACCATTTGAGGCTATTTTTAGGAGGCTGGTTTTGCTCTTCTTTTCTTCACTTTTGTCTTCATTTCATTAGAGTTGCAACTTTCTTCCGGATATCTTTTGTGCAATTTGATTGGTAAAACTCTTCTGGATTTGTTTCGTGGCATTTGGCAAGTTTGGTTTGAAGAGGGGACCTTAACTGTCATAGGATCAATAACTATTCATATTTAGTTTTTTAGATTGTTTTTTTTCTTTTGTTACAAATACAGAGGTGTTTTTGACACTTTCTGCCTGGTCCCCCACCCGCCCGCTTTAGTGTGCAAAGGAATAAACTGCAAAAATTATTAGGTGCTGCATATTATTATGTGTGGGCCATTTAAATAATTACTTTTTACAACAATTTCAGATGCAAGGCGTTGTTACTTTCTTTGGGCGGGTAGCAGTGCTGATAGACCAGAATACCCAAGCATTCCACCTGTTCATGACTGCACTACTTCAGGTACTGCTTACCCATCTGTTTCTTTCATTTCATAGTTTCTATGTTTCCAAACTCTACCTTTTGTTCTTTTTCTTTTTCTTTTTTTTTGCGCTTTATCTCAAATCACACTAAGGGTGGCCAATGGATGGAATGGATGAATTTTTTTCCCGGTTGTCAGTGGATCGGTTGAAAACCGATCTATTTATCTATTCGCGATCCCTTATAAAATCAGTAGGAAAGTTCATCCATTTACATTTTCTTTATCCAATAGATATATTTTGTTATTTCTTTTTACGCGTATAATGATACTTTAGTAATCAATCCCGATAAATAAACCACCAATAGATGTGAAAATTGCAATGGTTCCAATTAATTTAAAATATTCTTCAAAGGTGATCCAAAGCACAAACACATCATGAGTTGTGGATGTTGTTTGCAGCTGTTCGACCGTTCAGGGTTATTGTATGGGGAGCTAGCCGGGTTTGTGCTAAGATTATTAGGAGTGAAGGCAAAGCCTAAGAAATCTCATCCTCCGGGCCCACACGATCCTCGCGGGGGTCAAAATTTCATTGAGGGGCCAAAGGCTGGTGGGGGACCCAGTGGAGCCTGGGACAGCGTATGGGGCACACAGTAATGCAAGCGGTGCTGTTTACCCCTACATGGTCACATTGTGACCGCAGCCAAACACGGCCTTACCGCTCTCTGCACGGGGTCGAGCTTCCATGCTGCAGTTGGTTAGTACAATGCGTCACACTCCCATAGCTTGAATTGTGAAATGCAATATTTTATACTCCGTATTTCATTGAAAGAAAGTTGAATTCTGAATCTCTGTATTTGGTGTTACAGATATGGATGTTACAGTGTCATACGGAGTATTTGCTATGTTTTCTTTACAAATACTCCCTCCGTCCCAAATAATTTGTCACAAATAATTTGTCACATTTGTATTCTCGAAGCAAAATATCAAATTTTTTCAATTCATTTTATTTACATATTGGTATAGAAATAAAAAAAAATTTACATATAAAAAAACTACATGAAAAGTTCTTCGAAATAAGATGTGTCAAGAATATTTTATTTTATCAAATATCAATGAAAACGTCAAATTAAAGTTGAGATTATAGTAAAAACGAAACAAATAGGCATTTTGTCCACGTCAAAAACACTTCGCTTTAAGTTCAAATCAAACAGAGCAAGTTCCCGGAACAAGAACCGAACCGACTGTCGACCAAAATCATCCCTATCCAATTTGCGTCATGTGGAAAACCGGCAATTCCGGTTTCATTTCAGTGGTTCGTATAATATTTTGAGAGATAATACTCTCTCCGTCCTAAATTATAATGCATGTTCACTATTTACAGGGTTAAACTTCATTCACTTTCTTTCTCAATTTTCGTTATCAAATTGATAAAATAAAATATTATTGTCACTACTAGTTTTATAGATTTTTTATACTCCGTAGTATTTTAACATGTAATTTTTATTTTTTAACTATATACCATTTGTCATACGGAGTATAAAATGATTTGAAAATAATTTCAGTCAAATATCGTAAGCCGAACCAGACATAAAATGAGACGGAGGGAGTATATGGAACATATAAAAGGAAAGTCATTTTGAATACAAATAGATGAATAAGGTAATGATAAATTCTGTATACAAGTATTGATTAAATATTGCTAGCCATGTATGTACTTAACACATAAACACAACTATGGTATATAACAGAAAACTAAAGTGAATCACAAATTGCCTTTCAAAGCAATATAACTTCACAAAAACCGGAATGCCCCTGGTGGTGCAATACATGATATCTCATCTTCACTGATTTCCACATCACCTCTTGAAACCTTAAAGATCTCTATGGCAGTGGGGCTCAGCAGGCCGCAACGGGTGATGTGGAGCCTCGTCAACCGCCTGCAGCCGCTGCCGAGGGCCCACAGCCCCTCGTCGCTGAGATTGCGACACCTGTTCACGTGGAGGGTTTTCAGGTGGCGGCAGTTTGATCCGACGGCTCTCCACCCCTGTACCCTGACCTCATGGCACTGCGACAGATTCCATTCTTGAAGCAATGGGCAGCCCTTGGATATCATTATGATTGTTTCGTCTCCTATTGTCCTGCAGAAACGGAAGTTGAGGACTCTCAGTCTTGAACAGAATCCGGTCCCGACAGCGGTCAAACCGTCCCCGCAAATGGTCCAGCTCAGGTTCAGCACGCTCAGATACTGGACCCCACCTCCGCTCAGTAGGGCCCGCACGCCTGCGGGTTCAAGCTTGCAGGAATCCGCCTCTACGTATGATAGTGACCTGGAACAGCCTTGAAATCCAATGCCGGTAATGCCCCTGCAGTAGGATATTCTGATGGCGCGAAGGCGACGACAGTTTCGTGAAATGGGCCCCACCCCGTTGTCGGTTATGAGGTAACAGTAAGCAAGGTTTATGTCCTCCAGAGAAAGACAAGACTTGGACAACACTTCCAACCCTGCGTCTGTTACATTGCAACGGTAAAGACTGAGAAGAGTCAAAGAAGAACAGCCAGAGGCGACAAAGGAGAGACCTTTAGCTGTAATTCCAAAACAACAATCTAAGTTTAGGCTCTGTAGCTTAGAGCCGTGTTGCTGCAACTGAGTTAAACCTGAATCAGGGAGCTCGGTACATCCAGAGAGTGACAAAGATTGCAGGCTTTGAAAACGGTTCAGTAATTTAGACAAATGGGAGGTACTGATGCTGGAATGAGTTGCTGGAGGCAAAACATTCAGGAGATTGAGTGAGCAGTGAAACTGCAAAGATCTTCGGGATAAATTTTGAATCCTTAGCCAATGGTGGCAGGTCAAACCGAAGGATTCACGGTCGAAGCCACAATCCAGGTGTTGAAATATCAAACTTAAGCAATCATCAGAAAGTTCCTCCATTTTTAATCTTGCAAAGGCTGTAAAGAACGGATCTTTATCATGAACTTCTTGAATGAGGGGCTAATTGAGGTAGATGAGTGAAACCCACAAAGAGTGGGCGAGTCTCCATACCCATAACCAATTATTTCTCCACAGTTCCGGCAGAGAAGTTTGGTTTTTGAGCGACTAAAGCCAATAGGAATAGGAAGACAGTTTACTTCATCGACTTGAGTGAACCGGCTAAGGTCAATGGATGTAAAGGAGATGAAACCTTTCTTGATCTTTTTACTGTACCCGGAGCCAATTCCAGAAGTCAGATGGTTGGATGATATCAAGTTGAGAGGATATCCACAAGAGCCACAACTGCGATAACGAGTCGTAAAGTAGCAAGTTGGTTTACAATAAAAGAATGATCTTAAAACTAAGGCATCGATAAAGAAAGGATTTTGAATCAAGCTTTATTCCTTAATAGAGAATTCTTGAAATCCAACATACCCACTGACCCACAGTTCACTTAAAAATTCTAAACTTTTTAACTAAGAAGGGGGCAAAAAGAAGTACTCTTTTGTAAGAATGAAGAAATCCTGGGGAGCACATTTTAAGGATCATGAAAGCCCACAAGTCAAAACACAATCACAATAAAAACCAAAATGACCAGTAATATAAGGAAACAATCGAATTCAAGAAGGTAAAAAAACACAAATACAACAACTTTCCAACGAGAACGGATTCATACATTTATCATAGCACATTTTTAAGAATCATGAAAGCCCACGAGTCAACCCAATCACAATCAAAATCCAATCACCAACAATAGAAGGAAACAATTGAATTCAAGAAGCTTAACAAAAAATGAGACAAAATCTTTCCAGCAAGAACAGATTCATACATTCATCATAAGACATTTCAAGGATCACGAAAGCCCTAAAGTCAAAACACAATCACAATCAAAAACCAAAATTACCAGCAATATATGGAAAAAATCAAATTCAAGAAGGTAAAAGAAACACAAAGGCAACACCTTTCGAGCAAGAACAGATTCATACATTCATCATAGCACATTTTAAGGATCACGAAAACCCACAAGTCAAATCCCAATCACAACCAAAAACATAAATTACCAGTAATATAGGAAGAACAATCAAATTCAAGAAGGTAAAAAACAATACAAAGGCAGCAGCTTTCCAAGAACATATTCATACAAAAAAGACCATCAAATAGAAAATTCAGCGATCCAACAAGTAAACCTGGAGTAGTATTGATGGATGAATATAACGATGATAAGAAGAAGAGAGGAGACAAACCTGTAAGTGACATCAGCTTGGGACATCCTTCAACGTCAGATCGAGATTGATCCCCATTTGGCATCTGACATTTTCAGATCATTTTGACTCTCCCGTCCGTGAAAAAAACAAAACAAAATAAAATTTTTAGTTAAAAAAAAGAGTTTTCCTGCACTGGATTCAGGTCAATAACGACGGGGGTTGAAAAGAAAATTCTTGTGGGCAGAGCAGCCGAGAGCAGAAGAAGATGGAAGAAGGGGGTATAGAACAGGGACGACTTTAACGACGTCGTATACAGACTTAGTGACGTCAATTACTTTTTTTAATTAACCATTTGGTGTACCCCAAATGTATACCAAAGGTGTACCCCAAATGTACATCACTTCCTTTTCTACTATCTATTTTTATTTTATTTTTATTTATTTATTTGTTTTAAATTTCTTGCCTTTTTTGTGGACAAAGAAGGGGTGAAGACAAATGAGGTACACAAAATGTGTACCCCTAGCATTTTTCATTGCTCTTTCATCACAAGAAAGTGGAAGAAAGCAAAAGAAACGAAAATAAAGTTACAAATAAAAAGAATCTTGAAAGAGTGAAAACATTTGAAGTTAAATAAATTAGAAATAATTAGAGAATGTTGAAAAAATGAAAGAGTTTATGGTCTTGTTTGGAAACATCGTTAAAGATTAGTGTTAACATCTTGGATAAAATTTTAACGATGCATATTACTTTAAAAATGCTAACGCTAACCATAAATAGTCTTTTCAAAACGCTAACGTTTTTCCCAAACAGACCTTATATAATCAAATCTATACTATATTCGTCTAGTTTAATTTGTTCAATTCATATTAAATAAATTTTGAATATCAATTAAATAAAAATAATGATGTATACATCATGCGTCCCAGTTTGAATTACAAATTATGAATTACGAGGTAAAATCTCATGCATTTTGAAATCACTTTATTTACAGCGCGGTATATCAATAAAAAAGTTACATGTTTAAAAACTACATCAAAAGTTCTACAAACAATGAGTGACAAGAATATTTTATTTTATCACATAATTAATGAAAACACACAAATAAACAAAAGTTATAAAAATGAGAGAAAACACAATTCTAATCGAAATTGGGACGGAGGGAGTATAGAAGTATAAAAATAATTTTATTAGATTTATGTTGTAGATAATTTCACAAATATATTTCATTATATTAATATGATGTATAAATTTAAAGTAATTGATGATTAAAATTTATCTAGTTTTTCTGGAAAAAGTCAAAAACAAAACTAAAAAAACACTTTGAGATGAATGGAGTACAATATTTTTGGATCTATCGCTTAATGTAGCGCATAACTCATAAGCTCATTAGAAGAGTCTTGTAATAAGCAAACCAATGTTGTGAGACATAGGAATAAGATCTAGCTAATGCAGCACTAACTACGATCTATTAGCAGAATTCGTCGTTAAAAAAAAAGATGAGAAATTGAATCGATATACAACACATTGGGAATAATTTTTTTCTCGGTTCGATAATAATATCCATAATGTCCAGAGAAATAAATTTTTAACAATTACCTCATGCAAGTTATTTTTTATTTTTAATTTGCTTGGTTGAAGAGGCTAATCAACTTAGCATTTCAATAATGTACTATCACCCATAAACTTTGTAAAAAATAAAAACTAATATGGAATCTCTTAAAGGATATTGGGCCGGTTATTCTATGATGCGTAAATATTATCAGCCCACTTAACATTTTACCATTGGACCCAAGCCCAACTTCAACTCCATACAGCCTCATTACACCCTAGATATATATCACCGTTATTTCTCTATTTCATTTTCTACGCATTGTTATCGATACAGTCGAGCCTTTGAGCTCCACCCGGCGGCGGAGGTTATCACAGCAGCGGCGGCAGCGATGGTTAGATTCATAGATCTATGTTTATTCACTATCTTTTTGCAGTTTTTTCATTCTCATATGCATGTCTTGATCCATTGTTGCTGAGAATTTGAAGATTTAAGGAAGAAAGATAATGTTTGTTTCGTAGGAGGGCAGAAGTATGTTTTAAATTCTAAATTTATAAAGTTTTGTGGACTTTTAGCTGTAATTAATTGATTAATTTTGTTATGTTCATCTTCATTTGAGTGATATCTCGAATGAATCCCATGATGGTTTTTTTGATTGTCTTAACGAGTTTTTGCTCATAGATATAGATAGTAATAATGATTGGAGATCAAATTTGTGACAGTCATTGTTGATAAAATTCACCTGCAGGTGTTCATCAAAGTCCAGAAGTCGAGGGCTTACTTCAAGCGCTTTCAGGTCAAGTTCAAGAGAAGAAGAGGTTTGAACTTTGAATAGACCTTTGGAATTGGTTTTAGCTTCGTCAATGCCATTCTTTCTGTTAGATCTCTCATGTTTCTGTGTTTTGTCCAGAGGGAAAGACCGATTACCGAGCCAGGACTAGGCTGATCAATCAGGACAAGAACAAATATAACACCCCGAAATACCGCCTTGTTGTTCGATTTGTATGTGCTACAACTTTTTGTTTTATTTACCTACTGTGACTTTTTTCAGTTTGTGGTGTTGTCTTGAGTCTTTTCAAATTCTCATTTTGTTTATGTTCATTTACTCCATTTTTATTGTGTATTAAATGTTTTTCCGATGTGTGTCTATACATTTCTTGTATTTCACACCAAAAAAATCTCATGTTTTTGTTATAGTAAGAACAAAAAAGGTTGTGTCGTGACTTTGTGCTTCAATGTACATACTTAATTTCCCTTTTCCATTGGGCAGACCAACACAGATATAATTACTCAAATTGTGTCTGCTAGTATTGCGGGTGACATGATTCTTGCTTCTGCCTATTCTCATGAATTGCCTCGTTATGGGCTTGAAGTTGGTCTCACAAATTATGCCGCAGGTACCTCTTTTTCTTCAGTAATTTGTATTTATTAACCTTTTTAGAAGCACCCTGCTCTAATGGTTTGCCTATAAGTGTAGCCTATTGCACTGGGCTACTTTTGGCTCGACGACTTCTCCAAAAGCTTGAAATGGATGAAGAGTATGAAGGAAATGTTGAGGTGAGTTGTTCATCCTGATACATAGCTTGCTCAGCCTGACTTAGTATTATCTCTCTTCCACATGAAATATGTTATGCAAAATTATTGTTTTGTACAGGCCAATGGAGAGGATTACTGTGTTGAACCAGGTGAGAGTCGGAGACCTTTCCGTGCTCTTTTGGATGTTGGTCTTCTCCGAACTACCACTGGGAATAGGGTCTTTGGTGCTCTTAAGGTATAATATGTTAATATCTTTCAGTGAATACCGGTGTGCACTGATTGAAGTTGTTTGTATTATGTTTGTGCACTGATTTATGGACTAAAATCAAGCAAAGGATTTGTTGAAAAGTTTGAGGGTATAGCCTTTAAATATTTTATTGTTAATTTCAGGGGGCATTAGATGGTGGTATTGACATTCCTCATAGTGACAAAAGGTTTGCTGGATTCAACAAGGATTCCAAGCAACTTGATCCTGAAGTGCACCGCAAGTACATCTATGGTGGGCATGTTGCTGCATACATGAAGGTGAGTTGACATTATTGTTCATTGTTTTTTTCCACACCCACAATTTGTATTATAATACTCCCTCCGTCCCACTCTCTTTGTCCACTTACCTTTTGGCACACCATCCAATGCACTTTTTCAATCCATTTTATCTTGTTAAGACAAATCAAACAAGATCACACATGACTATATTTAGGCTTACACTTTGAGAGAATTTGATGAGTCAAAATGCTTAGATGAACAGTTCCAAAAGTCAAAAGTGGACAAAGAGAGTAGGACAGAGGTAGTAATAATTTTAAAAAGCTTTTTTTCCTTATTTTCTGATAATGGTTGGTTTACCTTATGTAAATTTTTTCTTTGATTCTATAGAGTTTGTTTGGAACTCTGAGATTTCTGGGCAAAAAAAAATTCAATGAGGAAAAAGGGCTAACATTTGGATGAGTGAAATTAAAACTTTTGGTCAAGCTCATGAAAATTTATCTTTGTTATTTGTTTAAACTCATTTTCAGATCCAAACATACTCAAATAAGTGTTTGATTCAAACTCTATGTTTTATAATTTGTTCAAATTTTCATTTTGTTTGTTTATATATTTCTATCATCTAAAGAATAAGAAATCTAAATATGGGTACTCAAGTATTGATAATAATAATTTTCATTCACATTTTCCAAAAGAATACTGAACTAAAAGAAACATATCTTCTCTACGCCTTAAAAAAATTCTGTTCTCCTAAACAAACCTATAAAAATTAAGAAAATCTACTTCCCATTTTCAAAACAGGATTTCTGGAAACAGTTGTCTCCTCATTTCTGTCAACATTTGGTTATCTATATGTCAACTTTTTTTCCAGGAGAACAATTTCATCAAGAAGTTGATATCTACACAGCAATTTTCTTGGGAACTATTTTCTGCAATTCTTTTTACCCAATCACTAACCCCACCCTTTAGTATTAAGGACCTGTTCCCTCTGCCAGAAAATGTGATTTCATCTTTTTCTTTTTTGATGATCTAATAATTTGGTTGTATCTTGTCTGTGGTTTGATCTAATGATTTTCTAATCTGAAATAAAGTTTAATTTGATCTAAACAAGGCGTTATAGCACCCCTTGACTTGTTACATTTCCACCATAAACTTGTCTGACTGGTTTTCCGTGGGTATGCAGACTCTGATGGAGGATGAGCCTGAAAAGTACCAATCTATTTTCAGCTTATACATCAAGAAGGGCATCAACGCCGACAACCTTGAAGAGTTGTACAAAAAGGTTCATGCAGCCATCCGCGCCAACCCTAGCCAGAAGAAGTCCGAGAAACAGCCACCCAAGGAACACAAGAGGTATATGACAAATGCCCTTTGGAGATTCCATCTAACTTTAAGCTTTTCCACGGAGTGCCTTAACTTGCTCCCTTCTTATGTGTACTTGCAGGTTCAACCTCAAGAAGCTGACCTACAAAGAGAGGAAGGCTAAGTTGATTGAGAGACTGAATGCCCTAAACGCTGCTGCTGGAAAAGACGAAGATGATGATGAGGAGGATGATGACGAGTGAAAGATTTGCCCGAGATCATGAAGTCTCCTAGCTGCATTTTCATTCCAGACTTTTTTTTGTTGCATATTTGCTGCATTCAAAACTACCAATTATGCAGTCTTTTGATGAGGATCTGTTACTACAAAACAGTTTTGTACTTTTGTGAGCTTGACTATCTTGGTTTTTATTTATGATGACATTTTTAGAACAAAATGTTTTCAACGATCTTGCTTTACTTTTATTTTTAGAAGTTTTTTATGTCTTATTTCAGGTGAGAGGTCATTCTAGCCATAGTTTTGCCGTTTTATGCGATTATTTATTGAATCCAAACACATGATCCGGCTAATGCATATTCTGAAGCGTAGAAAAAAAAATAAAGAAATCATTCACTATGATTTGAGACAAATACCAAAAACAATGAAATGAAAAGTTTGACCACGTGACAATGACCCTTGGCTTCAAAATCAACATATGTAGGGCACAAGAGCAGGATTTGTCATTCTATATCTTTATACATAATTCATTTCCATAGCCGGTAAAATAGCTACAAGATGAACAAATCTTAAAGAGTGTTAAAACTCTTGGTTTGACATGAATGACATGATCCCGGATGAGTTAATCTTATGAATTAAAATTGTCAGTCTGTGAAATTAAAAGATAATCTGGTAGATTTGCCAACCAAAAGGCTACTACATAAAAGACCTTTTGAATTGGTTATTCTTGCCATTTTGCATCAGTTCCCAATTGATATAAAAATAGCGATGCAATTGATCCAAATACTTTTTTGCACCAGCGGTTTAACCGATGCAAAAGAGTGTTTATGCGCCCATGATTTTATGCTTTTTGCATCGGTTATTTCTAATAACCAGTACAATTGGTTATTTGCACCGATTATTAGAAATAACCGATGAAAAAAATTGTGTGCAAAATCGACTATCCCATTTGCATCGTTTTTTTAGAAACTGATGCAAATGAGGTATTCGATTCTTTTTTGTAGTGGTGAGATTAGCATATGAATTGAACGAAAAATTGGTAACAAGAATGAGCTTGAAGTCAAATAGGTTGGTACCAAGATTATATGAAGAAAACTCCAGCAGGGCAGGTGCCAAGAATCAATGGAACAACTTACTTGTAAGATAGAACACAGTCACTTGGAGAGTTGGAGGGAGGGCTTGAAATTTTGGAACTTCCAATTCAGGACTACGAGTAGTGATTCTTGTAATCAATGAGAGTTGCATATTTGTTGTATTAATGATTCTTGAATGCTAGACACACATGTTGTTTAAGGTGGAGTATTTGAGATGCTTCTATAGAATTGCCTAAACAAGTAGAGCATTGTGATCGCTTCAAAAAGAGGATTTTGAACTTGATCCCTTAGTAGCTCTTATAGAACTAGGTATAATGTTCTATGATCGATCGATATGAGCACATCTTTAAGAACTTAACAACGTTAGAAAAATACCTATGTAAGACAAATGGCCATTTATCTAAACTACAAGATGGTTCAAAAACTTCATTTTTTACTAAACAAGAAAAAATAGTTTATCTTTACGAGGGTTAAGTTCAAAGATAGCTCTTAACTATCCTCTACATATACTCTATATCAACCATGGGACATAATTGACCTTCAGAATAATTTTTCATTTATGTGGGGAATCGTTGGAAAAGTAAAACTAAACACACATACGAACGGTCATTTTCAAGCTTAAGTAATAAAATTTAGGATGAGGTATGGATCACTAGATTGGGTAATAAGACACTTGGGCTGAACCACATTAAAGGATTGAATCCAATCGATTAGTTAGTTCAACTCAAGAGCTTATATACCGATTATTTTACTATTGAACTTCCGATGTGGGATGTGCTTTAACACTTCCCCTCAAATGGACAACCGGGTCATTTTAAATCTAACCACTTGATCACTTGCAAATGAACTTCCATTCCCTTGATTTTTTTTGAGCGCCAACACCTAAAGGACCACATGCCGCTGGGTATGGACTTTCAGATGAGCAATCGTGTTAAACGGGCCACAGGCCGTTAGGTACATACTCCATACGGACAACTAGGCTAAAGACTAACGACCCACTAGGAATGAACGTTTAGACAGACACCTTTACAAACGAAGTGGGTCAAAGCCTGCTCTGATACCATGATAAAATTAAAAATTTAGGATGAGGTATGGATCACTAGATTAAGTAATAAGACACTTGGGCTGAACCACATTAAAAGATTGAATCCAATCGATTAGTTAGTTCAACTCAAAAACTTATATACCGATTATGTTACTACTAAACTTCCGATGTGGGATGCACTTTAACATTAAGTATTAACATAGTCCAATAAGGGTTTGAACGGTTACAAAATGATTATGTGTTTTGCTAAGTGAGATGGGTTACGTGCAGAAAATAGTTAGTGGAGAATGAGAATTTAATATTCAAAATAGATTTGTTGGATAATAATTGATGAAAAAATGGAGTTTTCTGATAAAGGATATATTGAAAAACTCAACTCATTAAATATTTCTTAAGGTGGAAGACTTAATCACAACATACACCGCTTTTATGAGTTGACAACTGCATAAAAAAGACTCCACATCGATGTTAATATCTATCTAATAACAATACTCTACATACATTTCATGCATTTTTTTAGAAATTTATTGCTCGCACTGAAATTTGATCACCTAATCTCTCATTTAAAAGAGTCATAAAGATACATTGGATTACGTATTGTTTGGCAACATTAATTTCTTCTCTATATTTGATTCTTTCCCTTTTCATATGCTTTCCATCCCACAAAAGATGAATGTGGTGATGCCTAATTGAGCCATACTATTTTCAAACACAAAACTTGCCCCTTCGGAGTACAAAAGAAAGAGCGTAGACAAAATGACAGGAAACACCCCGGGTTGCCCCTTTAACGCCAGGGGCAATTCAGTCAAAGAAAAAGAAAGTCAACTTACAAAGACAGAAAGTCAAGAACCCATGATATCACCACACATCATCATCTTTTTCTTCGTGGGTTCTCTCTGGTCGGAGCGAGAAAGCTTTCCCAACTCTTTCTTCGGGGGATTAGGGTTTTTAATCCCACAGCGCAAAAGAATATTCCTCGGCCACATACGAATCCAGGAGCTTCTCGAATCCGTCTTCTTCGGCCGCGCTAGATTCTACGATTCGGGAACGGGTCCAAATCGACCTAAAGCGGCGGCGGCAGAGAGCGGGAGCGGGACGGATTCCGCGTTTCCAGGACGCCGGCGCGGATCTCTGACTGCAATCGAGTATGCCTGCTTCTATTTAGTGAATTTAACATCGGCGTGTTTATATTCCCCTAGCTTGGAAGTAGTTTCTTGATTTTGGATTTCGAGATCGAGCAGTGCGCGGACCAATTGATGTGTGAAGAAGGTTGGGTTGAGTGAACGGAAGGTTTTATGATTTGATAGCGGGAATGGCTTCTTCTTGAACTTTACTCACGGGGTTAAAGATTGGATTTTTAAAGTTTACTTGATTGTTCGGGTGAATGGGCTATTCAGGAGTGTGCTTTTACAATCTATTTGCCCCTTCCCTTTTCTATGGAAGATTGGGGTTTTTAAATCCTTGTGTATGTGGAAATTGTGCATACATGCTTTTAAAACCGTTTTGGGTAGACGCATAGTAAAAGATGGTACTGGAACTTATTGTAATTGTGACACTTCTGCTCACACACACCTGACATTTCAGCAAGAGAAGTGGTCTTTATCCTGAAAAGGGAAATTAAATCTCTTAAGGAACCCTCAAATAATGTTTTATTAAACTGCAAAGATCCAAATCCACATGTTAATTTAGCCTTTGTCTTTTTAAATTTAAGGTTAGATGACATTGTGTTATTCCGCTGCAATCTGAGACTGATATCATTCTCTGGATAGACCCTGCCTTTCTAGTCTGTGTGCATCAAATTATTTACTGGAAGTTGTGCACTGCCGAACTGCTGATATACTTGAGGCAAGTTGATGGATCCCGAAAACAAAAAATTTGGAAGAGGTAAGCTGTTAAATATTACAGAGTATGCTTTTACAGTCTTGATTTCATCATGATGTAATTGTAATATGACCACAAGGATTTTCCGTTCTAAAATTGTTCACATTTGGTTTGTTTGGTGAAGTAATAAGTAATTGTTTGGGCTAGGTTCTTTTGGCACCGGTCTTTGGTGTCATAATATGACCCCAGATGATTTGGGGGCCCTGCGGTGTCCTTTTGGGCATGGGATGGGTCAGGGATGCAGAGTAGGGGTGGGTTGCCCAAGGAGGTGCAGGAGGTATGATGGTGCCCTGTGTTGCCAATAATGAACAAGGGGTGTGTGACTGCACCATTTCCGGGTGGTCGTGGTTGTGGTGGTTAGGACCTGGTTTGGGGCCCAACAAAGCACTGTAGGGCCCCAAGAAACCTCATTGTCATAATACCACAACAAGGGCCGGTGTCAAAAAGATCTGGGGCGATTGGGGCTATCATGTGTTGTGTTCTGTTTTCATGTTCTGTATTTTAAAGACTTCCATTTGATATCTGTAGTAAACTTGACTCCATTAAAATATCAGGCCCCAGAGAACTTACAGGTGCTGCTGATCTTATTAGCCGCTTCAAATTGTTGCCTCATTATGACTACTTCTGCAAGAGACCACTTCCATTAGCAATTTCAGATACCCACTATCTTCATAATGTGGTTGGAGATGCTGAAATTAGGAAAGGCGAAGGGATGCAATTGGATCAGCTTATTGATGATACTTCCATTTCAAAAGAGACCAATACAGTAATAAAGCCATTTGATTTGGATGTTTTGGGAGAAGCTTTTCATTTGAGGGAAACTTGTCCAATTGATCTCCCAACTGTAAGAACCTTGCTGATGCATGTTTGTGAATAATTCTTTGGGAAATGATGTGCGGCGTGCGCTTTTCCCCTCTACTCTCTTGGCATCTGAAGCTTAGGCATATGAACTGCAGGCCTATCAACCTTGCAGCTCTTACATCACGTTCTTTGTTTATACGACTGTACTCTTAAAAGTCTACTGATAATTCTTATGTTTTTCCTTTTAGTCCGAAAAGGGAATTCCCACTACGGGGGGAAAATCTAAGAACGAGTCCAAAGAAAAGGAGAAGAAGCATAAAAGGCACAAGGACAAGGACAAAGATAAGGAAAAGGATAGAGAACATAAAAAGCACAAACATCGTCACAAGGACCGAAGTAAAGACAAGGATAAAGAGAAAAAGAAAGATAAAAATGGCCATCAAGATTCTGGTGCTGAGCATTCAAAGAAGCATCGCGATAAGGTATGGTAAACATTCTAGTTGCAGTTTTTTCCTCTCAAAAGTTTCATGGATGTAACCCATTTTCCATATACCTCAGAATTTGGATGCTTGCAACTAAACAAATCCTTAAGGATGTTTCATTTTCTTGAAATATAGTGAACTAGTGATTTGTTAATACCGCTCAGGCGCTCACTATGTTTTAAGCTATTTGTGTTTAACCATTTTTCTCTATACTTTTATTTACCCACTCAAAAAGTTTGAACATGATTGGTGCCATGTTTTTTTCAGAAGTTCACACATAAATCCATGGATATGCTGAAAAAACTACATGCTTTTAGTACTGCTTGAAAATTCTCAGTATTGTGGTTGAGACTTGAGAGGTGTTTAGCTCACTATACATGTGTTCAGTACACCTTTTTTTTCACCAACTGATTTGTAGATTTTTGTTACTCTAGAAAAGAAAGCATGATGGAGAGGATGATACCAATGATCACAAACACAGGAAGAGCAAGGTAACATAAACAATGTTAGTTTTTTTGGTTTTCCAACTTTCTATCTTGTATCCTGAGCTTTTCCAGTTGATATATTTATTATACTTCAATCTTTTTTATATGTGTGTGTAGAGGGTTCAGTTCTGGTGAGAATGACTCTTAATGTTTGAAATAAAAATGATTCAATCTTTAGTTCATCATGGCACATATTTATAATAGAAATAGTGTATTTTTGTGATGACAAGAAGTTTGACTTATTTACGATAATACCACTGTATTTTTCTTCTTTATTTTCCATGATTTTTCACTTGTTCACAACTCTTTGATCGTAAATCCAAACGGTGCATCAAGTCTCACTTGAACACAGCGTGTGTGTGTGTAGTCTTGCTTATTTTTAAAACTTATTGTGTTCTTCTACTATGCACTGACTCATTGCAGCACAAGAGCTCAAAGATTGATGACGTGAGTGCAATTAAGGTAGCAGGCTAACAAATGGCATGGAGTATCTGTTGTTTTATTTTTTGTCCTCAGATTTTTTGCAGCTGAAAATCTGAAGAGATCTTTTTACCTACTGTTATGGTTCTTTTTGGAGGTATACAGTTTGATGCATGATAATCCCTTCAAATTTAAGTTTTAATGTTTGCACCCCACCTCCTCCCTCCACTCCCCTCCCCTCTTAATACCCCCACCGTTTTTGTGTGTGCACTAATACCCCGTTGAGCCAGGGGTCTATCAGAAACAGTCTCTCTACCCCTCAAGGGTATATAGGTAAAATCTGCATGCATCCTACCCTCCCCAACACACTTGTGGGAGGAAAATTAGTAGGCTCACCAAGCACCCTGGTGCTTCATGCTTACTAACCAACATGTTATACTCATTATAGGATATGCTCCCTATCACAATAACAAATGTTCGCCATGGTGCCCTTGGTAGAAACTCCTAGTGAGATTACTTAGGGTTTGTTGTTTCTGTACATCACTGAATACATACAGTAAAGATTTTTATGAGCAGTCCACATTCTCTTTTTTATTAGTTTAAGGTGCTGGGCAGTTTCTTAACTAGCCTGAATTTACCATAGGTTTATTATAGGTACTGGGCATAAGTCTATTGGTGACCTGTAGCTTTCTGTACAATACAATTTTGGTATATGTGAGAGACAATCAAATCTAGTTTAGTCATATGAAGGATATTATTTACGATTTTTGTATCCGTTCTGTAACTGAAATAAATGAATGCAAAACAGGCCGATATTATTTTAGCATGACAACTTTTACTCCAAACTTAAGACTATAAAGAGATGTGTTGTCTTGTTTTTTGTTTCTGTTTAACAATTCCATTGTCTTCTCCATGCAGAATAGTATATGGGGCGACAAAAGATTGATGACAAGGTAAACCTTGTTATGTTGAGGTAAATTAATGAAGTTGCAGTAAAGGATGTCACATTGGGTTTCACAATGGTTTTGTCTGTTACATTATCCTCTTTGACAAACTCTAATCTAAATGTGGCTTTTACAAGTAGGCCAAACAAGCGCAAGCTTGTCGGATAGTTGAGCATAGAACCAGACACACTTAAATTTATGTGGTTTCAGCTTGACGGTCTGACTTCTGGTCTTCTGTTTGTACTTTACTTTGTAGATATCCATTTTTGGGTGGGAATGTGGTTTGGATTTTGTCTCTAATATAAGTTCAGATGTTGTCCTTGATTGGTGCAAAACATGTTCTTGTTGTACATAGATATAATATAAAGAAAAAAAATTAAGTCTTTTTTTTGTTTTGTGGAGGGTTTGATGAAACCAAACTCAAGTGTTGGGATATGCTTTTTGGATTCTTGGTGTTATTTGTTCTCTTTGTGCTCTTAGTACATGTACATTGTTCTTTTGGGAGGCTATCGACTATCGTGTCGTACTGCTGACACAAACCGCCAATACCAAAACATATTTTTAGGACAGAAATTGGCCCTGTGGTTTCTTGAGACCCCCACCCCCCACCCCACCCCCCCCCAACAATCAAGAAAACAAAATAGATGAAAAATTTGTTGCTCCTGAAGTCCTTAAAGGTGGAGTGCTACTACTAAGTAGTAGAGCGCCAATATCAACATCCCTTTGTTTACGGAAAAAGATATTTCTTTTTCTTAGCTTTTGGTTAAATAAATAAACACATGTATATTTATTTTTTATATATTTATACTCTCTCTGTTCCATTTTAAATTGCTTGTTTTTCTTTTCTCTCCGTCCCAAAATAAGTTGCACGTTTCTTGTTATCGTAAACTATTAAGAGTAAAATACCTAAACTACCTCTAAAATAAGTCATTCTTCTTCACTTTATTTTATTATTCATCGTCACCCATCCTAAAAAGTAATAGCAATTTCTGAAAATTAACGCTATTTTTTCTCTTCTTTAAATATGCCTCAAAGTCAAAACGAGCGATTTAAAACGGGACAGATGGAGTATTTAACTTCCCTAAGATTTTTTTGACCTAGGAAATCAAGAACTGACAGTCCTCCCTTGTTAAAATTTGCTTACCCTCTGTATTTTTTTTATTCATTCATTCATAATACTTTTTCCTAAATTTATAAATAAAACTCACATTATTTAGGTGTTCTCATTTTACAATCGTGTTAGATTAGTCGCATTAAAATTTTGACCATATAAATTAAATCAGACTGCAATGATTTTTTTTTACTATGGAGGAAGCATTTTTTTTTCCATAGATGAGAGACATAAAGAAGGTTGCCAAAATGGGAAGAAGGATTTGCCAAAAGCTGAACACTCAAAGGATCATGATATAATATTACATGATGTGATCATATTCATCATACTTTATACCGTACGTTGTACTTCATTACCTACGTAAGAGAAGGCCGTGGATAACATTATGGTTTGCTAGTGAAAATAATTTAATTCTGAAAAAGGGTAGAACGCCCTCACATCTCGGCCCGACAGGATTGTGAGGATGTAAATTATGATATAATCTCAATTTAGTCATTAAAGAGGCCTTCCCGTACCCAGTGCGGCGGTGCGCTTAAAGAGATATTACATATAATAAAACTCTCACACTGTTGCTGTCGGGATTCGGGCCTATAGGATCAACGGACTTGACATTTTTTCTTCTTGGTCCACTTGAGTTACTCATGCGGGCAATCATTATATAATTCTAGTCTGGTTCTAAGAGGGGCGTCACATGGTGGTACCCACAATGAGCTTTTGTTAAGAATAAGACTCACACACTGCTGCTGCCAAAATTCGATCCAAGGACCTTGGGCTTGACGACATCCTCCCCTAGCCAGGAGAACTAAGTTATCCATTCCAGGATCTCATGGTAAGCACTCTTGTTGTTTATTATCATTGTCAAGAATCAAAAATGAAACTTACATTTTTAAAAAGTACATTAAAAATTCTACAAAATACTAGATGCCAAGAGTATTTTATTTTAATAAATGATAAATAAAAACATGCAAATAAACAAAAGTTATCGAGAGTCACAATGATAAAGAGGTAAATGATTTTCATGTAATCATGTGGAGGAGTATGTGACATAAAAACTTTTATAAAAGTGAAAATTTGAATTTTTTTAAACGAATATAAAAAGAACAGTAAAATTTTTTAATAAGACGGATGGACTAGACTTTTTTATAAAGAAATCTTTTGAGATAAGAACAAAATTTAGATAATATACCAAAACACATAATAGAAATCACCTACTAGTTTAACTTCAAGAATATGACTCTAACAATAGTGTAATAAAAGAGTGATGACAGTGTGATCGATCAACCATCAATAGTCAATGTTGGCAATGCTGATGCACTCTGGAAGCCAATGACAACGAAAGACATTGTGATTGTGGTAGTTTGTCTAGTTTGACTCGAAAAAGTCAAACTGGACAAATACACTGAGACGAATAGAGTATTTTTTATAGTATTTTTGATCGGTGTGGATCTAATGACACTGGAATACGGTGACATTCCAGTACGACTGTCATTTTGGAAACTTTTGGTACTCCAAAATTAGAGTGACAACGCTACTACGCTAGTGCCTCACCCATTTTTTTTTATTGTTACATAGACGCATACGCCATTGCACATTTGCACCCAATACCCATATCCTCTCCTCTGCACCAAAGTTAAAAAGAAAAAGATGAATCTTACCGTTTATAACCTTTTTCACTCGTCTTCTTCTTCCCCACCATGGAAGCTCTCACCCCAGATCTCTCTCTCTCCTTTATCCCTCCCACTCTCTTTCTCACACTCTCTGTACTCCATTACTCCACAGCTCGTAGCACGCTCTTCTCTCTGCTCTGAGTCGCCCTAACAATGTCGCCGGCCATCTTCTTCCTCTTGCTTCTCATATCCTGCTCGGCCTGCTCTGCATCCTCCTTCTCCGCCCACGGACGCCGTATTCTCCACCAGCCTTATCATCCTCTGCGTTCCGATCCTCCTGTCTCCCTGCCGCCGGCATCCACCGCTGACGGGAATGCTCCCTTCTTCCCTTCCAACGGTATGCCTCTGGTGCCTCCGTCTCCCAAGACGCTCGCGTCCTTCCCTGCGAATATCTCCTCCGTCGTCCTCCCGCGCGCCCAGGAACATAAGCCCGTCCCTTCCACGCTCATCGGCGCCGCCGTAGCTGGCGTGGCCGCCGCTGCGATCGTTATCGCGGTTTCCGTCTTGCTGGTCCGCCGGAAGAGGAGGAACGTTTCGGGTTTATGTGAGGGGAAAGACCACAGATCCGACAGCGGCAGTCGATTGAGTTACTGCAATAGCGCGGGCGGCGGCGGGAATCTGCTCGTTCCGAAGCTCCAGAGGCCATCCCAAACCAGTACTGAGTTCCTCTACTTGGGCACTATGGTCAATTTACACGGAGCGATCGAATCGCGCAATATGCAAAACCCTACTAGCAGTATTTCTACCAGCAACGAGACGCCGCTAAAAATGGACTCTCCGGAGCTCCGCCCGCTAGCGCCGCTTCACAGGCAGAGCTTTAACCTAAACTGCGAGAATACCGAGCTTAATTCCGAACTAGAGGAAGAAACTGACGTGTTTTATTCTCCCAAAGGGTCGTTGGGCGATAGAGAGAGCTCGATCGGAACTGGATCGGCTTCCAGGAGGGCATTCTCTGCGGTCGAGGTCGAGAATTTAGAACAATCCTCATCATCATCATCATCCTCTTCTTCTTCCTCGCCAAAGATGTCTGTGTGTCTGAGCATTTCCCCGCAGGCGAGTTTGAGCCCTAACAGCTCAATGCTAAAGTCACATGAATCGCTTGCTGTTTGGACGGCTCCTCCTCCACTTCAGCATCAACCTCACCCACCGCCTGTCTATGTGGCACATTGGGTTTATGCAAGAGAATCTGATTCGCCTTCTCCTGCTAGTTCATCCTCCCCGGAGAGATATTCTAGAAGAAGCATAGAATCATCTCCTGGAAATTCTGGCATTTGGGATCGGTGCGTAAAATCTCCTCTTAGAATTGTCAACGGTTTGGAATCTCCAGTGAAGTTGGACTCTCCATCTAGAAACAATGGAATGGGTATTGAATCTTCGGCGAGAATCAGTTGTCTTGATACAGAATCTCAGGTAAGAACCAGGCAGCAGAGAAGCCCAATTTCTGCTCCACCGTTCTCTTTGCCATCGGCACCTCGCGGTAGCAGTCAAAATCGAACACCTCCTCCTCCACCTCTGCCACCCCTGAGTAAACAATTAGAAGGTCCAAACAGTCATACTGAGAGTTCTGGGAAGAATGAGGCGATGCCGAAACCAAAATTGAAGCCATTGCATTGGGATAAAGTGAGGGGAAGGTCGGAGCGGGAAATGGTGTGGGATCAAATCGAATCAAGCTCATATAAGTATGATAATTTGGAACTCGGATGGGTACTTTATTTTTTTACATTGCAAGTTTAAATCCATGTTTTTGCTTATATTATGTTTTTGCTTAGCAATTGATATTGATCTGGATCATTGACAGGGTGAATGAGGAGAAAATTGAGACATTGTTTGTCTTAAATTCCCCAAATTCGAAATCAAATCCACAGGAAACAACCCGAAGCCAATTTCTTCCTTCGAGTAGCCAAGAAAACATGGTCCTTGATACGAAGAAGTCACAAAACATTGCAATCTTGTTGAGGGCACTAAGTGTCACCACTGAAGAAGTGTGTGGAGCTCTCATAGAAGGTATGCATTTTCTGTTGGTAAATGGTGTTATACATGTCAAGTTTCAGCATCATAATTTCACTGTTTTCATGTTATACCAAGGGTCAAAGATAAAATGAATAATTGAGTGTAGACTATCAGTGACAATGTTTGTGATTTCAGTTTTTCGGTATTAACATTAGTTTTTATTATGATACTTTACTTCACAGTGATGACAAATTATGCTACTTTATTCAGGAAATGTTGACGCTCTTGGGATTGAGCTTCTTGAGAGCTTGATGAAAATGGCTCCATCTAAAGAAGAGGAGCGTAAGCTTAAAGAGTATAAAGATTATTCACCATTCAAACTTGGAACCGCTGAGAAATTTCTCAAGGCATTGCTTGATGTGCCTTTCGCATTCAAAAGAATACATGCAATGCTTTACATTTCCAAATTTGACTCTGAGATCAGCTCTCTAAAAGGTTCATTTGAAATTCTTGAGGTATTCATATGATGTAAAAAGGGCATTGCTAGAGTATGGTTGATTTCATTGAATATTGCCATTTCGAGAATCTAATGGTTGTTTTGTATTTCCAAGGCGGCATGTGAAGAGTTGAGGAGCTGCAAGATGTTTTTGAAGCTTCTGGATGCTGTTTTGAAGACTGGGAACCACATGAACGTGGGGACAAACTGTGGTGGTGCACATGCATTTAAGCTTGATAATCTCCTCAAGCTCGTTGATATCAAGGGTGCTGATGGAAAGACTAGTCTCTTGCATTTTGTCGTTGAAGAGATAATTACAAGTGAAGGTGCTCATTTTGCTTATCTAAACCAAAATGGAAAGAAAGCTTTCAATGATGATACCATGCACCGGAGGCTTGGCCTTCAGGCTGTTTCTAGCCTCAGTTCAGAGCTAAGAAATGTCAGGAAAGCCGCCACCATGGATTCGGAAGTCCTCCACGCTGATGTTGTGAAACTTTCTGAAGGGATTTTCGACATTGTAGAGGTTGTAAAGTTGAATGAAGCTACGGTATTGGATGAAAGTAGCACACACAAGTTTTCAGAATCAATGAACAGGTTTTTAAAAATGGCAGAGGATGAGATTATAAGGCTCCGAGCCCAAGAGAGTGTGGCTATATCTCTAGTAAAGGAGATAACCGAATACTTCCATGGGAATTCAACCAAAGAAGAGGCGCACCCGTTTAGAATCTTCATGGTGGTGAGGGACTTCCTGGCGATTCTTGATCGCGTGTGTAATGAACTTGGAATGATAAATGAGAGAACGTTGGTGAGTTCTGCACACAAATTTCCTGTTCCAGTAAATCCCATGATGCACCCAGATGGAGGATTCTCTCAGAGAACAAATTTTGGCTACTCTGATGATAGTGCTTAGCACTAGACGTTATTATTCCCCAATGAGCTAATCAGACCAGGCATATTCGACTAGGAGGTTGTCTCATTCTAAGAATGTTCCTTGCCAACACACTTTTTGGGTGCCAGATATATAGTTTTTGCATTTATCATGTGCATATTATGTAAACAGTTATTTAACACGGAGTATTAGTAACTGTTATAGAGATATTTTTGCACCAGATTTTTCTTGCATATTAGAATGAGAACTCTAGGAAATCAAATTAGGTTCAAGTACTAGTATGCTCTGCTTAGATACTAGAGCGTGTGCATTGGGCGCGCCGAAGTAGTGCAAGATTAACCACATTTCCCGGCATTAATGCTTATATAATTAATAATTGTCACTTACTTGCCTACCCCTGAAATCTTGACCAAAACTTGTTGGTTATACAGTTCTACTTTGTTGTGCTGTATGTGAGTTTAATATACGAAAAACGATGCTTGCTATTTTATTTTTATTTTTGCTTTGGGTAGAAAACAAGAGGGGGGGGGGGGGGGTAAATTTCCTATAAGCTGATCTGGCACAAGTTTCTGTGTGGTTACAATATCCCAGGAACATGTTGGCTGCGACTGGGCACACTTGCAAGAAGCTCAAAGTTGAAATCCATGTAAGTCTTATATTGTTTTTTTGTGTGTGTTGGAAGTTAGCTGAACTTCATTTAAGATGGCTCCACCCCCGCGTTCTAGGAGAGACAACTGCATTAAAACTTTGCTGTAAAAATGAGTTAGAATAATAATAGGTTTATGCTTTTTGTGGCCGATCTTGAATGTTTTTACTTGGATTATCGAATGCGACAATGTACTTGCAGTTTCATGGACGCATCAATTGGATCACGGTTTCTCATCATACACGGTATCTTCACTTCTTTCTCTCTTTGTTCTATTCATGGACGAACTATTGCATATTTACATATGTTGTGTAGATTGCGTAGTTTCAGTTACAAATTGTGCTTGCATTTTTAAAAAATTATGTTGATTTAAAATGCGATCAATTTCTCGAGCGGTTTCATTCACGAGATGTGAATACTATATATATCCATGCACATTTTATTGTATTATGTGGTTACTACTGCCACTTTTAGGTTATTGTAAACTCCACATTCTACAAGGTTTACATTTCGCCATGTTTCGTATAGAATCATGTCTCATCTTTGTGGGCTTTGCCTGAACGTTGATTCGCACCACCTCTCCCCTTCTGGATCATTAGATGCATGTTTCTTCTATTGCAATTAATCAAAAGTGTTAGCAAATTAACAAAAAATAACCATTTTTTTAAATTTCCATAGCCATACTTTTAAATGGGACACATACTTCAATTCAGCCTATTGAAACTTCTTTACAAAAGAGAATCACAATAACATGTCACCACTGCCCATGCAAGTAAACAGATGAAGAATCAAGGTTTTTTCTTTTATGAATTCATGTTAAGACTCTGATTGGTACACAGAATTCAAACTATAGAATTGGATTTGGGGACAATAATTTTAATTTTGCAGTTTGGTAGCACAAAAATGTGTGAATTTGGAATTGGTAGTGACAAAAATGAATTGGAATGGGAGAATTCAATTTCATCCAAATCAATTTCATAGAATTTCAACTCTCAGGGTCCGTTTGGTTAACGGAATTGACGGATTTGGAATTGAATTGGAATTGAAATTCCACGGGATTCAATTTCATAGAATTGAATTTTGCCAATTCCAATTCATTTTTTGTTCTATTAATTCCAAATCCACATATTTTTTGTGCTACCAAACACCAAAATTGGAATTGAACTCTTCAATTCTAATTCCATAGTTTGAATTCCGTATACCAAATGGGGCCTCAATTTAATTCTAATCCTGTCAATTTCGTGTACCAAACGAACCCTAAGTGTTTTTTTTTGTGGCAAATATAGTGGGGGGAGAGCATCAATGGAGCTGGGATGATTGTTTGTAAGACACTGGTGATGTCACCATTGAGGTTAAAGTAACATTTTCCAAATTTTAAATTTTACAAACACGTTTTGTCCGTTTACATTGTTTAAATCATACTCCGTACAAGTTTTACTGCTACAGTTAAAAATTGAGGTGTGATATAGGCTTTGGTTGATAAAATCATCATCGTATTGGATTGGATAAACAATTGATTTTTTACCAATGTTAAATTCAATATTTATTGATTGGTTCAATTTAACCCAACATAATAGTAGCTACGATAAAGAGTGTATCGAGCATGTGTAGGACAAATTAGAGGCTCATTGAACATTCTTTCCGGTGAAAAGACCTACGAAGACAAATTAGAGGCTCATTTTTTAATTTTAATTAATTTTAAAAAATGACAAAATATTCTTTAAAAAATGACAAAAAATGACGTCTGTCTCAGAATATTTATTCAGTTTTGAATTTTTGTAAAAATTGGCAAATCTAACCATTAATTACAAAATGATTTTAAGATGTTAATTCAAAAATAAATTTATTAAATTTATTTTATAAAATATTTTTTAAAATATTGTGTTTTCTAGTTAATATATTATACTCTATAATTTTAGTTTAATTATCAGTCGAAGCTTGAATGTGATTTATTGTAATTTTTATTTGCATAAACTTTTTCATACAATTTTTTTAAATGTTCTGATAAGCTATTAAAAATTCTTTAAGTAATCGAGAAATATCTAAATACAAATTATTTTTTCCCTCCCGAAATTGATTATAATATTCTCACTTTGGTAACATGTACACACTATAGAGACTAAAATACCTCACTTTTTGTTGATATCCTCCACCCCCTTGTCATTGATTAAAGGTATTTTGGGAAAGAAGTTTAAAATTTTAACTTTATCTTAAGATGAGTAAAAGAGTAAATTTCATAATTAGTTCTTTATAACAAGAAGTTTTCATATTTAGGCTCCATTCCGTTCAACTTATTTTTTTTGATTTGATCTGATTTTTTGTAGTTCTGATCTAGTCTGATCTGATCTCATTAATTATGATTTGATTTAAAATTAAAATCAATAATTTGATTTGACTATATAATAACGTTTAAAAATTGTAATGATACTTCATATTATAATATAATCAATATTTTTATTTTATGATTATTTTTTAATAAAATGAGATTAGTTAATTCATACTCCGTATATTAGAATAATCATTAACATTAAAATGCAATAATATTTTTTATTTTATGATTATTTTTTTGTGAAATTAGAATATTAATTTAATATTTTAATAATTACGGAGTACTTTATGTATACATTAGAATAAATATTTAATTTATATATACATTAAAAAGTAATTAAATTTAGATAATTAATATATAGAAGATAAAATATTTTTATTAAGATATCTCATCCTTATAAAAGATCAAAACTTTAGAAACTCAAATTACAAGTAGCAATAAAAATATATTTTAAAAGTATAATTAGATTGACATTGTCAATTTATTTTAAAAATAATTTTTCCGACGTCTAATAATTAAGTATTACTTTCTCCGTTTTCTATTTAACTTGTTTCTAAAGTTTATTCTTTTTCATTTTTAAGAAGAAGAATAATAATAGCAATAATTACAACAACAACAACAACAATAATAATAATAATAACAAACAACAACAACAACCTAGGTGAATCCCACAACAGTAAATAATAATAATAATAATAATAATAATAATAATAATAATAATAATAATAATAATAATAATAATAATAATAATAATAATAATAATAATAATAATAATAATAATAATTCTTGATGGCATCTGATTGGATCTGATCTGATCTGATTTTAATAATAAAAAATAAGAAAAAATAAGTTGAACGGAACGGGGCCTTAATCCTCTATTATTGAGTATTACCTCCGTAATCCTTCTTTTGTTCCTTTTTTAATCTTCTATCATGTTGGTGTTAATTTCAATGCTAAAAGTATAATTTGACATGAATCTTAAGTCCAGTGTGGTATTATGATATTGGTTGGACAAATAACACAAAAATGACGACTATGATTGTGCGTTAGAATTCCGACAAAAGATCACATCTGCAGACTATGGTTGTAGTAAAAAACGAATGCAACTCACAAATGATGCATTAGGGGCATTCTTTGGATTGTGTATGACAGGAAAGATATATTATCATTGTGAAATTTTATTTTTAGCCATCAAATTAACACCAACATGGTAGAAGAAAAAATAATTATTTGTGAAAAAGTATCCATAATAAATATGAAACCTCCTAATATAAAGGATCAATTATAAAATTTATTCTCTGTAAAAAGAGAATTTATAATTATTTTTGAAACGGAAAGAGTGAAAAAAAAAGAGGAGAAATTAGAGAACTATTTGGATTTTGGAACATTGGACCCCTATCCTTTTGGTTGGATGATCGGACCAAATATACAGGCCCAATTGACCGGTTGAATATCCGGGTTGCCCCACAAACCGGCAAGCCTGCAACTAAATCCCTAGTTCTCCCTCCCCTCGTCGCCGGCGGTTGGACGGTGGGGAAGAAGCGAACCATGCGGTTTCAGATGCTTAAACAACCGTTATGCAGCTACTACGCATTCACCTCGAGAAATAGCTTCAATTTCCTCTCCAAATCAGAATTCGCTCCTCAGTTCTCCGGTGCGTATTCATTTCTTTGTCTTTCTACAATTGCTCTATCGCTGAGTTCATAATCTCTTATGAATTTGAGGAAAGCTATTGGTCTGATTCTTTCCGGTTTCACGGTTTTTTTCTCAGCAAAACGGATGGGAATCAAGGGTCACGTTCATAGAGGTTTTGCAACATCGGCGAAGATTCAGAACAAGTAATTTCACCTTTTTGAAATGAATTTACTTGAATTCTGAAGCCTTTAAGTACAAAAGGAATGAGCTTTTTTGTTTTGGTTTTTGCCTTTTTTGGGTTAGGAAGAGGAGACTAGATGAAATATGCCTGGAGAGATACCAACAATATAGTCGAACATTTATACAATCTTGGATTCTACAAGGTAAACTTGGTGATTATATGGGACTCTGAAAACTCTAATCACAAAGGTTGTATTGTTTTTGCCAGCTTCATATAGTCACTGCTATGAAAAAAAAGCTATTGCATAGAAGAGAAAGACATTTTAGGGTTTCTTTATCGTCCGGCAGGGAAGGTGCTTGTGGATGGTAAAATTGTGACCAAAGCTGGAACTCCAATCCCTGAGAAAGCTGTTGTGGAGATCATAGCTGAAGTTCCAAAATATGTATGTAGGTGAATATATATTGTTTTCATCTTCCTTTCTTCATAATTTGGATTTGGTGAACAGCCAGTTTGGTGTTTTTGCATTTTAGGGTAAATGCTTAATGCAATTCTTTTAACTCTGATCATATTTGAATTTATAAAGCATTTCATTTTTTACTAGTTTCACAATTTTAGAGATTCTTTCAATATTTGTAGAGTGGTATATATGGATTAAAAGTTTAATCAGATGATGGACTTGACTATTTTTTTTTTTTACGTTAGCTAACACATAAACAAATAGTTTAGTATAATTCTCAAATTTCAGACTGTTACCTCCACAAAGAAAGTAAAGATCCGTCAAATGGAAAATTAGGAAAACCCCTTTTTAGAAATTAAATAGTCTTCCAAAAATGAAACTTATACATATGTGTGTCACATATGTGTAATGGGTATAGTTTATTTTCCTGGATTTGCAGAGGTGGACACAAGTTAGAAGCTGCTATTGAGAAACTGGAGATCGATGTAGCTGGAAAGGTTGCTCTAGACTCTGGCTTGTCAACTGGAGGGTTTACTGATTGTTTACTTCAGTATGGTGCTTCCTATGTTTATGGTGTTGATGTAGGATATGGACAGGTATGAATCATTAACTGTTATGGAGTATTTTTGACCTATTATGTGCATTGTGTGTAATTTGTGTATGAACTACTTAGTCACACGTAAGTTCTTTCTGCTTGCTCAGGTTGCTGACAAAATCCGTCGGGATGAACGTGTAAGTGTTATAGAGAGAACAAACTTGAGGTACCTTTCTGACCTTCCGCAAAAGGTTGATGTGGTGACTTTGGATCTCTCCTTTATTTCAATACTTCTGGTAAGGTTTCTTGGACTTGGGAAGTTGGCATACCTTTTTGTGTATATTTTAAAGTATTTAGTGATGAGCTGCATTAAATTTCTTTATGGTTTATGTTGATTGTAATGAAACACTCCTTAATATTTACTGCTTGAGTGGTTTATAAATTCATCTATTTCCCTTTTTTCGCTGCACCAGGTCATGCCATCCGTGGTCAATTTGATGAAGGAAGATGCAACATTAGTTACTTTGATTAAACCTCAGTTTGAGGCCCGCAGAAACCAAGTAAGAAATGGTTATCAACACTCACTCTTTTATAATCATTTACTTTGCTGATCAGAAACCTATCCGAAATAGTGCTACCATAATGATCCTTTCCTTGCAACTCAAACACTAAAAAGTTTACAGCATTTATGAAATGGAGTTCATGGTTTGATGATTTCACATAATCATCCACAAGTAGTTTCCTATTTGTGTCATGTGCAATATAAATTCTACTGTACTACCTTTCTGAATTGCTGTCCTTCAAGTTTGCATGTTTCCCCATATTTAAGTTCGCATTTTCTTGAGTTCAAGAAAAGATGATATTTGAGATTTATTAAGGAAGGAATACTTTACTTTGGTACATTCATAAAAGCAGCGAAATTTAAATATGGGACAAAGGAAGTAGTGTATATGATATACCTAAAACTCAATAGAATTATGAGTCTTTGTAGGTTGGGGGTAGTTTGGGCACGTAAGAAGGCGAAGCGTTGAGGCCCCAATAAAGAGATGTTCTAGCTTGCAGTAGAGGGCGTATAAATGGGTAGAGGTGATTAGACAAAGCTTACGACTTCAAGATCTAACCCAGGATATGACCTTAGGAACTCTTGGAGATTTAGGATAAGACTATAAAGTTTGTGTACCCGCACTCTCTTCTAACCTTACTTATGTGGGATTTTGGTGGTTTTGTTGTTGTTGTAGGTTGGGGGTGGTGGAATAGTAAGGGATCCATTGGTCCATCAAGAGGTATGCATTTGGTGATGGTTTTCTTTATACTTATTTCACTTTCAATGCTCTACAAGAAGTTGTAAGACCATGTGATTATGATCGTTCTTGAATAGGTCGTCGAGAAGATTGTGAATGGGGTGCAAAGTTATGGCTTCCAATGCAAAGGCTGGATCGAGTCCCCATTGAAAGGGGCTGAAGGAAACACAGAATTTCTTGCTTGTTTCTACAGAGCAGCCATTGAAAACACAGGCCAAGCTGGGGAATAGTAACTCGATCTAATGATTATAGGAAATAAACCTCAAAAAAAAGAGAAGGCTTTGTAGAATTGAATGCATTTAGTTTAATGTTTGCTGGGATTATTTAGTTTTATCCATCCATTTTTAATTTACTATTGATGTTGTCTTTAGGAACTCTTTACTGCTACATTCGAAAGAAAGTTCTCGTTTCGGTTTACAATATTTGATATGTTTTCATTTTGGTTTTGATGTTTGATTTATTTAAAAATTACATTAAAAAGTTTGCTACTGCATATAAAACAAGTGACTTAGACCATTTATCATCTTATCAAACTATCACCGAAAAAATGATATACTCGGTACTTATTTTTTGTATTTGTTTCAAAACAAGGGTAAGACTTTCTCATTTCTACCTAATTTTATTAAAACATTTTTAAAATTTATTTTTTTAAAAAAAATTTTGTAAAATCAAACTGTAGACTCTTTTTGAAATGCAGGGAGTACTACAAAAAAAAGGAAGTATAGGGTCTTCAATTTTGACTTAGGTATGATATTCCATATATGGTTGTCTATGATACTCATTCTGTTATCCGATGTTATTGTTGGAAGTATACTACTTCATCCAGAAAAAAAATTCTGATTTGTCCTGACATGGATATTAAGAATTGTTAAACAGGGTAAATATTTTTCATGTGTTATTCTTGATTTGATGGAGTAAATGAATAGTGTAGAGAAAAGTATGAGTACAATACATGTTCATTAAAAGTTTTTTGTCAAAATAAGGAACGTGGAATAAAATTTTGGATAACCCAAAGAAAAAGTATGAAAAAAATTAATGGACGAAAGAAGTAAAAAGTGGCACGCCAAACGATAGGTTTTCACATCGCACTATAAATTACTCCGTATAAAAGCCCTAAGAATAATCACAAAGGGATTCTTGGTGTCACAATAAATTATAAAAGCCCTAAATAGGACTTTTGTTTAAATCAATAGGAGAATAATTTAATACTCATAACAAATATTTAATTCCAAAATTAGGTAGAATGAAAGTTATTTTAAATAAAAACTCCGAAAATATTATTAGGGCTGCCAACGGATAGCCGAAAATCCGATTACCGTCCGCATCCGTATCCGTTTAAGGAGGAAATATCCGCATCCGTTTTAAACGAATATTATCCATATCCGATTACTAAACGGATACGGATTTGGTAATTGTATATCCGATCCGAATATGCATCCGTTTAAATAACCGTTCATCCGAATATCTGATCCGTTATATATAATTTTTCCTAATTTTTTATGTTTGTATTTTGTTTCTCTATTGATATTTCAAAGTACAAAACATTTTTATACACAAAATAAATGTGTAGACATATAAATATATATGCAACATATAAAAATATGTGTATATGTGTATTGTGTATATGTTTTTATCATATGAAGTTATCGTAGAATATAATAAATCATGAAAACAAAGAAAATAATTATCTCATAACAAATTATAGTTGATTTAATTATAGTTTGGCTTTTATCTAATTTAAAATTAAAGTATTGTTTAATTTGATTTTAAAAATTGGAAACGGATACGGATACATCCGATATCCGACCGATGCGGATACGGTTTTGATTTTCAATATCCGTCAAGATCCGTATCCGAATCCGATATCCGACAAAAATAAATGGATGCGAATTTGGTAATGCCACATCCGATCCGATTAATATCCGTTTACAACCCTAAATATTATGTTTAGTAACACCAGAAATTTACAATTCAAACTTGTAAACTGCGAATAATTATAGTGGGAAAGTATTCATACAGAGAAATATTAAAAGTATGAACATATTACAATACAGTACATAATAAGGTTATATTGGTACAACATATTACTACAAATCAACAAAGCTATAGCTTCTTTAAAGTTTCTCACAGATTTTCAAATTAGGCAAACTGAGGGAGGGTCAAAGCTTTATAAAAGCAGCTTGAATTAGTGCAGGTAAGGAGCCTGGTAATGGTACCCATTTCCAAAGAAGTTTCCATGCACAGGAATGCCATAAGCCGGAGCGCTGAACGTGGGACCGCGGGTGTCGACCAGTCCGGTGTAAGCATATGGTCGGTCATATGCTGCATATTGTGGTGGGTACCTGTCGGTCATTCTTGGACTGTTCATGTCAGTGGCAACGCTAGCGAACCGGGGCCCGTTTGCAAAACCGTTAGCGCGGGGTCGTTTCGGTTGGGGTTTTGCAACTTCTGTTCCCCTTTTGGCGACCGCCTTTGCTTTCTCCAGGTGGAGAAGTCGTTTTTGCAGTGGGCCCAAGGGATACTGGTGCTCGAGCTTATGGTCCTCAATGCATTTGATCACGGACTTAAGTGCATTGAGCTCCTTCTCATTGATATCATTCTAGAAATTAAAGAAAACATTCTTAGTTTCAAGAGAATGTTCGCACAGAGAATATGTAAATACTTTCCTTGTTTGTCTTCGTGTTTGGAGTGAATGATATGACCCTAGATGGGAACACCTAGATATCTAGGATTAGGATTAGGGTAGCTGAATAGACCTCTGGGCCCTAGGTTGTAGTTTATATTGGGGTGTTTTTGCCTTAGACTGTTGCTTGTATAGTTGCTAGTGTCTGTATGTGTGACGTGTGTTCATTGTATATATGATCTTACTCGGTTTGTGCTAATATGTTTGCTTTGTTAGTGCTTCTGTGTTTGTTTTGAGCCATGGGACTCTTCGAAAGAGTATCTCTACCTTCAAGTAGGGATAAGGTCTGCATAGACACATTCTCCCCAAACCTTATGTGGGACTTTACTGGATTTTTTGTTGTTTGTCTCTGTGCTCATGAGGAAAATGAATATTTTGGGAGTCAAAATATTATTTTGGTACTACACTAACAACTTTCTTTTCCATAAAAACATTTTCCAAATAAAGTTAATCTTACTTCCCAGCAATTAGCCTAATTGTTGATTCATCTCAACCCAGTTCCCTAATAAAAAGGCATGATTAATAGACAAACCTGTGAGCGAGATGCATTTCCACATTTACTGGGAGAAGCTTTGCTTGCTTCATTCAAATAAGACTTCAGTAGAGAAATGGGTGGGAACTGCTCTGTTACCTCAAAGGCATAAGCTAGATTAATGGCATCTATATGCCTTCCATTATTAACTAGCACATTAATAACACCTGTGAAGAAAACAGCTAACCATTAGTGTCACATAAAACTTACCAAACCAAACATCAAGATAATAAGATTTAATAGATGAAGTCATATTCAGTACCCATCAATCAATCCAGCTCATTAAAACTCACATTCTAACGAAAATATAATTTGGGGGATGAAGCAAATATCAGTGTCACTGCCACCAAGTAGATCTTAGGGCCAGCTTTGTAGACTTCATTTTTGACCAACTTATTTTAACACCGCATTCCTAATGTCATTGAATCAGCAGATAAATTGTTAAAAGTGAAAATTTTGCCTATTTGACTCAGTTTGAAAAACTAACTTAATTTTTGGCTGATGCACCAACATTTATTACTTGATTTTTTTTTAATTTAGTTATATAATTCTAGGTTCAGGTTAAGCTAATTCGGTCATTTCAGCTATTAGAAGTGTCCTCCTGCACATCAACATCTTAATAGGCATCATTGCTCAAAATCAAAGTAACACAGGAAAGATTCACCTTTTGATGACCTGAGATCAAATATAGAGCAAGCGAAATACATTTCTCTATCACATAATGAAACCATTTACTAATTAGCAAACCACAAGAAAACATGAACAGAAATAATGTCGTAATTGGATAGAAACCTGGCATGTTATCTGACAATTCAAGGGAACGGCATAAATCTGCTATTTGACGGCGCCTGGAAACCATAGGCACCAATTTGACTAAATCCTCCGGCTCAAAATCCGTGTTAATACAGAAAGTGGCAACTAGTTGTAGGAAAGCATGAGCTTCCAAAGAGTTTCCATGAATGGCATCAACATCAAGTTCATCTAACTTTGGCTTCCATTCTTTAGCTTTAGCTTTAGCTCGTTCCTTAATACCTTCTGGGATGGGACTTGATAACATGCTAAGGCACTCCATCAACATAATACAGGTTCTTCGAACTCCTAGAAGGCCAGCATCTTTCTTAGCATCCAAATTTGACATTGATGAATTGTAGAAACCCTTGAGTGAATCCAGAACCAAAGAGGCAGGATCAGCTGCCGCCATTAAAGCATTAGGAATCTCATCCCTTACGGCAGCCAAATTCTTACGGTTGTCAGATATAAATTTGTGCAGTCCATCTGAATCCATCTCTCTGCATAACCTAACTAGCTCCGGATAAGACGAATTGATCTCCACTTCTACATCTTCATAAGGTTTCCCAGAGTCTACTACTATGTCAATCGATGTGGTTGCGGCATCACTTGGCTCTTCCTCAACAACACAAGAGCCAACTCGGTCCTCAACATTAACAACATCAGATCCAGCAGAAAATAGGCCGGAATGTTTACCTAGAGCAATGGAAATAGCAGAAACCGCAGCGTCTCTCTTCTCTTGGAGGCTTTCGAGAGAAGTTTTCTCCATAGCCAGAACAGACACCTCGCGTTTCTCCAACATCTCCCTGGATCGAACGATTTTCGACTCGAAATCCCTCTCCTGCTCCTCCAACTCGGTGAATCGCCTCTTCAGTGACTTCTCCAGGCCATGAAAATGCTCTTCCAGTTGCTTCCATTTCAGGTTAAGAGCAACGGCGCGGTGACTCTCAAGCTCGGCGAACGCTTTCTGAAGCTGCAGTAATTTTGAACTTGTGGCGTCCATATTATGAGGCTCCGATGCTCCCGGGGCTTCTCGTTGCCGGAGACGAGGCCGGCGTATCTTCAGTGCAGCCGGCGGTCGGATGCACAGATCTGTTTTGGAGTTGCGTTGTTTTCATATCTTTCCGGAATTAGGGCCGACTACGTATCATGGGCCGATTCTTGATGTGCAGTTCGGCCCAGAAGGTATTCGGTTCGGATAATTATCAATTTAGATTTCATATTCCTTTTTTTAGAAAATAATTCATGATATCTCTCTGCCTTCTTCATAAATCACAATCATAATTGATTTAAACTAATTAGTGATTTGTTACTAATAAGTCATGATTTGATGGTTTGACTTGTTTCGGTCTGATTAAATTTGAACCTAATTAGTTTTCGGGTTTTGTACGTTCGAGCCTTGTTTGTTTAGGTCGTGTCGATTTAGGTCAAATTCTGGTTTAATAACAATTATTTCAATTCTTATTCAATTTGGGTCATTCAGAGTTTGGGATATAAAACAAGTATTCATTTTTGCGGTCATCTTGGGTTTGATTTTAGATTCTTAGATTGGATAATTATTTCAAGATTTGTTTGTATTATTCCCTAAATAGATTACAATTTTTTTCTCTCTTCTCTCAATAAGTTTTTTTGTTTACGTGATTTCATTAAGTATTTGATAAAATAAAATATTCTTGTCACCTCTTGTTTTGTAGAACTTTTGACGTAGTTTTTTAATATTTAAATTTTTTATCTTATTGATATACCAATTTGTAAATAAAATAATTTTAAAAAGTAGAAAAATTTACTCCGTAACTCGCAATTTGTAATCAAATTGGGGACGAGGGAGTATTATATATGTGTGTGGACTGTGGGTGGGTGCATGCATGCGTGAATATGATAAAGAAAATTCTAATGATGAAATAATAAATTATACAAATACACCAAGCTAGAACAAGTATGATATAGGAGTAAGAAGTACATATCAAAACAATAATTTTAATCAAATGAAAAAAAAACACTTCAATGGTAATGTTGTTTTTTTCAATTTTTCCAATGTGGATAAGGCGGGAGAAGGAATAAAAAAAAGAGAATGAGAATTCAAGATAAGGCGGCAAAGCCACCGCCCTTCATCATCTGCCGGAACTCGTCGTAATTAACCATACCGTCGCCGTCGACATCCACCTTGGCGATCATTTTCCGGCAATCCTCCACCGTCCTCCCCTGTTTCAGCCCCAGCGACGCCAGCACCGACCTGAGCTCCTCGACGGTGATGAACCCGTCCCCGTTCTGGTCGAACACGTTGAACGCCTCCCTCATCTCCTCCTCCGCCTCCTCCTCCCCGCCGCCGTCTCCGCCGCGCATCTCCGCCATCAACGCCCCGTACAGCGTCCCGAACTCCTCCATGTCCACGTACCCGTCCCCGTTCACGTCGATCTTCTCCACCATCTGCACCACCTCCTTCTCCGGGATGTGTATGTTCAGCTTTTCCAGCGACTCGCTCAGCTCCTTTCTCGTTATCTTCCCGTCCCCGTTCCGGTCAAACATGTGGAACACCCGACGTAGCTCCGTCGGATCCATTTCCATATCTCCCGCCGCGCCGCGCCGCCGCCGCCCCAAAATTATGTGCCAAATAAATATATATTAATGAATTGATAGCTAGGGTATTTATATTTACATAATCCTAAAAAAAGGGTTGGATTTTAATTAATTAGATGAATGTGGAATTGTTTATATAGGAAATCTTTTGGATTGGTGGGCTATAAGGGTATATATAGGAATTAATTTGCAAGAAGAAAGGGGAAAAAAAGTTAAAGTTTGATTGATGGGGAAGAGTGGGGAAATATATAGGGGGAAAAGTGGTTGGAGAAAATGGGGAAATGAGGGGTGGTGGTGATGATAAGGTTAATTTGAGACACTAATTTTTGTGTGTGTATATTTATTGAGTAAGATGAAGGGTATGGAGAGAATAAGGGGTTATAATTTACTTGTGTATCATTTTTTGTATTTAATTCGAGATTATGTTTATTGTCAACTGTGTTGCTGAATAAATATTAACGTGTTAATTGTGTTCTGTGTTTTTTAAAACTAGATTTTAAATTAAAGTGTTAAGTGTCTTGTTAAAACAGTATATCAATCGTATAATGAGCATAACAAAAGGCAATTATCTCTACTCTAATGATGTTTTTCATCCATGTGGAATTAACATTAATCCATGTAAAAATCATGATGGTGTTTGATTAATGTTTTTCATCACATAATTTTGCTTCTTCTTATACCTCTTGAAAAAAGGTAAACAAAAAATTTAATTTCAAACGAAGAGAGTAGTAGATTGATTAATATTAATATGTTGGAATTGGTTTGTGAAATTTGGGAGGAAAAGAAGAGGAATAAGTTTTCTCCCATTTTCCACACTAGAATTATCACAACATTTACTAGGTGCTTTTTAATTTATTTATTTATCAATTCATTTTCTTTTCTAATATTTTTTTAAAAATATATATTTTCAACCTGGTGTATTTCATCGCTTAACTTGCCCCTCGGTGTGATCTTGATAATTCCTTATTTCTAAGGTATATTTTATAATTCATTATAGGACGGAGGGAGTAATTTATTTTCTAACCACAAATTATACAGACAATTAATTTCAAACGAATAAAGAAAGAAGGTGAATGGAGGAGAACAAGTGCATAACTATTGAGTATTGACCCACAAAAAAACTTAAAATTTGACAACATTTTTCAATACATTGGACAAACAAAACTAGACGATTATATTAAAAATTAGCAGAAATACAAAAATTGTGTGAAACTATATATTGTGGGAGTCCCCTAAAAATAAGAATATAGGATAAAAAAATTATTATTTGTGTAGTTGTAGTATTTGATGCTTCAAATGGTGTTGCCCTCCAGCCAACGGGTATAAAATGCTAAGGCTTCTTGTGGTTTGTACTCTGGGACAGTGTGTCCTGCTCCCTGTAAGGTAGTTAAACAAAATGGACATATTAAAAAACAAAAATGCTAGTAACCCACCACTGGGTGCCCCCACGGATGATTCATACATACACAGACGATTGTTTGTATAAAATCACTTGTGATTGTTATCCGTGGGGGCAATCGTGGTGGGTTTCTACTTTCTAGCATGATCCATTAAAAAAACACAGGCTCGTTTCACTATGTTTTTTTTCTTTTCTTTAAGGAGTCAAAAATGGAGTTAAAAGAGTCACGGTTGGCGAGGTTTTAGCTCCCGTCGTAATAATGGACTAAATCAAAATGACACGTTACAAAACATGTTTTATGTTTTAGGAATTTGAAGGCAAAATTAGAATTCTTGAAAACAGAAAACGTAAAACATGAAATGCTTCCAAACGAACCCTAACACTAGGTTTGGTTCAAGGAATTTGGAAGGAAAAGAAAAAAAAATGATTTTCTCTCATTTTCCTCACCAAAATGGGAAGAATTTGGTTTTCCCTCCACTTAGTACATTTTGCATTCACATTTTCTTTTCCTCTCTAACCAAACAAGAAAAATTGTTTTCCACTTCATTTTCATTTCTTTTCCCTTTCAAATTCCTTGAACCAAACATAGTGTAAATGTTTTTAGCTGCAGTTGATGTGAAGCATATATTACCTTAATGGTGAGAAAGGTGAGGTTATGGTCATAGCCCTGCACATACCTGCAAACAACATAGTAACACATTACAACAAGATTACAGAAGAAGAAGATGATGATGATGAAAACTCAATCAGAAAAGAAGAAACTTGGCTAAAGTTTTTTTTAATAAGAAGGCAAATGCTATTTTAACATCAAAGATGACACCAAGGTTGACACCATCCATCATACAACCACAAACAGTCATTGTCGGTGATTGTCAGTGAGACTTTAGTCGTGTCAACCTTGGTGGGTTTGTAGCATGGCTAAAAAAATACTATGACCAAGCAAATAGGGATTGGAATGAAGCACATGCCCTGCAACTTGCTCATTCACAATCCATGGCCTCCAATCATCAATGGTCTTATATCCAATCGACCTTGTCCACGCTTCACTCCCAGTAAATGGCACACACATATCATGATCACCACTGCAAGTAATATTGGCGTTAGGGATCAACCAACCAATCAAGCTTGAGCTTTTGGTTTAGTTGGTTTGGGGATAGTTTCTTCCTAGAAGGTCAACATGAGTAGTCCAAGGTCTTATATGTTGGTTTATGTTATATTATCGACCAAACCCTTGGTGCTTTTCAGTTTTTTGGGGCACCCTTTAGGACTCCTTTGTTTTTTACATCACAAATGTCAAATTCGTAATAAAAAACAGTAGTGAAAAAGGGACTATACCTGTATACAAGTGCCCGATAACCCCGAGAAGTTAGATTCTTATGAAACGTGATCATGCTTCCAGCGTCATGGAAAAAAGTAATCTTACCCGTACATATGTCAAAAGTGCCGGTGACATTTTCCTGTTGAGCCAAAGAATGGTCAGCAGCTAATCTATAAGATGATACAGAGATGGATATTGTATTTATCTTACTTGTTCTGCATGAATTGCTTTCCTTACTTCTGCATTGTTCAGCCATGAAGTGGCGGCTCTATCATCCTGCATTTGAGAACTCTAGATGTATTGAAATGGATTTGCCACATGAAGGGAAATCAATGAATCACAAGCACTTTCTAATTAATTGTGGCATCAAATCATGCATAGAATGCTAAAACGTCGATGATTTAGAAAGATAACATACTCCCTCCATCCCAAAATCAAGTTCCGGTATGCTTTTTCATGGAGTTTAAGAAAAGGTAAAATAGGATGGTTGAGGACTTGAGGTTTATGCAAAGAAGAGTTAAATACCCTTAAACAAAAGAGGTTGTTTCCCTTAGAGTTGTGATGCAATACTGTGTTTACTATCCAAAACTAAGAGGAAAATGAAGTTTAGTGTGTCATGTTTTTTAGTTATCACTTCAGTTTTTACCCGGAGCTAAACCATTTTTAATAATGACTTTGTTGGACCTCAGGCGCTACCAATTTTTCCAAAACCAATTGGTGTCAGGAATTGCGCATGCCCTAGCCCTATAAGTACTTGGAATGAAGTAAAAATTTGCATGGGGCACTGACTTACCACGCACGGGACACTCTCACTTCGGAGAAGCTGAGGCCAAGTTGGGACAATTCCATCTCTAACCGGAGCTCTAAGGGGCCACGCGCGCCCAAACATTCTTTTCCTCACTGGAAGAGGCTTATCAGTCTCTCCAAGCTTGCGGAAGCTCAATGGTAGCTTTGAATCTAAAGTCATGATCCTGCTGCTAGGTCCTTTGGAATGGTAGCATGGCTCTAGAATGTCATACATGTTTAAATCTGCAATATTCTATACATGCCAGATACTGATTTCAGGTCCTGCTCCAATGGAATTTCATAAAGTAGAGAACTAAATGGGGAATATACTTAATTATAGACGACCATTTGTGGAATTTAGGGAGAAAGACCAAAGTAGGACTAAAACATTGAAAATATACCAAAATAGGACTTCCATGTTTTTATTCCCGAAATAGGACTTAAAATGCATTTACATTACCAAATATGGCCATGTACATTACCAAAAAGTATAGTAATGTGCACATGTACAGTGCCCCATTACAACTACATTACCGCAGTGTGAACTGTGAAGTTCTATTTCGGGGGAAAAAACATAAAAGTCCTATTTTGGTACTTTTTCTCTATGTTTTAGTCCTATTTAGGGTGATTTCTATGGAACTTACTCATCAATCGATATAGCAAGAATGAAAAGACATACCGTGTCAACTTCTGCTAGCTTGGTCGCACAAGTGCTACGGTTCGATTTATAATAGACTCCCTGGCATTCAGCTACAACTTCCTGCTCATAAAGATTGAAGTATAAGTGAATTGTTTGCAGTAAACTAAGCGCAAATATAAATTAAGTTCTTATGCATGTGAACTTTACTTATGAAAGCTAACTCTCGTCAAAATGATGCTGAAAAGAAACAAATGATAAAGCAGGAGATAATAATACAATGCTAAGAACTAATGATAAATTTAGTAGGTAAAGTGAGACGATAGTAATAACTCTAATAATTACTATAATAATAATAATAGCAAAAAACATATTCAACGGCATTGAAATGGAGAGAATGAAGTCAAGAAGAAAAAAGAATAAATCATGCCTCATATAATGCATCTGAGATTAGGCCCATCCCGTGCGCGAATGGCAGAAGGGCATTACCGTCAAACTCCTCATCCGCCACTCCATTCCCCACCATGTAACCCTGCATATAACAAATTTAAGTTTAGTCTATGAAACCATAACTTGAAGGGTGAAGCAAAATAAATAAATAAATAAATAAATACGAAGTAAGAATCACCTTAAAGTTTAAATTCGGACTTAGGCGAGCATCAATACCTGCAAAGAAAATAGAAGCAAAAAGCTCAGTATATAATCTTACATTCAATTCATCAAACACACACTGTATAAGGACTTAATATATAAGAACATGAGTTACTCCTCTTATTGCCAATTGGTTTTGAGTTGAAATCTCACAATTCGACACCTTTCTTTATTGCAATCTGCAACAGTTTCTATATAATAATGAATTTAAAAAACTCACCTTTTACTACTGCAGAAGCCAGAGTTGGTACATATACTCCAGCATAAGATTCTCCAGCTATATAAAATGGATTGGGAAGGAATTCCTTGTATAGCTCAAACCACTTCACTCAGAAATAACCAAACAAGGAAAGTCAAGCCAGAAGCGCAACACAACAACAAGAACAAACCCTATAAAATCCCGCATAAAGAGGTAGTTTCCAACAGACAGAAGCAATACTAAAATAACATAGTTTCAAAAATTCTAAAAAATACTCCAAGATAACCTGCCTAGCTCCATGTTAAAGTATCCCATATCGAGAGAAAGAACAATGGGTTAATAAGGTTTTCCGTTGAACTAGATAACCGACTGAATTCAATCTTTTAATTTGGTTTGATCCAAGTGTCTTAATCATAAATTCTATCACTCCGCCTAAGCCAAATAACCCGTACATGACGGGCCAAGCTATATCAATGATATACCTTGAGGAGAAAGGTGTGAGAATCAGAAGCAGTCTTTAGGTCCCCGGTTATGTAATCAGTTTCATTCCCTGAATAGGACAATCCAACACCAGAAGGAGAATCCAAATATATAATATTTGTAACCTGAAAAGATTAGGAGAATCCCATCAAAGGATAAAGGGTTCGAACTATATATTTCAGAGTATTTACAGTTACGGATATAGGTAGTATTTATTACCTTGGACCAGCTATAAGGGTTGATATGCAAAATGGGAAGGCTATCACCTGTCTTCCCAAGCTCAAAATTGAAAGGCCCTGAAAATGTGAAAAAGAAGAAGGAGAATGACATCTCTTCTTTCTTTGCCAATCAGCCATTTTTGAACTATTTGTAATTATGCAATCTATATCACACTCCAACAAGTTTGTTCAAAAAGTATGCAACATTTTAACAAAAATAGTTGAATCAAATTTCACTTTCCTTTCCATTTTTGTCCAATCTAAGAAAAACAGACCACTCCTTAAAACTCACACTGTTAGTCGTTGTGCCCACGCCTTATATTGTTTGTTAACATCAAAACACGAGACTTTAGCAAACCAAGGCTAACAGACACCACTCCAAGAAATTTGAAATTGTATAAGAATACTTCAAGATTACATAATTGGTGCTCCAAGAATTGAGATATTTTTCCATAAAAACTCCAAGATTACAAATTGATGATACTAATGAAAAATGAAGAAGAGAAGAAGGCAAAGAGGCAAGAATATACCATGCTCGTAGACGAAGCCATCGAAGCTTGAGCAGCCGGGGCCGCCGTTGAGCCACAGAACCACCGGATCCTCGGATGGCCTTCTTTGCGACTCCACAAAGTAGTAAAACAATTTCTTACCAGTGGTTTCGTCTATGGTCACATACCTGAAATTTCACTCATTCAAGCAAAAACACAAACACATAGCCATCATTGTCCCCAACCCAAACACAACAATCATACTAAAGTCTAAAGTCCTTCGGTTGAAATTTTGAAGTTTGAAGAACAGCGAGAAGCTAGAATAAATTTTAAACAACCCGAAAATATTGAAAAAAAATAAACATTTAGAAAGTAAGTCTAAATAAATATGTAAGAAAAACTAAATTAGACATATAAAAATTATCTTTGTCCGTGTTTAAGGTATTATAATATAAATTTCAATAAATAATGTTACTCCGTATTATTTATTTATATATTCATCATACGTAAACATTTTTTTAAGTCCTTATTTGAAGAAATTGGATTAGTTCAAAAAATTAAAAAATTGGAAGAAATTGAAAGAAGTTGAAAAAAATTTAAAATTAATTTTTCCAACCTAAAAAAACAACAAAAAAAACTAAAGTAAAAGTAAAATGTAGAATATATAAGAAATTCCATATTTTTATTTTCAAAATAGGAGTTAAATACATGTATATATTGACAATCATTTGAATATATAATACCAAAAAGTATTGTAAAATGATCATTTAGAATGTCACATTGTCACATTGCAAACTCTTATTCTGAAGGTAACAATATGAAGCTCTTATTTTTATATTTTCTTTATGTTTTACTCTTATTTAGAGTGATTTTTTAAAGAACAAACCCTAAGAGTTAAATAATCATGATAGAAACCCAACACGTTTGAGCACTCTAACACCAGGTATTTTACGGATATATACAAATAGTTATAGTCTATTACTACAAGAAAAAGATTGTCTTGTGTGTGCATGTTTATGAGAGGTTGAAAAATCATGGTATCAAACTTAGGTGAATTTTTAGCTTTTTTCTAGTTTAATTACCTAATTTAACTCCATACATTACCATAAAAAAACTCTATACATAATTAATTCCTTTTAAAATCTAATGATGTTTCACAACGAATGATTTAGAGAATGGGAACCCTGAAAATGAGTGTGCAGTTATAGTTCCATCTTTTTCTTTGTTTTATTATACTTATACTTTAAGTATTTTTTTGTTTCAAAAAAAATTGTTTCTTTGTTTACCGAGTATATTTAATTTTTTTGAAAAGTATTAAACATATCAAAATCAGGTCGAGTTCACCCAATTTCATTCCACCTAAAACACGTATAACAGGATTAAGAGTCTTGAGCTATTGGGAGCTAGCTCTCATATGGACAACTCGGCTAAAGTTAATCCGGAAAAAAAATTCGAGATACGCAACAAACACAGAAAGTGAAGCCAAAAAATATTCTGATAATATAAGACACTTTGATAAAACCATGCAAAAAAATACAATACATACCCAGCATAATGGTTTGAAGGAATAGTGCCATTGAAGCCAGGAATGTGAGTGACCAATGCCTCGTCCGGTGCTGTCTTTGTGAACGAAAACAACGTAAGAAAGACGTAGCCGACAATACTTAGGACTAGAAACAGATTGTTTTTTACCATGTTTAAGATTAGTTGTATTAGTAGTATATATTATACTCGTATATCTTTTGGACTTGTGAGAGTAGATATAGAAATATTTCACGTCTATATATATATATATACACACACACACACACTATGGGTGTATGCTAGAGGGAGAGAATGGTAAATTGAAATCACTTGTTGGTGAAACACTAACTACTTTTGAACAATCCCTTCGGGGTAGTCTCGCGGAACGGACCGTAAGAAAAATTAAGAGTCACGTTTGAATCAGTGAAAGGAATAGTTCGATGGCTTGTGATAAAAACTTGATTAATTTCTGCTGAACGCGGACATTTTGAAGCTAACGTTAATTATACTAACTACAATTAATCTTGGAGTAAATATGAAGGATGATTCTTTTAAAAGGAATTTAGCACTAAAACATAATGACTTTCCCTAAATAACACCACATGTGTTTTTCTTCCCAATGTAACACTTTTCGCCATCACTGAACATTATTAAGTATTATTTAGAGAATAAAACATTTTAAGTGCTATTTAGGGAAATAACTTAAGTTTTAGTGCTATTTAGTGCAAATATTTCTTCTTTTTAAATCACTTATGTGCATTTGGAGTCCACAAAAAAAGGTAGTCTCCAATATAATTAATTACACTATTACTACTAATTAGGGGTAATTTCTCGTGGCTTCTAAATCAAGACCGCAAGAACAAGAGGATGATGGAATCAAATTACCAAATGGTCTTTGCTTAGCGTACAAAATAGTCGTGGATGCACGATTTTTTGTTTAAGGTAAATTTCTCCTAACATAACATAACATTATATGCACATTTTTGGGTGTCACGTGCTCAACAAAGTTCTGTTTGGCGGCAAGTCTCTTTGCACATTAAAGAAAAAAATTATTGAGATTACCTGAGGTAGTTGAAAGGTCAGTCTCAAAGAGGATAAAATAACGTTCAACTTTTAATTGCATCTTCAATAAGAGTTTTAGGAGTGTCTTAAAACTCTCTTTTTCAGACTTTCCCATTGGGAGAGACAAAAAGTAAGAAATGACGGGAAGGGAGTCTTTGAAATACTAGACGTCTAGACTCACCTACTTTCAAAACTCTCAATTCAATTCATGTAATGAAAATCAGAGAGGTGTAGTCAATAACACTTATTTTCTAAAAATAAAAATTTGTTACAATTTTTTTGTAATAAAAACAAACAATCATAATTTAAAAAAACTTTAAAATGTTAAAAAATGGTACAGAGTAAAAAAAACCAAAAAAACATAAAAAAACCATAATATTTGTTGTGCTTTTATTTTTATTTTGTACACAAGTTATGTCACTAAAGTAATTTAATGAAATGTACACATTTACTTTAAGTAAGTTTTGTGTTAACTTTATATAATTATTTCTAATTTTAATAAATACTCCGTACTTCGTAAATTTTTGTGTTGCTGAAATTTTTGAATGGTTAATTATGTTTACAAATAAATTTGATAGAAAACCAATATGTAATACAACTATATATTACTTCGTATACAAGTAATTTAATATAAATACAATTATTGAGATTAGAGATAGGGGAATAATGATTTGTCAATGTTTGACAGAGTTTGATGATTGTGATAGGTTTTTGGAAAGTACGGAGAAAAAAATTTAAAATAATAAGATGTTGATGTGACAGAATTAGAAAAAGTATCAAATTTTTTTGTATTAGGGATGTCTTTACAATAGTGAAAAAATGTCTATGTTTATGTTTTTGCACGTACTACAGACATGTCTATTGTCCGGAGGATCTTGAGAATGAGGGTTCAACTTTTTTTTTCTTATTTATATATTTCCTCCATCCCAATTTAATTGTTAAATAATATCATTTTCGGAGGTTTCCAAATAAACTAAACATTTCTTAACTTACTTGAAAAGTAAAGAACATGTAGTCCATAATTCTTCTCTTTATTCTAAACAAATTTCAACCAATCACAATTTATTTTTTCAATGCTTTTTTTTTTAACTCCAAAAGGTAAACTATCCAAATTAAACTGGTACAAAGGGAGTAATAAATCAGCTTCATCCTTATTCTTTCATATAAATTAATTAAAACAGGTTTTGTTATTTAATACGGAGTACTAAATATATGAAAATGCTAAAGCACTAACACAAATAACACAAAAAATAAGAAAATCATCTCCACAATTTCAAAGTGAAGCTTTTTTTTCAGTAGAATACGAAGATTCAATATGTGAAAACGCAAATATTGAGAAAGGTAAAGCAATACAGTAAGAAATTAGACTTAAAATATAATAATCCATACTACTTTGTAACAAAGTAGAATTAAGTGCTGTTTCAAAAAGTAAAAAAGTAGAATTAAGTGCATTTTAAGACATTAAACAAGTAGAAATCACCTGAAATTGGACTTAAACATAGAAAAAAGTATCAAAACATGAGTTTCATGTTTTTATTCCTAAAATAGAATTTCACACTGTGATAATGTGGTTGTAATGTGACACTCTACATGTGCAAATTACTATACTTTTTGATAATGTACATGTCCATGTTTGGTAATGTAAATACATTTTAACTCTTATTTCAGGAATAAACAAATGGAAGTCTTATTTTGATAGATTTTCAATGTTTTACTCTTACTTTAGTCCTTTCCCCTTAAACAAGTTGTGGCATGTGGGGATATTTAGACCCAAGTAATATATGAGGTTGGCTAATTTTTTGACACAGTAATTCTATCACCTCATCTATATAAGATCAATAGTACCAAATGGTTCAAACCATATTTACACAAGCTCACCTAGATTCACCTTAATCCAAACCCAGCAATAATCTTTACATTTCTCTTGCATTGACTCATCCTATTGCCTGTAGTGCTTGACAATTATAAATCTGGGAGAGCATTCCCCCCTCACTGTCTCAAAATATACAACAATGCACCAAACAAAATCAGGAAACCCTTGTTTGGGAGAACGTTGCAGCCCTTCGAGAAGTTAACTCGTCGCGCTTGGTCTCTGCACACAAGAAAATGGGGGGAAAGCGCGCATAATAAGACACGAGATTCAATCCTAAAGAGTAAAATGCTTTGTTTGTGTTTTTCATATTTGGTCGATGTGGGATGACTTAACGAATGTCGCAATCTTAGTAGAAAGAATAAGAGGGGAAGGTAAGTCTTACTTCTGCAGAGAGGAGAGTGCACCACAATATATTGTATTGTCTGGCAAGGGTAGCTCAGTTTTGTCGGCGTTCTCTGGATTGACAACACTGATATAGACTTCTTGGCCAAGGTACCAGGAATCAAGATTTTCTGAACGCAGATTCCAGATACCGGGATTGTCAAGAAAAACCAGTATAGCAGTCCAAGCTCCGGGAAAAACCTATATATAATGTATGTTCAGCAAAAAAAAGAAAAAGAATTGAGAAATATCTTCCATATATAAATCACATGCAAACGAGATTTGTTTTTTGCTTGGGACCATGTTTTTTTGAAAAAATTGTGGCTCTGATATCATGTCAAGAAACCAACTCAATCAAGAACTTTAGCTTGTGGTTGAGGGCTGAGGAAATGTTTTATACTACTCAAGCATATAGAATTATGATAACCTGGGTAGTGCATCTAGCCACTCCATCCCACATGTTGTAAGTGCTTCTGCTGTTCTGGTTCCACAAGCCATAATCCATCCTGCAAACCAAACAAGACACACAATTTAACTGTTAAAGCTTCGTCTTGGGGGGGGGGGGGGAGGGGGGAATAATTGCACTAGTTGTTTTTCCTTCTTGAAAACAAACAGAGCCTAAAATGGCACATTCATGTCAAAACTTACCCAACAACAAAAAAGGCATAACCATCAAGATGGTAGCTTTGAACAGTTGTGCCATTGTTTTGGAATACTATTTCCACAAAGGCTTTATAAGTCGCATTGATAACAGATGTATCGATCTTCGAGGGTCGACCCATCACTCTGTTTGGAAAATCGAGCTTGAAAACCCCTGGAACGTTGAATTCATCTGCAAGCTTCAAAGGTGTTGAAGGGGCAAAATATGAAATTCCGTTAAGTGTAGCGCGCCATTTCCCTTCTATAATCTCTGCAGGCCCATTTACAATAACATAAACATCTGTAACTGTGATCTCCCCATATTTGAAAGAGCCTTGCGGATTGGGCCGGGCTGCGCTGGACGATACATTCCATCTCACTGACCTTGCTTGCATCATCGAGAAATTCACGTCATTTTCTTCAGGCAGGTCAGGGAGTGGGCCCGCAGCGGGCCCAAGAGAATTCAAGTAGTGCAATATAGCGACTCCCACGGGCTTTGACCTATCGGGCGAATTTACAAAGCGCGGAGTAGCAACAATGTAAAAGTCTGTAGTGGGGTTTTGATCCATAGTCACTAGGAATGAGTATGATTGACCTACATGGATATCCATGCTTATATAGCTCTGTTGCACGGTGTATGACCCCTCAGTCTCAACAAGAAGTAAATTGTGGTTTTGTATTCTGAAATTCAGGCTGGTAGATATCCCAACATTATGCACACGCAAGCGGTATGTTTTGCCTGTAATGCCTCCCATAAAAATATTGAACAATTAATTTTCACAATTTACCAAATGGTGGAATAAGCATTTCTTCTAAACAATCAAACTACCGAATTTGAAGTCATTCTTTATTCCACTTATATTCTTCTCCACATGGAATTTAAGTACTCCGTACAATTCTCTTTATTCATTGTTTATAAGTTCCAACCAAACATCCCATATTCCCATTAGATTCCACCAGTTAGAAAAGGTCGAGAGGTGACCTTATATATAAGGGTAAAAAATATACTTTGTATACATGAATTATGAAAGGCTTATAGCAACGCAGATGATGAACTTGCCTGCTTCAACATTGACCATAAGATAATGAATGCCATCAGGCACAAGCCCATTATCGTAGCGGTATGGGCCCAACCCATTAAACAGCACACCATCAGGTGCTCCAAGTCCAGTGCCTTTTTCAAGATCTACTCTCATTTCCTATTATACAAAATTCACGCATATATTTTAAGAGATACGAAGTAGGAAGGTCCAAGTGCATAAGGAGAGACAGCTGGTAAATCCTAAAACATAGGGCATACAAACAAACCTTATGACTTTTAATGTACCAGTCACCGATAAATAAGGTGACATCTCCATCTGGCAACCCAAATGGTAAAGGGATAACATCTCTATTGTTTATAGTGATTCCTCCATAACCACCTGCTGCTCTTTGAAAGTTCATTGAAGGGAAATAGAAGAAACTCCCAATCTGGTCCTTGACTTGGAACTGATAAGTCCAGTTCCATCCAGCAGGTATTGGACAATTTGTCCCAGAGACGCCATCTTGCCAAGAACTCTTCCTCAATTGTACACCATTCCTATATGCATTTAACTAAAAATAATTATGTGTCATTTGAATATCCACATCATGTGATTAATATTACATCAACCAATTTAGAAATGAATCAGGTTGTTATACCATGTGATAAGCAAAGGCTCATCAAGATTGTTTTTGACGTTTGCAACAACATTCCAGTTGGTAGTGAGATTTAGAATGGGTCCGGGGAACTGCCCATTTACTCCAATAACCTAAACAGATTCAAACTTTATAAACTCGCACCTCAAATATTTCAATCAAATGTCATCAAATGACAGATAACATATGAGTAATGCTTGAGACGATATAGATTGTAACAGATGATGACGATAGATGTGCCAGGCAGACATTAATTTGGGGGTGGCAGCAGCCAAAGCCTGGGTTCAGGTATGATATTACAACCTGAATCCAACCTAAACCTAGTACAAGTTTTTTTCACCCTACCCGGACCGAATTGCTCCCCGCCTAAATTCTTCTCCTGATGGTTTGAATTGTCGGGCACCCGAAATGACTAGCCACATTCTCATCCCTCCTAAGCTCATACAGTCCTAATCGTTTCCGCTAAGCAAGAACACCGAATCACATAACTACTACTCCCTGTGAATGAGTATGAAGTCGAAATCTTAAGCAATATTGTATAAATGAAATATAATTGAAGTACCATTCTCCTAATAAGCAAAACCTAGACAATAGGAGTTACATTCAAGATCTGAATACTAAACCGAACTGAAATGAAAACAAGAATCGCAAAAAGAAGGGGAGGAAGAACCTTTTGGGTAACACCTAGAGGGGAAACAGTGAGGTAGGAGACAGTCAAGTCGTAAAACACATAAGGGTCTCCAGCTAAACCCAGAGTTGCTAAGCACAGAACCAAGGCGAAGGGACGGTAACAAGAATAGAGAAACGATGAATCTAACATTGGCCAGAAAACAAACAGGTGGTGTGCAAGATTAGGCTCTTCTCAGCTCCCCGAGATTTCTTATCCCTGAAAAAACACGCTTGAGTTTTGTGAAGACGGAGATAAAGAAGATCGGTGAATCTCCGCTGGGTTTGCTTTTTCTTTTTCTTTTCTTTTCTTTTCTGAAGTGCGCCGTGGAAAAGCGTGTAGTGAGGTTGCCGTTGCAGGACAGGCTGGCCTTCTGGGTTTCCGGCTTGCTGGATTCAAGCGGGACCCAGATTTCATCTTCGGCAGAATCGAGCTGACGGAGTGACGGCTGGTTTTGCCATCACTGTGCTTCGGCTGGTCGGTACGGTTGGGGAAACGGTAACGGGAAGGTGCCGCGGGAAGGAGGGGAACACGACCCCTCCAGCCGGAACGGGAAAAAGAAAATGGTTGCCTAGTCCATCTTGTTTTGACTTTTCGTAGTACTACATATTCTTTCTTTTAAAAAAATTATGAATTGCATATATTGGTACGATTAAGAAAAAAGTTAAAGTAGGATAAAACTTTATGTTCATTATTGATAGGGTCAAACTTTATTCACTTTGTTGATCTATTTTCGTCACTCATTTGATAAAATAATATGGTCATGTCACCTCTAGTTTTGTAGATATTTTGATATAGTTTTTTAATATGTAATTTTTATTTTTCAATTCCACACCATTTTTCATATAAAATGATTTGAAAATAACTTCAGTCAAATATTGTAACGTGCAACGTAAAATTTATTTGTGGACGGAGGGAGTAATTGGTACCATCATCGTTAAACTCATACTACTTCTGTCCCTAAATATTTGCCACATTTGTATTTCCAATGCAAACTATCAAACTTTTTCAATTCATTTTATTTACATATTAGTATAGAAATAAAAAATAAAATTTACATATCAAAAAACTACATGAAAAAGTTTTTCAAATAAGAGGTGTCAAAAATATTTTATTTTATCAAATAACCATTGAAAACTTAGAAATAAACAAAAGTTTCCGCGACTGCCAAAAAAGCAAATGTTGTAAATATTTTGGGACGGAGGGAGTATTTATTTACACTAGCATTGGATGTTCTTTTCGAACATATTCAAGAATCGAGAATGTGTATCAAGAATCGAGAAAGTGTATCAAGAATCGAGAAAGCGTGCTTCAGACTTCATATGTGACAAAAAAGGATGTATACAAAGAGAAAATTTTACCGTACTGTGATTAGACCAACTATATTGTATGAAATAAGGTGTTGAACAGCAAAGAGTGAACATGAACACAAGGTTAGTGTGGCGGAAATGAAGATGCTTTGTTAAATGAGAACACTAAGAAGTCATTTGCATATATATAGAATAAGGAATGAAGATATGAAAGCTACTCTTAGAGTGACATTTATTGAAGTAAAGATTATGGAAACTCATCTTGGATGATTTGGATATGTGGATAGAAGACTAACAAAGCATTCGGGGAGAAGGTTTGTTTAAATGGTGAATATAATGTCATTAAATATAAGAGCTAGAGTTAGAGTGACACATGAAAGAAGATACAAGGAATGTATGTTTCCTACTAGTAACAAGAGTTTATTGTCGTTTTCGCCAATAAAAATATTTTAAAAATAATTGCTAATTTAGAAATTCAATGCATAGTTGTATATTCTTCCATCATCTCGACGGAGCCAAAAATTCACCTTTTATTGACTTTGGGGTGTGATACAACAAAGCAAAATAAATCTCAAAATTGTCTATGCTTCTTTAATTAATGAAGTATTAGTTACTGAATCATTGTAACTTTTGACATTGAATCGGAAGTCTCTTTGGAAACAGGCTCCCGGGTAGTAAAAATTGCTATACAATAGTCAGGGGATAAAAATGTGTTTAAGCCTTAACAATAATTAATTTCTTCCATGAACAGGTGGAAATAAAGAACTTGAACTCGTTCTCATCAATGAGTAAGGCCATTGATTTGGAGATTTCAAGACTGGTAAATTTCCATGACTAGGGTTTTAACTCAATAATTTTTCAATTTGTTGTCTTTAATTATAACCAAGACTGACTTTTTAAATAACGATTTATTTGTAAATTGTAATCATATCTATGTTTGATTAGATGTCTTCAATTTGCCCTATCATTTTATTTTGGCATCTAGGGAATTTAATTTATTTTTCCAAGTTTGAAATCTCCGAATAAAAGTTTTACAAAAAGTTGAAATTTAAAATCAAAAAAATAAGATATGTATTTATTAATAAACTCTCAATTCAAATTGAAAATACAATCTCTTTTAGATCAAAAAATATAATTTCTTTTTTCATTCGTCCCAAAAAACACTTCTCATTTCTATTAAAAAGTCACTTTAACCCCTTACTTTTTCATACCCTACCTATCACATCATACTTTTTTACTAATGGTTTATCCATCAAATCATACTTTTACCCATCACATCAAAGGACATTTTTGGAAATTCAATACCAAAATACACTCCTCTTAAATCCCTATTCAAAATCAAAACTCTCATTTTTCTGGGACGGAGGGAGTATACATCTGGGTAACAAAATCTGAATTTAATAATCAAACGAAAACAAAGTACTTAGTGACGATCATAATATTTACAAAGAACTTAGTGATGCTTCCTCGTCTTTCTCGCCGCCCTTATTCTACTTTTTTCCCTAACATTCTTGTGAATCTTGGATTCAACCCAAAACTCGCTATCGTCATCGTCGTCGTCGTCACCGCATCTTCCTCGAGTACTTTTGGTGCCACTTTTGTGATGATCAACCGTAGTAACCTTCTTACAACTCTTTTGTTTCTCCAACGTGGTTAGGTCTTCATTGTGATCTTCTTCTTTGCCAACGCGCGACACTTCAAAGTACAAACTACCCAAACACTCGGCCATGGTAAGGTTGTAAGGATCGACGACTTCGTGATCGACAACATCACTATAATTCTTGAAGCTCAAATTGTTGTTGAGGAGGTGAGTGAGTAATTGTATAGCCATAATTGTAGTGTTTAATATTCTCGAGGAATAGATTATTATTATATTGTTTGGAGATAATAGTGTAATGGGGCAAGGGGTTTAACCTAGCTATTTATAAATGATCATTATTTCAATAATTTCTATTCTTACTCAACCTAGGATATATAGTTTTTTTAAAGACTATATACTTCGTATATACATACTTGTATGACAAGCTAGTACTAAGATTAGGAGTACATGAAGTTAGTCTTTAACAAAAACCAATGGAATAAGTTTTCTTGAAAAAACGAAATATTTTTTTTTAAAAAAAGTTCAGTTTTTAAAAGTAATGATAAAGAATTTAAAATAAATATATAAAGTAAAAACAAATGGGAATGGGTATGATTGAAAATAAATTGAAAATAAATATATAAAGAAATTGAAAATGAATATATAAAGAAAAAATATACCCTCTAGGAAAAGTTACATGAGTATTCCAAGAAATTTGTGATTTTATGTTGATATTCCAAATTTTTTTTGCTATTTAATATTTTGAAATTTAATTATTGACGTCATTGTATCCAGAAATTACTCATTTACTACAAAATCAACTAAACATGCGACATTTTTATTGTTAACTGAACAATTATTTAGTTTGTGTTGAGAACTAATAAATCATAAAGAAAATATTGAAATTTGGTAAAATTGAAAAATTTTAAAAATTGAAATACGATAAAACGAAAATGCTTTAATATTTTAATGATATATATATATATATATATATATATATATATATATATAATTAAATCCTGATTGGGTAATTAGTAAGTCTGAGTTGGCAACTACTCCCTCCGTTCCACTAAACTCTTCCTCTTTCGTTTTTTTGCTTTCCACAAAACACTTTCACTTTCTATTAAAAAACCACTTTTACCTATACTTTTCAATACCCTACCTATCACATCATACTTTATCACTAATAACCAAACTATCACATCTTACTTTTTCCCATCACATCAGGGGCAAAATTGGAAAGTCAACCAAAATTACACTTTCCTTATTTTTCCCAAAGTCAAAACCGGAAGGGTTTTGTGGAACAGAGGGAGTAATAAATTATACGGAGTAACTTAAATGTGTTCTAACTAGACCTCAGCTCATTTCCACATTGGTCCAAAACCGAAAAATTGAAATCGGCCCGGTTCCATGGCCACTGGAATCTAGTGGCCACGGAAGCCACTGTCTCCCTACAAAACTCCGTTCATAAAATTGATGATTCCTACCCTCCTAACCCCCGCGGTAAACCCCCCCGCCATGTCCCAACCCAAACTCATCACCCCACCTACGTCAATTGCACCTCGTAAGCATAATTCAGTTTAAAGTCAAAAGTGGCCGGTTCCACAGTGGCCACGGAACCGGGCCGAATTGAAATACGGTAAAACTGAAAAACAAAAATGTTTTTATATAATTTAATTAGATAAATTGTGAATATGTTTTCAAAACAAAAAACAGAAAATTTTTAAGTTAATATACTATAATCAAATTATATTTGTTGAATAGGTTTTGGAAAAAGAAATTATAACCGTGATTGGTAGTGTATATGCATTTTAATTTTATTTTGGGAATAAAAATTGCAACTCTTCTTTTGGTGTATTTTTTTATCTTTACTCTTACTTTAGTCATTTTTCCGTCTTTAGAATCTTTCATCTCACAATCCTCAGAAAATATTAAGAGGGTGTTTGGCAGTGCGCTGCTTTTAGTAATTTAGCTTCTGCTTTGAGTGGAAGTGATTTTATTCTGTTTGGCATGTCAGCTTTTGCTTTTTACCACCACTATTTTATACACAGAACACCGTTTTGGAGAAGCAAGTATGAGGTGCTTTTGCTTTCAACTTTTGTAAAAATCACGAGATCTAGAAGTTAATCACTCCCAAACAAACTCTTAAGGCTGCATCTGGCATCAGTGTTAGAAGTTAGTGTTTTAAAAAGGTAATCTAACACTAACTTTTAGCGTTGACATTTTCAGATTTAATATGCACCATTTATATTTTATCCAAAACAGTAACACTAATCGAAAATATTATTCCCAAACTAGGTCTAAATTAAAACCATTATAGCATTTAGCTTCAATGTTTAAAAAACTATCTAAGGATAATATTTAATTTTAGCACTTTTGAAACTTCTCCCCTAAAATGAGTGGCAGGAAGTTTCTTCGTGTGCGTCATTAGGATGTGAAAGAAAATACGAACAATAAACTATATTGTAATATAATCAGTAATATTCAATTTTTTGTAAACATTTTCGACATTAATGAACACAATATTTAATTTTAACACTTTCAATATTAATTAACATAATTAAAAAAAATTGAAAATGAGATTATCCAGGCAGAATCATTGCCAAATGCCAATGAAGGAATTCATTAGCTCATCCAATCTGTATTCTCGCTGGCAAATACCTCTCCCTGCCTCAGTTTCCTCCTCCTCCTGCCTCGATGTGGCCATTCTCTCTCTCAAATCTTCTTCATATTTAACCCCAATCCCTCTCTCTGAATTACACAAACCGTATCAAGAACCGAAAGCCATGATCTTTACATCAAAAACCCACCTTTCAGAGAAACTGGAACTATTCCTCCCTGTTCTCATCTTCTGCTGTTTGTCCGGTCGTGCAGCATGCCAATCGTCCATATACGAAGCCCTGAAAGCCAACGGGCTGCCCGCGGGCCTGTTCCCCAAGGGGGTGAAGAATTTCACCCTCGAGAGCTCCGGCAAATTCCAAGTCTATTTGGACCAGGCTTGCAATGCCAAATTCGAAAACGAAATTCACTACGACAGGAATGTCTCCGGCAATCTCACCTTCGGGTTGATCGGCGGGCTGTCCGGGGTTTCCGCGCAGGATTTGTTCTTGTGGTTCCCTGTTAAGGAGATCCGGGTCGGGTTGCCCAGCTCCGGGTTGATTTACTTCGATGTTGGCGTGGTTTCCAAGAAGTTCTCTCTGTCTTCCTTTGAGACTCCCAGAGATTGTGTTGCGGTTCAGGTTGCTGATCTTGATGAGGAAACTCCCCCAAAGGTCTTTTCTTTTTTCTCAGATCCCTCATATTCTTCCTATTTCTTGTATTGCACTTTTACCCATCAATTGAAAGGAGATAAAGAAATGGGTTTCTCATTTCTGGGTAGTAAATACAGTAAAATAAGGCTTGCTTGGATAAGGTGCAGCATTGTTGCAGAATAAATGAGATGGCATTTTGGCATAGTATAGTGTGGCAATGACATTTTAAGGTTACCATATTTGGAAGCATACAATGTTATTGTTTGTTTTGGTAGGGCATAATGGGAATTGGCATAACTGTTCTATGAGTATGTGGCACAATAGGAATTTACAGGGGTATAATAGGAATTGATTTGCATAAACCAATGAAAACCATCAAATAGTATAGGTGGTTTCAATATCTCTTGAAAAGCCATAACCAAGGATTACCATAGAGAACCATAATACAGAAATGGAAACAAACATGGGTATCCTTGCTATAAACTATGGATCATCATGAACCAAACAAGGCCTTAAAAATGGGACAATATCTATTTTCTATTTTCATGGTGAGTATATCAAGAATCTATCTTTTTTTTAAATACAATTTGAGTTTTTAAGGACTGTTTTGGTCCATTGTGTTTATTGTTGTTGGCAATGTGCTTGTCCTTAAAATCGTTATGTTTTGTTTTTGTCACGATCAGAACATAAACGGCGAGCTCCAGTACAAGCTTGAACACACTGATAGTGGCATTGCTGTATCTTGATAGTTCCAATTTTGCATTGTTTCTTCTTCACTTGTGTTCAAGAAATTCAAATCATATGCCGGTTCAAGTCTTCAAGATGGCTACGGGGAGTGAATGTGTTGTATCATGTAAAGATATATTTATAGAACAGCACGCACGCGAAGAGATCGGTTGGTAAATTTCATTGTGCAGAAAAGGTTTGTTTTTATTCGTTTTTTTTTGTTGTTGGGAAATTTCGATTTGCAGAGAAGGGTTTGCTCATTCATTCTTTTGTGTTGAAATAAAAAGAAAACATCAACTTGTAGCATTGCAAAGTCAGACCATTTGGTTGATACTCTCTAAAATGCATGCAACCACCATATTCTTCCACTCATGTGTTTTTTAGCTTTGTAAATTGGAATATGCCTTGATTGTTCTGTTGTGGGAAAAAATGTTGTATAAGGTTGGAGGGAAAATTGCGAAAATAAATCGGCACGATTTTTAAAAGAGATGAGACGAGATGAAACTATGTGGTTGAGATTGACGCGGACGAGAGAATTAGTGTGAACCACGATTATTTCTTTTTCTTATTAGAACCTATTCAAATCACATCATATCAGATCAGAAGCAGCTTTACGAATCGCCACATCTGTATTAGAATTTATTCCAATCAGATCATAATCATGTGTGGTCTTTCTTGGAACCTTAATGATGGGGTTCCATTTTTGTTTTTGTTCTTGTCTATAAAAGCTGTGCTGTGCTGGATTTTTGTTTGTGGTCAGAGGCTTTCAACATCATCAACAATTCAACATTCTCTACCACTCATGGGCAACGTATTAGTACCACTTGCTTTTGTTTTTGTTTGTTTGAAATGAGACACAAACTTATCATTATATGGAGAGAGCACATGGGGAAGACAAGTGTCCAGTTGGATCACATGTTTATGAGATGAAATGTAAACTTGAATTAGATTTCATTTGGTACATAGAATATTCAAATTATGCAATTTGAATTGGACACTGCAATTCCAATTTTGTGGAGAATTCAATTCCTTCCCATTTAATTTATAGAATTTTAATTCTAATTTAATTCTAAATTCGGCAATTTCGTGTACCAAACAGATTCTTAGAGATTTTTCCAGATAGTTGATCTGACCTAATTATGCGCACCATAATTTTTCATTACAATCTCACTCTAATTACAATATTGCAAAAAACTGATACTTGGTAAAAACAATGAGTGGTAAAAAGGAATGCACTCTGCAAAAATAGTTCTGAAACCATGTTAAAATTAATACGAGGAAAAAACCATGTTTTTTGATATATGAGAACTTGTTAGAAAGATGTATAGATACACGAGGCTACTCAACAAATTGAGAAGTCCAAAAGAAATACAAGTACATAGAGAAAAAATAGCACATCAATAAAAAATAGCACATCAATAATGAGAACTTTATTTCCAGAGGGAGGGAGTAATTCTTACCATGCATAATACTACTTTCGTCCTAATATATTTGTTCAGTTTAATTCTTTTTAGTCAAATATGACAAACTTTGATCTTCAATTATTTTCAATTTGTATTGCATATTTGTACGATAAGTGTAAAATTCATTTTGTACGATATTTCTTTTTCAATTTGTATTGCATAAGTGTAAAGTTCATTTCGTATAACTTAACAAAGTTAAACTGGAAAAATACATTAGAACAAAATGAGTATATCGTATGGTTTCGTTAATTATTCCTTACCAATGGTTTATATAGCTAAATTTTGCAACACATGATTTAATTGACTAATTCAACTAAACACAAGATTATGTTTTCATATAACACACAACTAGAAGATAATTTTTTGACGGAAAAAATATTAAAAATAATACCGAATAATTAATCTGTTTTGATTGTGAAAATCAAACATATGAAACTTCCATTTGGTTCCCATGACATTGGGAATCAATATCATTGGATGACCCGGGGTATTCTGGTGCCCGTTCGTAAAAATGATAGTTTTTACCCTCTAAGTCCTGCCCCGCCCCGACCTGAACGCACCCCACACCCCTTTAATTGCACTCCATAAGTTAATTTTGACTTTGGAGTCAAATTTTGATATTGATTCCCTGGAACTCATGAAACTTATTTTTTTGAATAAATTCTCAAAATAGTCCTTTATAATAAGGTATTTTCCAAATCGGTTTTCAATAAGTTTTAATTACCTTTGTGGTTCTCTATAATTGAGATTTATTCCCAAGATAGTACTACGTAAATAATGTTACTCAAATGAGGATTAATTGAGGGTATTTGATTGTTTTTTATCCGCTAAATTTAGAATAAATTCTTAAAATAATCATTTATAATGAAGTGCTTTCCTAAAATGGTTTTTCTAATAAAAATGTGTATTTGATTTGAAATTTAAAAGATTATTTCTAAGTTTTAACTAATTCATGAATTATTTATACGCAATGTATTTTTTAAATTTCACATTTAGTTATACAAAATGACTGTTTCAAGAATATACTTTAAATTTGGATGATCAAAATACCAAAATATCTTTCAATTAATCATCATTTGGGTAACATTATTTACAAAGGACTTTCTTGGAATAGATCTCAATTATAGAAGACTATGTAAACCATTAAAACTTATTGAGAACTGAATTAAAAAAATACACTATTACAAAGGATCATTTTAGAAATCACATTTATGCAGCTAGTTATATTGCTCGACCACATTTTTTACTAAACTTGGATTTGTTTGTCAAAAAGTGTTTTAAATAGTTGTTGGACTTTCGGGTTTGGGCCAGTTGACCCGTCAATCCGCCATCACCTTTCTAAATTCTTAACCGCTTCTCCTCTCCTCTCATTCACTTTACCCGCCGGGAAACCTTATCTTCCTCCGGCGGTTCGGTGATCATGGAGACAATCGCCTCTCAATCCCTCAAAATGTCTCTACTTCCGTCGAATTCCTTTTCCCTGCCCCTCAAACCCTACCGGAAGAACCCTAAACCTTTACCTCCCCAAAACCACCGGAACAGAAACCTTTTCCGGCCGCATATTCCCGCAATCAATGGAAAGCCTAGAGGAGGCGGCGCTTCCGGTTCAATTCCGGTTGCGTGTTCGACTTCGTCGCCTTTGTTTGGGAAAGTTGGATTGCACAGGAGAGAAGGGAATCTGTCTCTCCTGTTGTTCGGAAATCATTGCAGAACTGTAGCCGTAGAAGTGGAAAACAAGGAAGACACTTCCCAAGTTCTGTCGGCATTGCTCCCCTTTGTGGTCGCACTCACTGCGGTTGCAGCCCTCTCTCAGCCTTCCACTTTTTCCTGGTACTCCGTATTTTTTACCGAGTATTTTCTTTTGTTTGCTCTGAACTTGAAAGTGCTAATATGTTGTTGAAAGGACAATCTGTTTGTTTTTTTTTTCATTTTACTTGAGTATTTATCAGTTTGACATGTAAAGGTATTCTGTTATCCATTAGGGGTAGTGCCTTTTACTTACTCCCTCCATACCCCACTATTTTTGGTACATGGGGGAGACACAAGAATTAAGAAAAGTGGTATTTTGTGGTTGGTATTGATGTTGAAAAGTTGGAAAAATTATGAGTAGATTTGAATGAAGTAAATATGACCAAATATCGTATGATACAGAAACAGAAAAGGTAAAAAAAAGAAAAAAAATGTGGGGAGGGACGTAGAGTCTTTGTTGGAGCTTGGTGCCATTGATGTAGATGTTTTCCCTGGCTCATAACATTAATGTCAGTTTCTAGGGACACTTTTGGAAACCCGGCACAGAGGTTAGATAGATCTCTGTAAATCTTGCCCCAAGAGTCCAAGACCATACTCTTTAGTGAGATATAATGGGGTTTTTTTGGTTTACAGTTCAATATGTGGTTCTGTGCCAATCGAAGTCCCGCAGTACATGCTTTTTGCGGATGCTTTTTGTGCTCATCGACAGCTCACATGAGGGACTAAAGGATAAGATTGAACTTTGGCGCTTTTCTCTGGAGACCAATGGATCCGGACTTACTAGGACCAAGACTGAATACATGGAATGCCGTTTCAGTGGCCGGGAGACGGTTTCAAAGGTGGAAGTTAGGATTGACTCTCACCTAGTGCCCAAAGTTGACACGTTTCGGTATCTTAGCTCGGTCATTCAGGCATATGGGGAGTTAGACGGAGATGTTGTGCATCGTGCCGATGCTCATGTGCGGACATGCAAGAGGCTTACACTAGTAGGGGAATTGGTAGACCTAGAAAGAGTTGGAAGGAGTTGATTAGACAGGACTTAGGACTTCTTAAACCTTAGTGAGGATATGACCTTAGATAAGAGCGTTTGGAGGGATAGGATTAGAGTGGTTGGGTAGGTGTCTTGTGATAGGAGTGGTGTTGTTGTGTGCTTGATATGCCTTTTATGCTTGGTGCTTTTTGCTGCAATACTCTCGCATCGTAATTTTAGTTTATTTTCTAGGTGTTGGGTGCCTTGTCAGTGTTGTATCTCTGTGCTCTCCCTATTTAATGCTTATGTTGTGATCCTTCTTTTTGTTCCGCTTGAACCGGGGGTCTCTTGGAAACAGCTTCTCTACTTTTGGGTAGGGGCAAGGTCTGCGTACACACACCCTCCCAGACCCTACTTTCGAGGGATCAAACTGGGTTGTTGTTGTTGCATGTGGTTCTGTGCCAAACTAGTTGCACGTAGATTATGGGTTCATTTAGATTAATTCCTTACCTTGTGCCCTTGCAATCTCTATCTGGCTGGATGTTTGATTGTAATTGCTTCAAATCTAGTAGTTGCTGATTTGTGTAAATGATAAGAACTTCCAGGGTGTCAAAGGAATTGTATGCTCCTGCACTTGGAGGAATCATGTTGTCGATAGGAATCGGACTTTCCATTGATGATTTTGCTCTTGCATTTAAAAGGTGGCAACTTGCTAATTTTTTTGATATTTTTTCTTCTTGTGATGATTAGGGGTCCGTTTGGAACTCTGAAAATGCTATTGGAAGAAAATAATATAAGGGAAGTTTGGCAGCAACTAAAATGTGGGGAAAATTTGACCTTTGTTCAAACTAGTAACCAAAACCCTGTACAATCCCACAAGTTGGGTATGGGGAGGGTGGGATCTACATAGCCCTTACCTCGACGTAGAGACTAGAGAGGATGTTTCCGAAAAGCCTTTGCTCAAACTCAATAAATTAAATTTTCATGTATTTTTTATATTCATTTCTATTACGTTAAGATGCTTATATATATAATATGTTAAATGTTCAAACGTTTTATTCATATTTCATTTTCAATATGCATTTCCCGAGGCCCAAGGAAGTACCTTTCCCTAGCATTTGTTCCCATTCCCTAGTATTATCTGGGATCCAAACTTCCCCTCAATGTATTTTAGGTTGAGTTTGTTCATCAATTTTTTTTTACTATGTTGGATGCAGACCTGTTCAATTATCCATTGGATTTATTGCTCAATATATTTCAAAACCGTTACTTGGTGTGATGATGGCAAATGCTTTCCAGATCCCTAGCATGTTCTATCCCGGATTCATTCTCATGTCCTGTGTTGCTGGAGCTCAGTTATCGAGCTATGCGAGCTTCTTGAGCAAAAGTGATGTGGCCTTCAGTATACTCTTGACTAGCTCAACTACCATTGCATCAGTTCTCATCACTCCACTACTGACGGGCCTTCTCATTGGTTCTGTTGTGCCCATTGATGCAGTTGCCATGTCAAAATCAATATTGCAGGTATTATGAAAAAAGAGTGGTTAAGAGCCTGTTTTGGAATGGTCTAAAATGGCAAAATTGTGCTTCTGAAATGGATGAACATGTCGAATACTCTTAAAATAAAAACGAAATATGTATCTTAAATAAATTAAAGAAAATAAAATCCAAAATAGACAGAAATGTCATTTTCTTTAATTTCATACGTTTCAGCAAAAAAGTAGTCATAATTTCGGTAACTAGTGACAAATTCTACCGAAAAAGGTCGACAATAAACTATTAAAAAACGGTATAAAAAGCTCAAAGTTAGCATTTTATATTTTCCCTTATATTTCAGACTGGTTCTTCATTTTCAGGTTGTTCTTGTACCTGTTACCCTGGGCTTAGTTTTGAACACCTATGCAAAACCAGTTGTATCTGTTATTCAACCTGTAATGCCCTTCGTCGCAATGGCATGCACATCTTTGTGCATTGGCAGCCCACTTGCCATTAACCGAGCTCATATTCTCTCTACCCAAGGGTTAAAATTGGTCGGTCCTGTGTTGGCTTTTCACGCAGCAGCGTTTACCTTGGGTTATTGGATTTCCAAATTTCCAAGTTTTAGGTAAGTGAATATATTTTCTTGTAACGTGTTAGGTGCCTGCTGAGCAGCAAAGTATGGCCTAACGCCTACAACATTAACAAACCAAGTAAAATCCTACAAAAAATAGGGTTTGGGGATGGTGTCTCTATGCAGACCATACCCCTACTATGTAAAGAGGTTCTTTCCAAGAGATGACCTATTTACTAGACATACTTAAACCTAGTAAGCAGACAACCTATGTGATTATGTTCTTTTATTGACAATCATAATTAATAGGTTCAATGAAGAAACGTGCTGTACAATTGCATTATGCACAGGGATGCAAAGCTCAACACTGGCTGGCCTTCTCGCGACTCAGTTCTTAGCGAGCACTCAAGCAGTTCCCTCTGCATGCTCCGTGGTCGCGATGGCCATTATGGGTCTCTCCCTTGCCTCTTTCTGGGGAAGTGGGCTTCGGATCAGAGACTTATTACCCTTGGCGCTCACTCGCGCCAAGCCTTATGGTCCAGAAATTCACGCCAAGTAGTGCGGTATGTATGATCTTAAGTTTACAAGCACAAGATATAAATCTATATCGAATTGAGACACATTATAGTTTGTGCATAAGAATAGTTTAGTAGACACATACATGTTGGTGTGTAATTAAGCATGCAGAATGCTTATTGCTGGTGTGCACACATATCTGGTAGTCTGGCCTGTAAATTATAGTGTATTTTTTGAATCATGTATGATAGCATGGGTTTAGAAATCTGATATACTCCAGATATATACTCCTTCCATTTGGGTTTAGTAGTACATTGTGATGCAATGCTTGTTTACTATTGCTGTTGCCATTCATCATCCATTATTACTGTTTATCTACATTCTTGATGGTTATTGTTCATCTCCATTGTTGTTCATTGTTGATCGTTACCGTCAATCATTACCACCCATCGCCACCTTCAGTGCCACGACAGTCATGCCAATCCGGAGTGAGAGAAGGTAAATTGGAGAAGCCTTCTGCATTTTCCATGACAGTAATGCCAATCCGGAGTGACAATATATATTGGAGAAGCCTTATGCATTCTCCACGACAGTCATGCCAATCCGGAGTGAGAGAAGGTAAATTGGAGAAGCCTTACACTTAGCATAATTGCATCCCAGCGCAGTTGTCAGGATTCGAACTCCTGTCTACCCCCTTGGCATTCCCTACCTTTACCAACTGCGCAACGCCACTGGCAAGAAGAAAAAAAAAGAATATATATTTGAAAGACTCACTAAAGTAATGTTATTTTTTTGAAATTATTACTTTAATGTGGGATATAATATGATAAAAACTATGTTACTACCAAATTTATTTTTACTAATTTTTTTCCCGATAAACTTATCTTTTCTAACAATTTCTTTAATAATATTATATTGCCATCTTACTTTTTTTTAAAAAGCTTGCATGTATTTAAAACTTTATTTTATTCACCCGAGTATAACATCGTGCTATAATGATTAATGAACATATACTTCTCAAATCACCAACTCTATGGTACTATTGATTGATTAATGATTATATTTTCAAGTCGAACTTGAACGGAATTGAACTCAAAATTATTCAAATACTCACTAAAGAAACGAACCTAAACCCGACTTGATTGATATGATCTACCTGCCAATTCTAGCGTATCTCTGTTTGTGGTTTATTAGAGTCATTTTTCACTATCTATATATTTATATAAATATACAGAGTATATGATAAAAATTTAATATTTTAAAATTACGTTTCAAAATAAATTTATATGTTGATATCAAATTAATATTATAATGCAGTGTATATTATTCAAATCACATGTTGTTTACAAGGTTTGACTGAAGTAACTTCTTATTTAATTTAATTTAATTAAATATTGGTATGAAATTAAAAAAATAAGATTTATATATATTTAAAAATTACATCGAAATTTTTTTTACGAAACACCTAGTGATAAGACTAAGTTATTTTCTCAAATAGGTAAAAGATTTGATTAAAATTTGACCATGTAAATAATAAACAAACTTAAATTGGGAGTATATAATCTAATTTCTTGTTTTTGAGAGTATATAATCTAAATTGTGCTGTATAATCGAAGAAAAAAAATCAACATGGAGGAAATACTATTAAGACTTGTTCTTTATTATATTCGTTTAATTAATATGACATGGATTCATATTAAATTAAAATCGTAGTGATGCATATTTTTCATTTATGGAGATGTACAAACACGACATGATGACATGCATGTATATATACACAAATAAAACATGGTATATAACAAAAAACAAGTCAGAGTAACCTCACAATTTTTAGACCATATTGACCTTATGCTTTGTACAGAGAAATAAAAACTAATTTTTGGTGTCACACCAACCGTTATTTTTTCTTTGTACGCACCTATTACGCAAAACATGAGGTCAATGATAGTACCAAAATTATGGGATTACCTACTCCCTGTATAATACTCCCTATAATAAATACGTAGTATATGAATTATATATGAATTTTGACATGACACAACAAATGCTTCGACACATAACATGGCTCAAAGACAAACAAAGTTTTCTAACATTAGAATTGTGTTTAATTATTTTATTAAAAAGAAAGTGCACCGTTTATTTCCGAATTTTTCAAAAGTTGTACGGTTTATCTTTGAACATTATAGAGTGCACCAAAGACCTTTGAATTCTTCGAAAATTGCACGGTTTACCCTTGAACATTAAAAAATGCACGAAATACCCCTAAACTCTTCAGAAATTACATGGTTTACCCTTGAAAATTTAAATAAAGACGATAATTTTGGGGAAGGATACTTTGGTTTACCATTTAATAAGGTATATTCTCGCAGTAATGATCATTCTCACTTGAACCAACCCATATATATATATACATATATATATACATACATACATACATACATACATACATACATATATATATATATATATATATATATATATATATATATATATATATATATATATATATATATATATATATATAGGGGGGCCGGTTCTCGTGAGAATGCACCTTGTGGAGAGAAATGAGAATAAAATCTAGCCGTCGGATCTGATGCATCGTGCGGCTCAGATTGCATCCTGCGCTCAGATTTTGAGATAGTGCATTTTCGAAGGTTTATGGTGCATTTCGACGTGATGCATTTTCGCACCATTTTGGTGCATCTAATTTTGATGAAATTTTGACTCTTAGATCTCACAATCTAAAGCACCAGATTCATTCTCATTTCTCTCCTAAGATTGCATTCTCACCAGAATCTATATATATATATATATATATATATATATATATATATATATATATATATATATATATATATATATATATATATATATATATATATAAAATCCCCACCACTAGAGTATTGAATGAGAAGATTGGATGACTTGAACGTGCAGTGACTAATTGCAATGGAAATCATAGTTTGGAGAAGGGATATGAAATGAAGGAGCATTATCTCATCACCCATATGGCCATATGTATCTTTGTATATCTTCAAAAAAGATGGTATAATATGACAAAACAAATTCAATTAGAAGGGCTAATGAAGATCTTCTAGGGCCATCCCATTTGCTTTTAGCCTTTTAATATAATGGAGATTGACATATAAATATTCTTTGGGCCTCCAACCTGATATATCTTTCTCCTATATACACTAATCCACCCAATGTTAAATGAGTATTGTGCCCTTTCCGTCCAAAAATATTTGTCCTAATTTGATTTCTATACTAAACCCAAATAGCACCAGTACCTCCGCGGTTTAGAAAATATGAATCTATACTCCTTGGGTTTTCAAAGTTTATTTCTAAAGTTTCCGTAATTTCAAAACATTGCAATCATACCTTCTCTGATCATTTTTCGATCATTTTTTCAGCGAAAAGGGGGACAATAGTGCCTATTTTTCAAACCCTAGGGGTGCCATAGTTCTCATTTCTTAATTTCCGTTTATTATTTTTTCCCTTTTTTTGTTATGTTTCTTTTATTAATCAAAGTTTTTTATTTTTTTAAAAAAATTGTTTTTGTAATGTTCTTAAAAATAAAAAAAAAATTTGAGAATAAAATTAACATATATTGCATCTGTACGCTTCAAATTAAAATTAAAGACTTGTTTTAAGAACTTTAAAAAATGAGGAATAAAATAAAACAAAAAATAAAGACGTATTGTATGTAGTAGCGTTTTAGTCTTTAAGGATCTATTCAACACATAAGAGCTTTTCTAGTGATTCTGGAGTTATTTTCTAATCATTTTATATTAAAAACGGTGTAGAATAAAAATATAAAAATTACATATTTAAAAACTGTTTCAAAAAATCCGCAGGCTGAGCTAGTGTTTTCATGACGGACATAACTATATTATTTTATCAAATGACTAACGATATTAGAAAAAGAATGTAAATGATGTTTGACCATGTGAATAAAAAAAATGTAAATCAAATTTTACCAACAAAATAATGATAATATATTGATCTAATAATGACATAATGTACGGCCCCATCTTGCGGATTTTCCAAGTAGGTGCTCTAATTTGCCTAATTGTTGACTAATTATAAGTAGGTTGTAGCTTTGTTATATACTCAATTCTTCCCAAAGTTTTCTAATGATTTTTCAAAAAAAAAACAATTGGGTCATTCATATTTATGCACTAGAGAAAAATAACATAGACAATATGCACTTTTTTCATATATTGTAGCCAATTTGAAAAAATAGACTAAAACTAAGTTCTAAACAATCAAGAGTAAATTCCACAAATAATCATTCATATAACCGGTAGTTTTTCATATATGTTACCCAATCCTAAGATATTACATTTATAATCCTCTATATTTGAGAACTATTTCATAATATATAGATCCTTTGAGAATTATGATATGATCAATTTACTTAAATAAGACTAAAACATAATGACTTTTTCAAAATAAGGCCATATGTTTTTATTTTCCAATGTAAGACTACTATTGGTCATTATCTATTAGTCATTATTCAACTTAATGTCCAGCATCACTTGAACATTATTCTTTTTAATAGTCATTATTAAGTCATATTTAAAAAATAAAAAAGTTCAAGTCCTACATAGTGAAATGACTTATGCTTTAGTCATATTCACTTCAAATTTCAAAATTATATTTGAAGTTTCTTGTTATAAAGAATTATTTATGGAATTACTCTAAAACAAATTATAAAAGATTCCAATTTGAAGGTTTCAAAAGCCAAGGAAATTTCGAGGTTATGTACGATTCAAAATAAAAAATGGGAAAAAAACTAAAGTATGAGTAAAACATTAAAAATATATAAAAATATGACTTCCATATTTTTATTCTCGAAATATGAGTTAAAATGCATTTACATTACCAAATGTGGTCATGTGCATAACCAAAAAGTATAGTAATGTGCATGTTTACAGTGTCACATTACCTCAACGTTACCACAGTGCAAATTCTTATTTTGAGAATTAAAATATAGAAGTCATATTTGATAATTTTTCTATGTTTTAGTTTTATTTAGGGTGATTTTATAAAAAGATTTCAAAAAACCTCAAATTAAGTATGAAAAATAAAAGTTTTTTAAGGATGACTTAAAAAATGACAAGGGCCAAAAATAAAAATATTTATTTTATACAGACTAAAAAAAATTTAAGTACTAAACTATTAAATTTATTTAATTCATGGTTAAAGTTTAATTTTAATTGCAAAAAATCAAAACTAAAGAAATACTCCAAAATCGAAGTAATACTCCGTAAGATTTTAGGTTCATATTAAAATTTACCCAAAATCATATAAAAATTAATTACCCAATCGAAAGCCAATAAAAGGCGAAGTTATTTAAAAATAAAAAATAATCTCAATTCCCTTACCATCACATCATGATCATGCATAAAAAAACACTTGTGCATGCGTCTTAATACTAATCAGAATATTTTCAATTCTTTATTGACAATAACAACAATAATAACAAGCACTCAATAATAATAATAATGTTATTTTTATTATACTTTCATTATTATTATTATTATTATTATTATTAGACGTTCATTATTATTAATATTAATATTTTATTAGATGCGGTATAACCCAAGATGAAATAGAAATAATAAAGCTAGAAAATCATCTATATATATATATATATATATATATATATATATATATATATATATATATATATATATATATATATATGACGACATGCATATGATCGAGTATAATTAAACCAGCCGCACATGTACACAATTACCGATTTACATGGGTATTATTTTCTCAATCTTTGACAATTTCTTGATAAAAGTGATAACAAATAATAAAACAATAAATAAGCTATATATATAAAAACAGTAATCATAAAAGTATAATTCCTTAATTGCCCTCAACCTCTAGCTAGCTGGCGGATGATGGGCACCTTACGACGTTACATTATACATACAAACACTCTCATCACACACCAACACATTGTATATGTGTGTGTGTGTCTATATATATATATATATATATATATATATATATATATATATATATATATATATATATATATATATATATATATATATATATATATATATATATATAAAATAGTTTTTTTATTTACGATTTTTCTTTTTTTTGGGTATTTAATTTTATGACGATGATCATGATGATGATGAGAAAGAATCGGCTATGTTTCGCATGATCTCTACCTGCGACGCAAGGCACTGTATGTAATGGGCAGTTTCCTCAAGCAAGAGACCCATGTCCATGGCGTCGCCGCCCGGAACTATCTTCCGAAGCTCCTCCGCTTCGTCGTCATCGTCTCCCGCCTCGCTCCTCGACCTTCTTCGGCCTCGTAACTTTCCTGGATGATTGAATTTTAAGACACTTGAGCTGAATCATACTAAAATATTAAACAAAACTACTAGTAATATTTACTCTCCCTGCATCAAAATATTTGTCAAATTTTGATTTTTTGCCACATTTTGCCCATAATTTAAAAAAAATTGTATATTGTATTAATTAGATAACATAATATTTTGAAATTGTGTTACAAGATAAATTTAATAAAACCAATCTTTATATCATCAATATGTACTGTAAAAAACCAAAAATATAACAAATATTTTGGGACGAAGCTAGTATTCATAACAGAAAAAATGATTATTTTTTTTAAACCATAATAACAGAAAAATGAGTAGGAAGTACTCCCTCCGTCCCAAAAAGTCTTTCCTGTTTCATTTTTTGAGCATCCCATAAATCACTTATATCCCGCCTTGAATACCAAAAAAAATTTCAATATAAGTTCTACCCACAATAAATAAGAAATGTTGTAAAGTTTAAGCATTTTAGATGTCAGTTGAAGTGTTTTATAGGATGCGCAACAAATGAAACAGGAAAGACTTTTTGGGACGGAGGGAGTATTTAAATTACCGTGTGATTTGGTGGGGAGGCGGTGGAGGGAGGCGCGGCTGCGGATCTTCCAGAGCAGGGCGCGGCTCCAGACGTGGTCGGCGCCGACGGCGGAGGCCATGGATGCGTAGGCGGCGAGCTTGATCTTGCGGTACCGCGTCCGGCGAGTCGTCGTCTCGGAACTCCGGCGGCTGAGATTTTCCAGCGACCGGAGGAAATTCCGAGCGAAGCGGGCCGTGACGACGGCAGAAGCCAGTCGATCCGGAAGAGAAGCCGCCGCCATGATCGTCCACCAATATAATCAAGCTAGAATTTAGGGTTTGGATGTGTATATATATGTGTGTGTGTGTGTATGGATTGGATTATTGGAAGAGGAACAAAAAACAGATAAAAGATTTTCTCTGTGACAGAGAGAGGGGCCGGGCGGGCAGGCCGGGCAGGCTGTTGTTGGGAGGAGAAAAGCAAAAAAATTAAGAGAAAAAAAAAAGAAAATGAAAAATAAAAGGGGAATTATTTTGAAAAAGAAAAAAAGAATATAATTGTATGATCTGCTGACAGCGGGGGGATCTACTTATAACATACACATGGGATCGACGACGCTGCGTACGTATTACTCGTGTGTTTTAGGATGGGCTCTGTCCCTGATTGTCCGTGATACTACCGGAACCTATCACGAACCGCTCTTACTTAAACAGTTTGGTATTGGTACGGGATAAACTACAAAATCATTCGGTACCATTGCGTTTTGAAACGGAATAGTACAATACCATACCCATGCTCAAACCGTGCCAAAAAAATAAATGTACAATACTTAAAAAAGATTGAGATTAATGTATACGTTTGTATAAAAAAGCACAAACTTGTTAAATAAAAGTATTGATTTCAAATTTAAACGGATCATAAACATAAAGAATAAAAGATAACGAGTCCAAAGTTAAAAAATATTTTTTTCCCAATTCATATAATATTGGAATACTAATAACTATAAAAAAAACAATGCTAATAGTAATGATAAATATAACAACAATAATAATGAGAAAGTTTAAAAATGAATAATAAAATACGAAGTATTTTATATGCGGTAAAATGAAGTAGACAAATACTCCATAATTATTTGAGATACGCACTCCGTATATAGCATTGGACGGTTCGGTCCGTGATAATCGGTTTTAAATATATGCATCATGGTCCCGTCCCATTAGGTATCGGTTCGGTTTCGGTTCGTGATGAAAAAAATCAACCCCGTTTGAAAACACTATAAATGGTTCGGTACCATTACGATCCAGTGTGGTACCATGTTAGTTCGGTTTTTTTGCCCACCCCTAGACTGTGTTTCCTATAGAGCCTAAATAATCTCATTGGTTAGGGTGTCTGTAAAACAATTACGAAGTAATTTGTAGTTGAACATTCGTCTTTTGCTCAGTTCTCGATACGGAATATGGGATGTGTAGTGAGTATTTAATTTGATTGTTAGTCTAGTCTGTACTTATCGGTTTGTAATCCTTTAATTAGCTGTTGGCGGTGCATTTCAATCCTAACTTTCATTTCAAAATGATCTGGTTGTCTACGTACACAAATGCGAGTGCTAAAGTATCTCAGTACTAGAACTTTGAAGGAAAGGTAATGGGTATATAAGCTCCTGAACAGAATTAGGTAACCGATTTGATCCAATCTTTTAATGTGATTCTGTCCAAATATCTTATGATCCATTCTAATAATTGGAATCTCACCCTAAATTTCATTATTATTTTTTATATTGATTTAAACTAAAAAATTATACATGTGTAGACTGTAGAGTGTATACTTTGGTTATTTTAATCAGTGTCGATCACATTACAACAACAGTAAATGTAAAGTATATAGGAGTATAAAGAAAATAATTCAACCAAAACCTTAAATAATTTATGGTTGTATGAACTAAAAAAGTTTTTATATTCTAATTATCATTTCTCTTCACGTGCATGTGTGACTGCTTCAAACTGTACGAATAAGAGAAGGTTATATTCTAGCTCCTGCATATACTTCCCCAACCATTAGATTCTAGCTCTTGCATATATTTCCCCAACCTTCCAATCGAGCCCTAATTAGATTGAGATTCTAGTCGTCGAAATTTTGATTATAATGGCAATCCATACAGAGGGTACGAATAAGAGAAGGTTGGAGGTAGGAAGGGGCGGGCTAGGTGGGGACTTTCATGCAGAGGAAAGGGGGAATGGATATGAGTAAATAAAATTTGTACTAAATAGTACTAAAACATACTTCGTATATCTTTTCTAATCCAAAAACTTTGTATTCTCTAAATAGTACTCCCTCCGTCCAAAAATCCCCTTCCCCTTTCTTTTTTTACTTGTCTTAAAAAATCCTTTTCATTTCTATTAAAAAATTACTTTTACCCCTTCTAATTCCTAACATATCTATCATATCATGTCTTTTTACAAATAATCTACACATTACGTCTATTTTTACTCATCACACCAAAGATATTTTTGGAAAATCAACATAAAAATATTTCTCCCTTAAATTTCTTAAAAGTAAAAATAAGAACATCTTTTTGGGACGGAGGAAGTACTTGATTAGTGTCCAATGGCGGGTACAATGTCCAGTGGTAGTACACATTTTAATTGAACAATGTGCACTTGATATTGAACGATGATACTACATTGGATATATATTAAAACATATGATATTACATTGAAAAATGATGAACCCATCCCCGAAGGTCCCCTCAGACCCGGCCAGACGTACAATGAGAGGAGGTAAATTATATTTTGATCGCAGATTGGTGGCAAAAAATGAAGCTTGTACTTCATACTTGTGTTTAGAATAGTTGTCTTCCAGCGAAGTTGCTATTAATCTAACTCTGGTCTTACCCCTTTACACCTTTTGTGTTGCCAACTACGACCAGAAAATTACGCATACGCAATGTGAGAATACGAGTCTCAATAAAAAAAACAAAAGAGTCTAATGGGGGGGAGTAGGTGTAAAGTAGGGGGGGGAGGGGAGGGGAAGCTAAGGTGTAAGGATCGAGGTACAGTGATTTGCGCCATGTGGAAAAGAAGAGATTTGTGTTTTATATAATTTTGGGTTTTGTGGGGTGTGGGCCTACAAAAGGGCCAACCACCATATGGTCGCACATGCACTACTACATCTTTCCATGGATGGATACTTCCTCTCCCTTTCTCTTTTTTTTTGTGCGTCTGTAAAAATAATTTATGGCTTTTTTTGGGTTAAATTTGTACTAAATAATTACCGGGTGCAAATCAGTTTTGCCAGGTCTATTCCTTTCCATAAAATCCTTTCTGTTTTTGATTGTTTGAAAAAAAGCATACCATTAAAATGAGTAATTCCGGTCTTATTTTTTAATTTTGCACTTACTTTATAATAGAGTAGGTTGAGATGCGTATGTATGATAGATAAGTCATATTTATAAAATAACACTGAAAATTTTTATTTTAAAGACACATTTTTTCAAACGGGAAGAAATTTATGGGACGAAGGGAGCAATTGTTTAGGATTCTTTATTCGTTTTCCCAATGGGTTTTTATGTTATATGCTAGATTTGAGTTCATTAGGTCTTGTTACTATATCGAATATGCTCGTGATAAAATTTGATGTCTTTTGTATGATAAAATGGAACTAAAATTGATGCAAGCAACATAAAAAGTTTATACTATAAAAATATTTGGACATTTATTTTAACTTTTTTTATTACAAATGAAGCATATATATATAAAAAGATATATATTATATATATATATATACACACACACACACACATATATAACCAGGTTATAAATATAAACATAGTTCTATTAAAATATTACTCCCAATTTCTCTAAAAAAAACTTCATATTTCATTTTTTGCACATCTTCAAATACATTTCTATTTTCTATATATATCTGTACTGTTTAAGATTCACCATGTTTCTCTTTTATTATGGGTAGAAATCATTTCGGAGGTATTTTAGCTAGTATACAAATATTTTTTGGGATGCGTAAAAAATGAAATCGAAAATATTTTTATAAGCAGAAAGAGTACATGAAATAATGTTACGTTATAAAAATAACAAATTTGTGACTTTTTTTTGTAACTTTTAGCATTTCTCATGTGTACCACACATTTTGCTCAATTAAAGACTAATAATCAGAACGAAGTTTATTTAGAACATTAAAACGCAGCCATAGAAATGAGATGTGAAGAATGTCGGTCGATACTTTGATGATGATAAGGATTAATTGACTTTTGTGCGAATGGCTGTTGAGATTAATTGGATTTAATTTCATTAACGTTTATTCATGAATAATTAAATGCTCTGATCTATTTTTAAATTTCTTTATTATTATTATTATTATTATTATTTATAGAGTCAACTAAATATCATACTCCATCCGTCATGAAACTTTCTTCTCAGTTTAACTTTTCTCCATTTTTAATTTTTGGCTTTGACTTCAAATTTTACCCCCTTAAAAAAGATTTTTTGAATTTTTTTTGCAATCATTCAAAATATAGAGTTAGAAGATAATTGGTGTAAATACATGAGGGTATTAATGTCATTTGTCATCTTTTTTTTCTAATGGGAAGGTAATTTTATGACGGAGAAAAAGAGAAAGTGGAAAGAAAGTTTTAGGACGGATGGAGTATTATTAATGCATCAGTTAGAATATAAGTGGTGATGTCGTTGACAGGATCTCAACCATATATACCTTCTCATCACACTCAGCATAACATCTAGCAAGATGATGAGCTGGAAAATTACCCTCATAGGTCCTTCATTACTAATTATTGAAAAACTAGCTAGCAAATTTATTTGGTGTATGGTCGCATTTTTTTTCAAAATAAATATGTTTTTTTAAAAATAATATTGAGATAATTTTATACTCCCTCCGTCTAAAAAAAAGGACACCTTATTTCATTTCTGAGATATCCCAAAAAAACTTCATCTTTCCATTCATGAAAAAGTCTATGTGACTCACATTTCTCTCTCATCAACATCAATTTCAACCATAAATTTTTATTTTCTGTAAACTTCATGTCAAGTCAATATGTGACGTTTTTTTGGAACGAGGGAGTATACCATAAGTCCACAACATAATACTCCTATGTATGTCTCAAATTAAATTTTAAAGTTTTGATTTTTAAATGTTCAAAAATAAGTCCATATTTTTTTCCATTTACTATGGTAGAATAGAATATGTTGTTCACAATCTTTCTCTTTTTCTAAATAAATTTTAAACTTTTAATTTTTTTATTTTAAACTATATGAAAAAACAATAAATTAAGTTCAATAAACTCTAGGTATACCGTCGCTGTCCCACAAAAAAGTTTCACATTATTCTTCACTTTGTCAAATTATATCTCCTTTTATCACATGTTTTAATTGACCAATTGATTAAATTTTTAAAAGTTTAATTTTTGTGTTAAATTTCAAATATTTAAAATAATTTTAGTAAAACTAAAAAAAAAAAATGTATGGGACGTATAGAATATAAGACAAGAAGTGGACTGCATTATATACATCGTATAGTTGGGGTTTTTAATCATTAAAAAAGAAGAAAAGGAATATATATGAGAATAATTAAAAATATCAAAAGGCTAAAGATGGCCCATGAAAATGATGAATCAAATCAACAAAAATCCACCCATATGGCCATATATAATCTCATTATTAGCAAGCTAAAAAGAAAGAATAAAATTAAAAGTTAATTTTCTTAGTTTAGAAGTTACTAATTCGAAACTGCTGTCAAATCATACCTTCCTTCTGGTTCAAGTTATTGTAAAAGTGTGTTTAAACGTTAAACACTTTTTTTAAAAAAAATTAGAAACAAATATTTTAAAAAATTAATAGTAAGATTATGGTATTTCTCGTGTAGTCTTACGTATAAGCTATAAGTATATAATTAATTAATGCGCCTTGTTTGGTAAGAACTCTAATAAGAGGTAATTAATAGTGGTTGGAAATTTTGAATCAGATATAATGCCAACATTTGATAACGAAATTTCCACGACTTGGCAATATAATGTGCCATTTGTTTGGTTCCTCTTAACCTCAATCAAAGAGTTTAAACTTTGTACACTCATCATCTAATTCTTCTAAGTAGTTATTGTTGATGATTTTAGTGTAATCGGTCATTTTTGTGTGATTAGGTTTACTTAGATCAGACAAGAATTTGAATAAACGTTGTCTAACGAATAAAGAGGTACAAAGTGTGCATTCGTTCAACGATATTACAAATTCATAGCGGGGATCCACGGGCGATAGCCCCCGGTAGCGGGGTCCAAGGGGGGCAGCCCATGGTGGGAACCCAATAAATATGAAGTGTTCGTGAGTTTGATACAAATACTCTGTACAAAGTACTCCCTCCACCCTTGGAATTTTTGCTACACTATGTAAATTGAGGTCAAATTTTAGAATTAGTTTTTATTTAATTTATTCTACCCTTAAATATTGGTCTAAAAATAAAAAATAATATTTACATATTTACAAACTCTATCAAAAGTTCTTCAAAATAAGAGATAACAAATATATTTTTATTTATCAAATAATCGATGAAGGCGTACAAATAAATAAAAACTCTCATGCCTTTTGAATAATGAAATGTAGTATTTTTTGAGGCAGAGAGAGTATAGTAGCACCTAATAGTTTTCATTGAATAAATATGTACTCCGTATTATATAAGCGCAAGGATATTTTGACTTTGGAACCTCGAGTTATAATTTGATGATCCTATATTATAACGAGACACCTACGGTGATTCGTTCATAAAATTGATGATTCCTATATTATTATTATTATTATTATTATTATTATTATTATCATCATCATCATCATCATCATATTCATAACAGGTAAAGAAAATGAATAAATTCTAACCACATGACTAGTGTTCATGTCATTTAGTTAGGGAGAGAGAGACTAGTAGAATTGTTATTATTTAGTTTAAAATATTGATATTTTTCTCAAGTCAGTTCAGAAAAATAAAATATCCAAAATTTTCATAACATAGTTTAGTGTCATGTAAATTTGAAAAACAATTTTCTCAATAAGATTGTACTCCATATTATTTATATTACAAATTGAACAAAAAATAATAAGTATGAATCATAAAATAGTCACATAGAAACTAGAAAAAATTGAAAGGAACTAGAAAAAATTATAAGAAACTAAAAAAAATAGAAGTTAAAAGTTTAAACTCTAAATAACATGTCCTAAAAAATAAATAAGAAAAAACTAGATAGAATATATATATATGATTCCCTCGGTCTCAAAAGAGACTTCTTCTTTTCTTTTCGAAACTTCCCAAAAAAAGACTCCTCTATCTATTTTTGGCAAATTTTGTATGGCTCAACATTTTTCTCTTTTCTTATGTATCACTTTCAACTATGCAATTTCACTTTTCTTAAACTTTGTGTCAAACCTAATTAGAAGGCTTTTTTGGGACGGTGGAAGTATAAATTTGTATTTTTTTTATATTTTGTATTTACTAGGGAGTATAATAATTTTATTTTTTTAGCGGCCTTATTAGAAGGTATATTTGCAGAGCCTAAAAATGTTATGGACGAGCCTTGAGCATATGTACGACATTGACATGAATACTCCCTATATATAACAAACATTTGGTAAACTTATTTGATATTTTGAACTAATTTCATAGGGAATGGAGAGTCTAAAGTTTTGTATGGTCGCAACTCGCCATAAAATGACAATAAGCCATCCACATCAAAACCATATGGAGGAATGACACAACTTGAAAGTTGCATAAAAAAGACGAACCCTGTCCTCGTGGGCTCCTCAGAAACGACCAAACGATCACCTGAAAAGAGGTAAATTAGTCTATAATTACATATTGGTGGCAAAGGATAGAGCATCTACCCGGTACTTGCAAATGCTTAGTTGCCTTCCTGCGCAGTTATGAGGAATGAAATTTTGGGTATAGCAAAGTGTGATATAGTTGAAAAAACAAAAAAGGGCATCATTGTCATCACATGGTTACAGTGACATGCTCTATTGCACAACTGGAGGACTATGGGTAAAAATATTTGGAGCTAGCCAAACAAGGAGCAAAAGATGATCTTTTTCCAGCTTTATATAGTTATTGATTATATGATCAATTGGAAAAACAACAAGTGCAGAGCCATTCTGCCATGCTGGTTAGGGCCCCTATCAATGACATGAGAAGTAACCAAAAATATTTTGAAAATACAAGGCCTATATAAAATCCTACAAAAAAAGTAGATTCAGAGAAAGTGTGTTTTCAAATCTTATCCCTACTCACAAGTGAAGGGATTATTTCTAAGAGATCCAAAAAAAAATGTTAAAAATAATAGTGAAAGTTAAGGTCCCATTTGGGAGCATTAATCTGCTTGCCCATTGAAATGAGAAGAACAAGCAATCTTAGACTTACGCTACGTTCACCATTAGCTCCAATGTTTTGAAAATGGTATTCAACGGTAACTTTTAGCATTGGCGTTTCAAAGTTGATCTCCACTATTTAAGAGCCATTCGAAATGCTGACCACAAAAGTTGTTCCCAAACGAAGCCTTAATTACTTGGCTGAATGAAAGCAGTTTACCAAACACTACCTTTTCAAACAATTCTGCAAATTCAGTAGTTTTGCGCAAACTCTCTTCTTTCTTGACACGTGTACTTGACCTCTTGCATCGTGCCAGCCCTCACCACCCCAGGACAAGGGCGGGCGGGGCCCACCGTTGTTTTTGAAATGGTGGTAGGAGAGTAGATGGTCATAGCTACATGGTACTATGCCTGAGCAAGAGGTGAACAAAAATTAATAATGGGCTTCATACCCAAACAGATCCAAAATGTTGACTCTGCACATTTAAGTACACCTACTTTTTGTTTATTGAAACAAACAATTGCAATGTGTCCTGCATTCTATCTATGAAACATACACCCTGTTATACGGATTTCGAGAATAACAAATTTGAACACGAAAAACACGACAACAGATTTACGAGTTGGCTACATTCACAGGGAAGAGGGGGAGCAGTTTTATTATGGAGAGGCAAGAACAGAATACATCTTAGGGTTTGTGATAGCACCTATATATATAGTGCTAGGCTACACCCTAACAGGCTTGGGCCCAAACTACAGAATTGACAGATAATTAATAGCCTAATACATCAACATTGTATACCGTCGGGTCAGATTCAAGGCATTACAACACAACCTAATATGATATACATTCTGAGAAATTAATTACTTTCCCTAAAATATACTGGGGAGAAAAAACCAAATTAAATGAAACCGATACCTTAGCTCAGTTCTATGTTGAGTTGCAACTTCATATTAGTGTGTGTGCAGAGTTCAATTTAGGGCCTGTTTTTTCAACTTATATTCATCTTAGCTCATTACTTTTCAACTCTGCAAATTCATGGTGAAAACCTGCGAAATCGACTGAAAATGAAATGAAAATTTATGAATCAGATAGAAACCCAGAGAGAAGATGGACTTATGGAAGGCAACATGACACTTAGCCATTCAAGATGCTGTGCTGTAGCCCCAGAGTTATTTCCTTCATGTGAAGTATATTCCTCCCAAAACCCCCCAAAAAAAGTACCAACAAGATCTAACTTTGAAGCACATCTTTATAAAAACAATGTAGTAGTCCTAGTCAAGGAGATTAGACAAGATAGGGCAAAGGAATTGATAGACTTTAATCCCCGGAATTATAACAGAAATAATAATAGGCAATATATCTCGAAGAGGAATTAAGGGAGACGAAGCTATAATAATCACTAACTAGTTAAATACTTAAATCCACTCAAATGATGCCACATTCCGGAACAACAGGGCGGGTTTCCACTGTTATATAGACAGACAATATCGGATTCAAAGTGTCACATGTACACAAATGTAGAGATTTGACCGTGTTGAATATTGATCAGCAAAAACTAATTTGATACTTTAGAGAGGTAGCATTGATCTGAAGGCTACTTTTAAAGTTTTTCATTTGAGATATGAAAAGGAGCCTACGTGCACCGGTCGAGGTGATGTCGTGTGACCTTGAGGACATGGGTTCGAGTCCTGGAAGCAGCCTTTGGCGAAAACGCTAAGGCAAACCTACACCACATCCGTATAATGGGGATGCTTTATGCACTAGCTAGACTAATGACTACCCTCTAAATAGGAGATGGGAGTTTAAAGATTATTTTTTACATCACCCAAAAAAACTTTGGACTCTGGGATAGATCAAGCACCGCTCTAGCAGAATACCCCGAATCATTCATCTTCGAGTGCTAGTTCATCCATGGACACTTCTTCCAACTGCAACAGCATTAAAGACAAATCGCGAACGCCTAATAGAACGAGTAGTTCACAACACATTATATGTTGGTTTACACCTAGAAGTTCCTAATAACGCTCTCATACGAGAAGCCTAAGAATGTGAAAATACATTGGGACAGAGAGAGTAGTTTATATTCGCGCAACAATAAACATACATAGTAAAATCCTACAAAAGCGTATGTAAGTAGACATTGCCCATATTCAAAAGGGGAATTTGTTTCTAAAAGACCTTCGGCTCCTATACAGAAGCATGGACAAAGTAACACATGGTAGCACGAAAAACGTAAGAGCATAGAGACAGTCAAGTAAAATCACGACAGAAAAACTACAAATTAAGGTGGAAGGATTTATCCAAATACTCTGAATCTGATGGAAATTGTGGACTCAAAAATAGCTCAAATTGCTTCAATTATACAGCATAGAGAATGAAAAATTGATAAGCAGAATCTCATTATTGGGGAGGGAAAAAGAGGAAGGACCCGAATATTCTCAGCTGAGAACCCGCCGCCGGCGGTGTATCCGGCCGGCGGAGATGCTTTGCCACCTTTGGGAAAGGGAGATTTTGAGAGTTCGCTCTCTTGGATGTGAAGAAGAAAGAAAAGATTAGTGCGCGAAACGACGGCGTTTGGTGTGGAGTCTCAGGCGGAAAAAATGTAGAATTTTTACCAAAAAAACCGCCGACCGTGGGACTCGAACCCACGACCACGTGGTTAAAAGCCACGCGCTCTACCAACTGAGCTAGACCGGCTTACGTTTGTAGTGGGCGTATTAGCTTATTTAAATGAACAAAGCAGGTACTTGCAAAAATTATGAGAGGCTGTGATTTTTCACTTACAGAACTTATTTATGGCGGAGTAGTAATGATTATTTCAATTATATATAGTTCACTTATAATACTAATTTCTAATAAAATATAATAAAAACTAAAATACAATGAAAGAATTCAAAAGCCAATGTAAAATGAAACTTTTTAATACTTTTATGTGCATTAAGAAAAGTATATCATAGCTTTAGGCCGCGTGGCGGGGTCTCCTTCCCGACGGCCACGCCAACCTCTAAAGCCACGCAAGAGAGAAGGAGAAAGAAGAAGGTTGTGGTGTGGGCGGGGACCTTCTCGATGACCAGAGCAAGGAAAAGGGAGGTTGTGTTTGTTACTCCGTATAATTATAAAAGTGATTTGATTCGATTTATCATCTTGATAGTGATTTTAAGTTTAATTTATTGTATTTATCAAAAAAATTAAAACGTACGAATACTCTGAAATGAAAAAGGTATTCTCTTCTTCTTATATCTTTATTCGCAGTGCACTATTATATTCCAATTTTACGAAAACTCTTATTTATTTCTATTTTTTCATGACATATATAATAAAATAAAATATTCGTGTTAGCACTTGTTTTATTAAATTTTTAATATAGTCTTTAAATATGTAAGTTTTATTTCTAATTTTTTTTACTAATACTTAAATAAAATAGATTTAAAAAAACTTGTAGCAGAGAGTATTTTCTCTCATGCACCGTTCTCAAACTAAATTCTCATTGTTTTTCACAATGTTATAAGAAATTATTTTCATAACAATTTGCTAAAAATTTGGTGTGACATTTAAAAATAAAATTCATATTTTAAAAATAACATGAAAAGACTTACGAAACTAGAAGGGATACAATAATATTATTTTATCAAATAAACAGTAAAAATAGACTTACAAAGTAGATAAAATTTGACCCAATAAAATAATTATTTAAGGCACATCAGGCAGGAGCAAAGTTTTTAAACCCGGACAGGACCGGGCGGTCCGACCGGTTGAACTGCGACCTGGACACACAACCGGTCAGGTCCAACCCCCCAAAACCCGGGAAAAACCCAGGACCCATCCTATCCGCCTGGTCGACCTTCGGTCCGGATTTAAAATCATTGGGCAGGAGTGGCATCTCTAAAAGCCAGATCGAGATTATATCATGCATGATTTATCCTCTCACAATCCTGTCGGGTTGGGGTGTAGAGTGGCGCGGAGGGGTATTTCACCTCTTTGAGAAAGTGGGAAAAAGAAGAAGTTATTGTTAACTGTGAGGGGGCGGGTATCTGGTTTGCAAGCCAGACCACATTCAATGGTGTTGTGCACTGTTCACACCTGTGGAATCTGCCATTTCCTCTCCTCTGTTCATCCATTTACAACTGAGTGGACTACACACGACAACATTCAAATTACACAAATGGAAAATGCTAAAAACCCCCCCTCTTGCTACCACCCATGCCCCCCTTACATAAACATATGGTAGGGAGGCAAGAAAATTAAAATTAGAGGGTGGGTGAAGAATGGATAGAGATAAATATGTGGTGAAGAAATGAGTGGAGGCAAGGTTGGTAGCAGGGGTGGGGGTGTGTAGCATGGTCCTTACACAAATACTCCTAAAAACTCACCATATGTCACTTTAAATTTATCTACTTTTGACCTTTGTAGGTTAACTATTTTCAATTTTTAATTTATAATTAAATAAAATATGTATTGCATATTAATTAGATAAATAATATTTTAAAAATATTTTATGTAATAAGTTTAATAAAATTATTTTTGCATCCATATCTACTATTATTTTTAATTAATTTGAGGTCAAAATTTGCTAATTTTGACAAAAAAATCAAAAGTAGACAAATACTCAGAGACGGAAGAAATATGTTTGTTTTTGGATGATTATTATTTGTGTCTTTAGAGATTCACTTACCATTGTCATTTATGATGTCAACTATAATAAGTTTCTAGGATCATTCTCTAAAATAAAAAGTACAACATGAAAATCTTACTTTATTCACTAGAAACAAACTCAATACTTATTGTTTGTGAAGCATAGATAGTAACTATTTTTACCTGTGTTTTGTAACCAAAGTATTCTATGGTCTTTAAGTCAATGCTTATTTTACTCACTTTCACACATAAATTTAATTTATGTAATGGGCCTTGAATAAATAAGTAGATTCAATTGTGAGTCTATAAAAAATATGTGAAAAAAATTATAATTTATAGGAAAATTACATAAATATTACTCAAACATAGTGACCTTTTCAATTTAGTACCATATGTTTTTATTTTCAATGTAGTACCGCTATTTAATATCCACTGATCATTGTTCAAGTAAATGTTCAAGCCGTTGGACATTGTTCAAACTAAATTTCCATTAGTCATTATTCAAGTACTATTTAAGAAAATAAAAAAGTTTAAGTACTACATTGAGAAAAAACATATATTTTAGTACTATTTAGTGTAAACTTTACTAACTTATATGTGGACCTTAGAGACACTATAAGACAAGAGTAAGTTTATTAATTAGGCCTTGTTTGGGAACATCGTTTTTTATTAGCATTAGCGTTTTGGATAAAAATTTAATGGTGTGGATTAATTCTGAAATCTCTATCGCTAAAGGCTACCGTCAGATAGCCTTTTCAAAATGCTAACGCTAATCTCTAACGCTAATGTCAAACGGGACCTTAGTCTATTATAACAATGGTTTTCCTTATTTATTCATTTATTATCAAATATTACCCATGCGGTGTTTCTTTTATAAGTATCTTTCTAGAAATTATCATTTTTTGATCTGCTGTTAGGTTGGTGTTAACTTCAGGATTAAAAGTGTAATTTGACAATGATATCATATATTTTTCCTGTCATACACAATTCTAGAGGTCGTTTCTAATGCGTCGTTTGTGAATTGTATTTACTTTCTACTGCAAACATAGTCTACAAATGTGGTCTTTGTCAAAATTCTAGTCAACAGTTGTAGTCATTATTGTTGTGTTTTTCGTCTAACTGACATCACAATACGTCACTCGAACAGGGTGGATATCGAATTATATTTTCAACCCTTAATTTAACAGCAACTTGATCGGATATCACAAAAGGACTACTTATAGAAAGGTAGTCATAAAAAGGATCACATGTGTAATATTTGACAATAAAAACTTGAAGGGAGATCGATCAAAGTAGGACTAAAACATTAAATATATACTAAAATAGGACTTTCATGTTTTTATTCCCGAAATAGGACTTATATTACCAAACATAGTCATGTACATTACCAAAAAAGTATAGTAATGTGCACATGTACAATATCACATTACCACAATGCAAAGTCCTATTTCGAAGAAAAAAAATATAAAGTCTTATTTTGGTACTTTTCTCTATGTTTTAATCTTATTTAGGGTTATTTTTAAAACTTAAATACAAAAAAATCAATGTAATAAAGGATTATTTATGGAATGTAATCATAAAATAACTCTATTTTGTAAAGTGATGTCCAAAAGAGGGTTTCCCTAAGATTTCTCCCAAATTAAGCCCTCTTTTATAAAAGGTCCGCATGTTGTATCACTTATCGTATTACAAAGAATTATTTTTAGGTTTTAGCATTGAACTTAAAAAAAAAGAGGATGAAACTCATATTGGAACGAGGGGAATAAACATTTAAAAATACGGCTTAGACAATTCTATAAAACATACTCCATTCGTCCCTTAAAGTCGTTCCCTTATTGACTTTTTGAAAAATTAAAAGAAGAATATTTTGGTATTGACTATTCAAAAATATATTTGATGTGATAGGTAAAAGTAAGATGTAATTAATACTCCCTTCGTCCTAAAATGTTCTTCCCACTCACTTTTTACTCGAGTCAAACTTTAATCACTATTTTCATTGTTTTGTAGAACTTTTGATGTAGTTTTTAAATATATAAATTTTATTTTTTAATTTTACACCTACAATCAAATAAATTGAATTAAAAATAAAGTCGATCAAATCTCGTAAAATGAACCGGAAAGAACATTATAGGACAGATGGAGTAGATTATTAGTAAAAAGGCATGATGTGATAGACAGAATATGAAGAGTTTAAGTGACCGAGAGAGTATGAAACTATGAAAGTGTTTGACATGCGAGACTCATTTCAGTCCCCTTTGGAGTCTTAGACAAATGTCTTCTCATATGGGCCGGATAACTTCTCCGCGGATATCCATCAACCGGCCCTCTAATTAATTAATTAATTAATTAATTAAAGTGACTAATTTCATTTACTTTTCTATAAAGATTTTGGTCAAAAGGAGAGAGGCGCACACACTAGAGGCGAGCGTGATATGATATTTAGCTCGTATTGATATTGTACCATATTTAGGTTTGGTATAAGATTTCACGTTGTACCGATCCCGATCCCAAAATATTGGTTCGGTATCGTTTCGGATGGTTAGGCATCAGTTTCAGTACAAAACGAGATGAATATATACGTACCTAGTTTACACCATAAAAGGTAACAATTTTTTTTTATTCTTTTTGAAAAATCAAAAGTACATATCATATAAATAAAGGGAAACAAAAAATTTAAAAATTAATAATAAAATGCAAGAAATGCTTATGAAACTTAGTTTATATTTCACAACTTAAAAAGAACAAATGATAACAAAATATTATTAAAAATATTTGTAAATATTCTTATACTCATCTACAAAAAAATAAAAAACTCTAATCAAATTACAATTTACACATAATGAAGTTAAACTAAATTGTCAAAACAAATTAATTATTTAATGAAGAAATATTAAAAAATTATTATTTTTATAATATATTACTCTGAAGTATATATGCTCGGTTTGAGAATTTCAGTATGGGAAGTAACCTCATACCGTTCCCAAATACAGGACCGACCATTTCGTTTGGTATGGTTCGATTATTTTGCGGTACTTTATCAGTTCGGTATCTTTTGGTTCGGTATTTTCGATTTTCTTGAGAAATATCGAGATCGGTTCAGTCTTTGTTCACTCGTAAGAGACAAAACATAAAGCACTTCTGTGGTGACGCGTGTGGGGTTAAAAAGTCATTTTGCTGCTTAGCCTTTCCAGCATGGTTTTCCTTTTCTCACGGACGAGTTGAGTAAAATTTCTTTCAGATTGATTTATATTTTAAAATTTATATAGTTTTAAAAGTTGTTTGAAACAAATAAAGATAAAATTATACAATTTTATTAAATGAGTTGGGAAAATACTCCGTATAAGAAAAAGTGGACAAAGTTTTCTTATGAAAGTTCTAAGAGCATCTTCAATCATCCTACTTTGGCTTGCTAAAAGCTATAATATAGAAAATCTACTCATTTTTCTCTTCTCCAATGGGTGTGTTAAATTTTAGCAAACTTGTCAAAAAATGATTTTGGCTTGCTAAATATAACAAGCTCTCCAAATTATAGGAATCCAATAGTTGTAGAATGGATTAGCAAGCCATGATTGGAGAGTGGAACAAAATAGCACTTGCTATATCATTATTCACTTGTTAAAATATAAAAATAGCAAGCCAATATAGTGAATAAGGTTGGAGATGCTCTAATAATTAAATCAAAACAGATGAATTCTTTACTCGATTATTTTTTATTATACTCCGTACAATTTTATTTTTCTTAAATTTCATATTTAGATCACAACAGCATTTAAATATAAAACATCAGTTGTATCTACATTATTTGTTATTTTAAGTATTAGCAAAATCGATGGTAAACTTAAAAAGGAAGGGATGAAATATGGAACACATTTTTTAAAAGTTAAAGCAATGTTGTGGGGAAAAAATTAAAGAAATCAAAGAAAATTGGGCCAATTAAGAAAGAAAAAGGGGCAACAACAAAAAAAAACAGTATGGGACAGGAGATGGGAGTTAAACCTTGGAATGCACGAACACATCCATCCCCAACTGCTGTAAAGTTGAATCATAATTACAATGACCCCATTCTTTTTTTTCCCTTTATTTTGAATTTTTTTTAATATTAATAACTCCGTAAGTATCTATTTATATATTTTCAATTAATTGAAGATCGTAGAATTATTGTCTCCATTACTTTAATCCTCATTTTCAATAAAAAGGTTTGTGTAATGCAGACCGTAACAATTTGTATAATTTGTGCATAGTTTAGGGTTCCAAGCACCTCAACAAAGCCAATCAGACAATGCTTGCCATTTCCCATATCCTACTTAAAATTCTCAATCTAATCAGTGCCGGTGGGTGTTGCGTACCTAGCAAGGCAAGAGATACCCGAGTTCGATTCTTGACAAATATATTGAGAAATAATTATGTTAAACATATAACCTCTGGAACGATTAAGTATCGGGGGTAAGCTCCATTCTTTGCTATGCGATTACAACCCAAATTTATCTTTCATCCGGCAACCGTGTAACCAGTTCAGAACCCTCGGAGAGGGGGTTCAATTTTTTTTCAATCTAAGTTAGGCAAAAAAAACTCAATAAAGGGAGTAACTTGTAAGTAAGTTCAAAGAGCACAACATTAAAGCCAAGAATCAAACAAACAAGAGCTTGATGTCTCATCTAACTAACCATCCAAAGTCTATATTTCAAAGCTACTTTTAGATGGGTCCGGAATTTAATATTTAATCAAAACACACACACATGGGGGGCTGCAACATTTGAATCCTACCAAAAAAAGGGAGTAGTGGCAAATTGGTAATGTGCCGTGGTGAGCTGAGAACAACACTCTTGGTACACACTAAAGCCCCAATGGACCACTTGTTTACCTACTATCTCCGTTTTTGACTAATTGCATCTTTTAATTGTAACTCCCTATTTATATTAGTATTTAGGAGTAAATATTTATGCAAAATTCATAAATAAAATTATGAATTTTATAATTAGTTTGATTTATGAATAATGAGTGAGTCAAGAATACGGTGGGATGAATAAAAAATATGGTGTGGATGGAAAGAGTAGTGTGTAAACCCTTTTTAAATTTTCAACAACAAAAATGACTTTTTGCTCTTTGGGTGATTCAGGGTCTGTTTTGAGAATATCGTCAGAGGTTAGCGTTAACATTTTGAAAAAGTTATCTACGGGCAGTGTTTGGTGTTAGCGTTTTTAAAGTTAATCTGCACCGTTAATATTTTTTTCCAAAACGCTAACCCTAATTAAAAATGACATTCCCAAATGGGTGGTATTTTTTTACTTATAAGCTATTCAAAACTATTTATAAGTCATTGTTTTATTTATAAGTCCATTGATAATATATTTTTCTCTGCTTATAACCTGGCTTATAGTTTGATTATAAGCTAGAAAAATAAACACTACGTAGGTCTTATTTACTTATTTTTATGTTTTTTATTTCTTTTTTTGTCTAGATTATTTACAAAACAATCCATCATCATATCGAATATTCTCAAACAACTTATCTATCATTTTAGTCATGTTACTTTCGCGAAAGAAATATTTATTAGTAATAAACCAATAAGCATTAGCATACATAGAAACAAATGGTTTATTTCCTTCACAATGAAACATAGTGGTTCACATATTCCCAAATGACTCAAATTATTGTTATTCAGACCGAATCGCCCATCCCGCAAGAGGTTAAGGTCGTGACAAAGTTTGAAAAAAATTTATACAAGAGGTCTCTAGGGACTAGTTGGGGGTATAGTATAAGAGGCTCTAATAACAGAAGATGGTTGAGGGAGTAGGGGATCCTGGTCATAAAGTATTTACAATGAGGATAGGAAGACTAGTCGTGCAACTAAAAGTGGCGGGGCAAGCAGCAGGCTCCCATTGCATGCCAGAGGTGGCGTTCAAAACATAGGCAGTGAAAGACCATGATAGATAGTTGTTGTCTTCTAATTTCATGGGAACCAAGCAGTAGCTTCAATATCATGATAAAAATATGGAAATAATTGTATTGCTTAAGAGTAATGGTGGGTTCTCGGCCCCGTTGCATGTCAGGGGTTGCATTCGGTGTTGCGGTGCGAGCTGGGCGTGTTGTGTGAGGAAGGACATCCATTAGAGCACTGGTAATGGTCTTGAAGCCCCGGGGCTTCAAACCTTCTCTCTCTGCCACATCAGCTTTAGCTTACCCTAAAATTTCACTGGAAATGGGTTTGAAGCCCCTTCAGCTTTTTATATTTTTAAATATACATCTTCTAAAATTAAATTAATAACATTTTATCAATTAATTGAATTTAAATGAAAATAAACTATTAAATAAAAAAAATCAATAAAAGGTAAATTAACCAAATAAGATTTGAGTAATGAAAACAAAAATATAAAAAATTATATTACTTTATGAAGGAATTACTGATTATTCGAGCGACTAAAAATATCTTCATTCAAATCGGGGTTATAGTGACATATTGCAAACTGAAATAATACATTAATTAAAAAATACAGTCAATAAAAAAGTATGTTAAATTTAAAAAACAACAAAAAAATTACATTACGAAAGAAAATTTAAACAAAAAAATATTACATTAAACAATAAAATATAGAGAAAAAAATTATGTTTGTGTTTGTTCTATTTTCTTAAAGAGAAAGAATATAAAGAGTAAAAAAAAATATTTAGTCTTATGGCATTTATGTAATTTTTTATTGTTTTTTAATGAATGAAGCCCGTGAAACGTTTGAAGCATAAAGGATGAAGCCCCTTTGAAGCCCCAAGGGGGCGGTGTTTGCTGCCCCTTTGGCGTTAAAAGGGACAATAACGCCCCGGGCGTTATGCCCATTACCAGTGCTCTTATAATGCCTCGTCGCGAGGTTGGGGGTGTAATATTTTTTTAATTGCATCTGTATAAATTAATCATTTCTTCAATCTTAACTTATCGCACTCATAAATTTTTTAATTTTTTTTTCAATTTAAAATTTTAAAATTTTCGCAACAGTAGTATTTATTTTTTAAGTTTTAGATTTCTAAGCACTTTTTTAAATTTTTAGTATTTGTAATTTTAAATTTTAAGCATTTTATAATTTTTTTCTTTTATCAATGAAGTATTTTATAATACAATATATCTTCATATTTTTTCTTTCTAATGACAAAGATGAGTTAATTTATTATCTTCTTTAAACAAGGGAGAAATTATTTTATCCATTTTTTAAAAAAAAGCCTCAGACAAAATAAAAAAACATTATAGACAAAGTTTTTGACAGGGTGTTGAATTAACCAATAATTAAAGATACTCCGTAAAAGAAAAAGCAACAAAGTGACAGTAAAGCTACCCAAAAAGTCGCACACTCCATTTTTTCAACCTTTCCTTTCTCTCTCTCTCTGGCCTTACCCCTCTGTCTCTTTGTCAGCTACTGGACTTCCCCATCTTCTTTCTTTCTTTTTTTTTCTCAAAAAAGAAAAAAAAAAAAGTAGCTGGACGTTGCACATTTGACAAAGACAAAAAATGATAAGAGGTAAGACTCGCGTTCGATTTCTCGCAATTGCGTTGAGAAGCGTGTTAAACATAAGATCTCTGCAAGTACCAGTTATAAGCTTCATCTTTTACACTAATTTACGATCAAAATTCTATTTATTTTCTTTTAGTGACCGTGTGCCGCTCTCGTGTAATGACTGGTCTTTTTTTTAAAAGAAAAGAAAACAAGGAAATTAATTTCTCAAAAACAATTTTTCATCAACTTTATGGATATCTGAACTTGTCTTCTTCCCTACACAACTCCATCTCCATTCAATTCTCTCTCTCTCTCCTCCATTAAAGCTTCATCTCTTTCTTTCCCATCTCTTTCCCATTCTTTAAAACCCCCCTTTTGTTCTCCACCTTTCTTCCCACACAAATTGAACCTCTGAAGAAACAGATATTCCAAATTCTTCCCCCAAAATGGATGCATATGTAATTATCTCTCTCTGTCTGTCTCTCTCTGCGTTTTCATTAATTTAATTTCAAATTTCTGTTCTATTCTTCTTCGATTTTGTTTTCCCCGACGGGTTTGATTCGAAATTTTTGGATTTGGAAACGCCGCAGGATTGCGACTACTTCATGAGGAGGAGCCAGCAGGTGCCGGCGTTTGGGAGCTGGGATTGCGACGGCGGCGGCGATTTCCCGATCCCGTTCACGCAGTGCTTCGAGTCGGCGAGGCAGGCCGCCGGGCTCCTCCGCTACAGCTACTCAGAGGACCGGGATCTGTACGTCGCCGGCGATCTCTACGAAAACGACGTCGTCACTCCCACCATGATTGTCGTCCCCCGTCGCCGGGTTGTTGTAAGTCCTTATCAACTCTCAATGGCTTTGATTTTTCATCTTTTATTAATTACTCCACTTATTAATCATTGAGTAATATATTAATTTTAAAAAATATTAAATCTAATACTCCATCCGTCCCAAAATATTTTTTACTGTTTTTTCAGCACTCGCGGGAACTTTTGTTTATTTCTACATTTTAATTGGTTATTTGATAAAATAAAATAATCCTGACACATCTTATTTCGAAAAACTTTTCATGAAATTTTTTGATATGTAAATTTTATTTTTTATTTCTATACCAATATGTAAATAAAATAAATATAAAAAACTTGATATTTTATCTCAAGAATACAATTGTGACAAATATTTAGGAATGGAGGGAGTACAAAAAAGAAAAGATTGCATATTAGCTTTGAAAAATGAAAAAAGATTACATATTGGCTTAGAAAAATGTTAGGAAATTTTTATATTTGAACATCAAGAAAAATTTCCATAGTTTTTAAGAAATGTATACTCCCTCCATCCCAAAAAGTCTTTCCTGTTTCATTTTTTGCGCATCCCATAAAACACTTATATCCCGCCCTGAATTCCAAAAAAACTTTTAAAATAACTTCTACCCACAATAAACAAGAAATGTTGTAAATTATGGGCATTTTAAATGTCGGTAGAAGTGTTTTATGAGATGCGCAAAAAATGAAACAGGAAAGACTTTTTGGGACGGAAGAAGTATTAATTTTTTTTTTCATTAAGTAATTTTGAAATAAGTTAAATGAAAAGGAATTAATGGAAGGAATATATATTTACCGAATATATATTTACCGGATTATTATTTTAAGAGGAAATAAAACAAATAATTGATCCGCGACGTGACGTTATTTGGTGGGATGGGGGGGAGTGTGTGGTACCATGTCACATGTGTTAGGTATTTCGTCTTAATGGTCAAACATTAATTTTTTTGGGGTACGTTACAAGTTGCACCATTCTAAATTTAGTGCTTGTTGTACTCCCCATCCAAAAATACAATTATGTTCCCCTTCATTATTTAGGGATTAAATTTTACTCTCTCCGTCCCACTTTATATTACGATATTCCTTTTTTGTTGAAATTAAGAAAGAGTCAAATTAAATTTTTTCCTCCCAAATTACCTCCAAGTGGCCCACTCACATGGATGAATAGTGTGTGAATAGTGTAGGAGTGAGAGGGTAAAAGAGTCAATTCCTTGTAAAGTTATTGACCTTGTAATTCTTTTTTAGACAAAAATGTGAGAGAATATTGTAATCTATTTCGGGACGGAGGGAGTATTACATTTTAAATAAAATTTTAGTCCCGTTTGGTAATAGCGTTACACATTAGAGTCAATGTTTTAGATTGAATTTTAACAGTGCAGATTACTTTGAAGACGATAACGTTAAATTCTGCCAATAGTTAACCATTCTAAAACGCTAACGCTAGTTTCTAACATTATTCCTTAACAGGTCTTAATTGTCTTAGATAATGACTAATGGTACTTGATTTTTCATTATTTTTTCAATATAACATTTTGGCTATTAATTGTTACATACTATGATTAGAAAACTCAATTTTTTTTGTTGAGATAGATTATGATTTATGACTTTTGTCGGTGGAAATAACTAACAGGAGAAAGGAGGAGGAAAAGAGGCAGCAGCAGCCTGGGTGGTGGGCCAGTGTGGGTATGAAGATTTCGGAGCCGTCGTAAAAGAGCCGCCCAGCCCACCTCCGCCGTCTCCTCCGCCGTCCAAGGCGGTTGACGAAGATCTCTACAAGATTTCCCCTGACCTCCTCTGCTCCAGGGCCAAAAGGGTTCGTCCTCCCAAACCCCCTCTCTCTTTTTAATTCTCACTAACCGTGTTTCGAACTTTGCACGCGAAATTTTATTTTTAAAAAAAAAATCATATCGGTCAACTTTTGGTCAACAAAATTCTGATACGAAAGAAATAGAACAAGAAACTCAAACTTGTGATGGTTGGTTGAAGAAATGTTATCATATTCTAACAATTTCAAATTATTTTCTTCTTCTTCTTCTTCAGAGGAGATCATGGGGATTCTTCTCAAGTTGCCTTCGACCAGTCTGCGTGTAACACGGAAGAACAAACAAAAAAAAAGAACTGATCTCGGCTGGGAATCGACAAAGATTATCACAGGAGAATGTTTTGGGTCTGGGCAAAATCGTGGGAAGAACATGATGAGAGTATATGTATATTGTATGTATATGAATGATGGTATATATCATGATGATATTATACATGATCATCATCATCTGATCATTATCTTCATCATTATATACATCATCATCATCATCATCATCATAAGTAGCAATGCAGGTGAGACTGGAGAATAAATTAAAGCACAGATTAGTTAATTAGTTGTTTCTTTGTATTTGCAGTTCAAAAGTAGCTGTTTCTGCAGCAGTGAAATTGATTATATAATCAAGGAATTCCATCTGTTTTCAAAATTTGATTCACAGTAAATCTTTGTTGGATCCCATTGTTTATGGAGCAGTAAATGTTTTTTTTTACCTGTGGGAATGAGGGGTGGGTGAAAAAGAGAGGAGTATTAAATGGAGCATGCAGTGTTTGTATTGGCCGGCAAAAGCAGAGGTTCTGAATCCTCTTCTGTTGGGTTTGCCTTGGAATCTCTGTGCCTGTCCCTTCCTTAGGGTAGTAATTACTAGGAGAGTGACCTCAACCTTGACCCTACGCAAGGGCATGTTTCCCTCTTCCCTTTTTTTTCCCTCCTTTCTCTGTGTTATCTCCCTTTCATAATTAAACCCACTTCACGAATTGTAAAAGGTGAATTTGAATTTATTTCGCCCGTGAGGGGTAGCTGCAATCCTAAGGGTTGGAATAAGGGTCTTAGAAAAAAAAAGGCGAAACGCCTGCTCCGGACGCTCCACACCCCGATCTGACATGATTGTGAGTGAAAAAAAATCATAGTATAATCTCAGTCTGGTCTTTAGGGAGCTATTACAAGAATAGAACTTGAACACTTCCATTGCCAGGATTCGAGTCTAAGATTAATAAACTTGACATCTTCTCCTTGGACCAATTGAGCTACTCATGGCGGTAGAAATAAGGGTGTCAGAGCGTTTACAATATGAAGCATTTCCGCACATCCGCATTCCACTCACTTTCTGTCGTGTTCCAAAATCATGCAACACTATCGCCTTGAAAATCTGTGCCTTCGTTTCTTTTACAATATTCATCATTTTTAATTTAAAAGTTATATAAATTTAATACAAATATTTATTTATTTATAAAAATAGATAAGTAATAACAAATAAAATAAAATTAATAAAATTAAAATTAACAAAAATAAGTAAAATTATATGATTCCAAAATCTCGATTGGTAAATAAAAAAATTGACAACGATTGGTCATTATCATTTTTAAAATGTGGAACTGAAATTCTTAAAATTAGAATTCAGTTCTAAATCAAAACTTTATTTTGTTATTAAATAACAAAATTAAAATTGAAATCTCCAATTTCATTTCTATAATTTAAATTTCGTGTACCAAGTAGGGTCTTATGGATTTCGATAGTAGGAAATTTCATCCACGGGAATGTTCATACATGGATGTAGAAATATTATGTACGCTTCGAAGACTCAATAAAATTAAGTTTGAATGCCACAAATTGAGAAATAGTTCACACTTTTCTTTGTTTGTCAAAAAAGCATTTCACTTTCTTTTTGATAGAAAATTTTCTATGGATCATGTTAATGCTCTCTTCTTTGCATCATTTCTAATTATATATTTTCAGTTTTTTTTCTATCATTGTTATAATTTCATACATTATGAAACTTGTAGGACAAAAAGAGTATTGCTTCCTCTCTCACATGAGTATTTGTTTAGTATTTTTTGGACAATTGAGAATATTTGTCTATTTTTTTCTAATACAGAAAAATATATTAGATTAATAGTCTATTATATCTTCCATTGTAACTCTCAACCTCTATTATATTTCGATTCGAGTACTGAATATGCCATATCTATTATTCAGAATAATTCATTCCCTTGGAGATTCGATTCGTGGAAATTTGTAATTTGCAATGGGTGCATCTCCATCGCTTGGATTCAGCCGATGTCATCTTGTTGAACGCAATCGATGCAACTCAGCACGGATTAATCCGAACCAATTATAACAAAAACCAGGCAAATGCTATCTTAAATCATACTAATCGTTTAAAAAACCCAATATGACCTAGTCCTTATGCTCGCCCCTAATCCAAAACCATTTGTGCAAAATGGCGTAATTCGTGGAGTAATCTCGTGAAGTTTTCCTTTATCGCGTGGCAAATTTGTACATGTTCCGTTCAACTTATTTTTTCTAATCTGATCTGATTTTTTGTAGTTCTGATCTGATCTGATCTGGTCTGATCTGATTGGATCTGATCTGGTCTGATCTGATTGGATCTAATCTGATCTGGTCTGATCTGATTGGATCTGATCTGGTCTGATCTGATATGATCTCATCTTATTGGATCTGATCTGATTAATTATGATTTGATTTAAAATTCAAATCAATAATTTGATTTGAGTTTATAATAACGTTTGAAAATTGTAATGATAATTCATATTATAATATAATCAATATTTTTTATTTTATAATTATTTTTTAATAAAATAAAATTAGTTAATTTATATATTAAGAATAATCATTCATATTTTAATGTAATAATATTTTTTATTTTATGATTATTGTTTGTGAAATAAGAATATTGATTTAATATTTTAATAATTAGTTCATACGTAATTAGAATAAATACTTAATTTATATAAAATCAGAAGAGATAGTATTTTTATTAAAATATCTTATCCTTATAAAAGATCAAAACTTTAGAAACTCAAATTATAGGTAGCAATAAAAATGTATTTTAAAAGTAAAAAATTAAATTGACATTGTCAATGTATTTTAAAAATAATTGTTTCGACGTCTAATAATTAAGGATTAATTTCTCAGTTTTCTATTTAACTTGTTTCTAAAGTTTACTTTTTTTCATTTTTAAGAAGAAGAAGAAGAAGAAGAAGAAGAAGAAGAAGAATAAGAATAATAATAATAATAATAATAATAATAATTCTTTATGGGATCTGATCTGGTCTGGTATGGTCTGATTGGATTTGATCTGATCTGATTAGATCTGGTCTGGTCTGATCTGATTTGATTGGATCTGATCTGATTCGATCTGATCTGGTCTGATCTGATCTGATTTTAATAAGAATAAGAAAAAATAAGAAAAAATAAGTTGAACGGAACAGGGCCGTAGTCTTGGTGCACCTTTTCATGGCATGCTGAATTTATTACTCACTCCGTTTTTCCAAAAGATTGTTTGACTTTTTTGGTCAAACTGTAGCGCTCTTTGACTACGAATTAAATATAGTTTAAAATAATTAAATATTATAAAAATTTGATATTTCAAAACTATATTTTTAAATAAACTCAATTTTACTATATTCACATTATAACTAAATATACTTTTTCCACAATTCACCGTCAAAGGGTGCCACAGTTTGACAAAAAAATAAAACAGTGACAATCTTTTTAGGGACGAAGTAAAAAAGAAAAAGGATGAGGCGCCATCCGTGAGGGTCCTCAACACCGGTCGAACATTTAGCTGAGAATCAGTAAATTGAGCTACAATCTCAATAGCAAAAGGATAAAAGGCTCATATATACTTATATTCAATTACATAAATATAAAGTGCGTTAATAGAAATACTTTCACAGTGCATGTGTAAAGAATGTCCACTACCACGCCAATAAACCCTTTTTTCAAAGGCTAAAAATCTATCAAACAAAGGCCTTTCCGAAAGCACATTAAAAGCTAAACTAAAGAATCTTTAGGAATAAAAGATTAATTAAAAGTAATTAGGTGAAGTCTCGTGGGGGCTTTTTAGATTTAACACGAATTTAGTTTTTTTGCCTTAAAATAGTATCTCAAGTGATTCTATTGGTAAGTTAAAGTAGGAGTTATTGGCTTTGATTTCGAAAGCAGATACTCTGAAGATTTCTATCTTTGAATTTGTAGGGTGTTGTAATTGTTTAGGATTCCATAAAGAATTTGTCTTCACAATCTGATTTTTAAGAATAATTAACCACTTGATCCTCAAAACGCAACTAGTTTTTTTTTAATTTTGAAAAGAAAAGATGGTGTAAGAGGATTTAATTATGAGAAAAGTGCACCGTTTTACCTCTGAATTCTATGAAAATTGCATGGTTTGCCCTTGAACAATTTAAAATGTTGCGGCCCGTTGGTCCTAGAATGGTAGATAGGGAGTGCGTCGCTCCCACGCACGGGAATTGCGAGCATGATTCATATGACCCTTGTGAATTATCCAAAGTACCCTTCCCCAAAATTATTGTCTTTATTTAAATGTTCAAGGATAAATCGTACAATTTCTGAAAAATTCAAGGAGTATTTGGTATACTTTTTAATGTTTAGGAGTAAATCGTACAATTTGTGAAGAACTCAAGAGTATTTGGTGAACTTTTTAATATTCAAGGGTAAACCGTACAACATTCAAAGAATTTGGAGGTAAACAGTGCAGTTTTCTCATTTAATTATAGTGCACGGATGAAGGTTAGGGGTAGAAATCACTTTCGGATCGAACAGAGTACCATAAGCCTATAACACAACACCTAGTCTCAAAATTGCTGGAATATAGTATGGAGAAATCGTAAAGCTGCGAAATGGGGTTATCATGACGAATGTGAAGAATGAATTTGATACTCTCTCCGTTTCTTAAAACCCTTCCTCTTTCATTTTTTTTATTTTTTTAAAACACTTTCCCTTTCTATTAAAAAACCACTTTTACCCCTACCTTTTCATACTCTACCTATCACATCATACTTTTTCACTAACAACTAAACCATCACATCTTACTTTTATCCATCACATCAATGGCAAAATTGGAAAGTCAACTACAATTTAACACTTCCTTATTTTCTCCCAAAGTCAAAAGAGGAACTTTTTTGAGAAACGGAGGTAGTAGATTGAACGAATCGCTTGAGAATACATTTTCAAATTAAAGTTCTTAGGGGATACACCAAAATATTTTAATCAGATAAGACGTTAAATCAAGAATCAACACTGAAAATTCTCATTCATATAATACAAAAAACATGATCATACATAATCGCTCGCGTAAATAAGCGTCCCAACGAAGAGGTGCATGCAGTCTTAGGCTTGGATCTCGCCAGGGGCTGCTGCTATTATGATTTTGTAATATCATTGAAAGAAGTGTGTACTCCGCACCTTCTAAGTCTTTTGACATATATTCAAATACTTGTGTGATCTAAGTAAATCCAATCAGATAATATAACTCATTCCACTAAAATCACCAACAAAAATAAGCAAAGTGTTATTTTATGGAGACATCCAATAATTTGAGGTTTTATGGTTTGGTTTGTAACATTTGGATAGAGGGTCAAAAGATAGTCAAAAGAATCGAAATATTCAGTGTTCCATAAAACAGTCAGTTGATATATACTCAAATCCCTCCTTTTCCAGTCTTGTGAAGTGATACTATATTTCCATTCATCAGCAACAGAAGGGAAGGGAATCTGCTTTGTGGTTTGTCCTTTTTAAGAAACTTTTATTTCCTCAAAATGGGAGCTGTTATTTTTTTTTGAAAAAAAATGAATTTTATTTTTTTTAATTGTTTTTCTACTGCATTTTTGTCCACTTTCATTTTTACACACCATCCAATACACTTCTTTAATCCATTTTATCTTATAATTTGTACATTAAAAAATTATAGAAATTATATATTAATAATCTATATGTTAAGACAAATCAAACAAGATCACACATGACTATATTTAGGCTTACACTTTGAGAGAATTTGATGAGTCAAAGTACTTAGATAAACAGTTCCAAAAGTCAAAACTGGACAAAAAGAGTGGAACGGAGGTAGTACTATATATAAATACTACTGTGTGACAGGATAGATCAGCTGCAAAGGGTATCCCTGCATTTCACTTTCTGGGATTCTTATAATGTTCTACTTCATATGTATAGTGCATTATGGGAGTATTGTTTTTAGGAAATGACCATTTCCTGTTCTCTTTTTTTTTGGTGAAAAAAAATTGTTACGTGTTTTTACTATGGAGAACTGTTTTTAGATTTAAAAAATGGATGTTTTTTTTACATGGTGCGGTATGAATCATATCCTATTGAGTTCACAAAAATCCACTAATGTGACAACTCAAAGTAGAGTGGAAACAAATGAAATAAATCTGAACATTCTCCATGGTGTTCGCATTTAATCAGTGTATGACTACAATACAATGGCCAGTTATGATAATAATAATAATAATAATAATATGCCTTCTGCTACAAAAAACACACACACAACCATTCCCATCTTTCACCTCTAAGCCAGTTAAAACTATAATCCTTGACCGGTCGGTCTGTTGCTCAGTCACTGCCACTATCACTATCACTATCGGAAATGTATTTCCGGGCGTCAAAGGGCGAATTCTTTGAAGACGTTACGTGATCCTTACCAACATTGATTGCTTCATTCAGCGGGGCAAATGCTGCAAGCGAGCATAAGAAAGACAATCAGCAAGCAAAAGTACGTACAAATAAAAATTGATTGAATGACGACAGACAACTCACAATATGTGACTTATTCCGTCTAAAGGGCAACTTCTTTTTCAACATATTTTCAGTTCAACACATATATTATTCATATAGAAATTAAAATTAAATAAATTTACTTTCATTTCAGTTGAAAACATCTGGAGATTTAGGATAAGTATAGTTAGATAAACCTGTGTGCCTTGGTTCTTATGCCTTGATCTGTAGGTTGTGCTTTGGATCTAGTTGTTTTAGTTGGTATTTGTGTTTCTCCACTCTCTTTGCTCACACTTCATTAGTGCTATTGTGATTTGTTTGTCCGTATTTTTATTCTTAAAGTCGAGAGTATCTTGGAAACAACCTCTTTAGTCTCTACTACCAAGTAGGGGTAACGTCTGTGTGCATACACCCTCAGATTCTACATTTTGTAGGATTTGACGACATACCCTAAGTTATAGCCTTATTGTGCCCATTAACCCCATTCGGACTCCAAGCAAATAGGGAATGTAGGAGAGTACTTTTTGGCTTTGGTTGCTTCTAACATTTCAGAGAAACTTTGGAGCCAATTTCAGCAATGTATTTTATTTCTATAATACACACAACTTTATTTAGTGAAATTTTTGCAAACTGAAATCAAAACCCACGCTATGAGTTTTCTCATGGAAGATCAAAGTTACGAACTATTTAGTTATGATTAAAAAAACACTGAGGTGAACTTGAAGTGGAAAACAAAGAAAACAGCGATAGAAGAAGCTTAAAAACAGACCTCTTTCTCTCGTTCTTCTTTCCCTGTCAAACTCAAACTTGTCACGGATCAAACGAACCTTGTCCCAATTATCATCTTGCCTATTTCTAACCAAACCCTGATCCTGCCATTGGAAAGAAAAGAGTGAAGTTAAGGTCATGCAAAGCATACTCGAGAAATGAAGATGGTAAGTTAGATTTCAAAGTTCAAACCTTTATTTGTTCTGTATAAGATTTGCTTCTCCTGCAACAAAATATAAACAATTTCTAAATAAACAAAACAACACCAACCAACAGAATAAAATCTCACGAAAGTAGGGGAGAGTTTGTATGAAGACCTTATCCCTAACACAAAAATACGGACAAAGAAAACACATTAGAATGATCGAAGCAAGAGCACTAACACAGGATACACACATACCAATACTAGTTCTCCACAACTAACACAAATATACTAAATCAAATCGCAATGAGGGCCTGGAAGCTTCTCGAAAGAAATTGCAATGAATGTAATTATTAACAAAATGAGATCTTATGGAAGCGTTAATAAGCTATAAAACTAAATGGGGGGGGGGGGTATCCATCCTTAAGTTCAACCTAATAGGAAGAGTAGTCCAATGCCACAATGCCTTATATGTAGGTTTATGATTTCATATTCTGACTGATGTGGAATTACTTAATAAAAAAACTAGTGATCAAATCAGAAAAAAGATGCAAAAATGGAGGAATAAGTAGAGGGGGAACCTATAAGGAGAGAAGTCTTCATCATCATCTTCAGCAGAATCATAGTTTGCATGGTCTTGACCAAGCTTCTTAGAATAACCTTCATCCCAGTACAATCTCTCCCAATTTTCTCTCAACTCATTATATAGCTCCATATACCTTTTGCACCATGGTTCATGCTCCTGTTCATCAAACAATTGAAACCAGTCCAGCTTAAATAACCAAAAATCTCATTGCACACAAGGATCAATTCCAGATTCAAGCAGGCAGACGCAATTTCCAGTATCAAAAGCTGATTTTACTAATCATGGATAATCTGAACACAAACCAAACTGCTTGCATTGAATAAACACTACTGTTGCAGCAGTAAGATGCAATATAAATTCAACAGAAAACTGGTTTATTGATCTCCATTTTCACAGTTCAGGAAGGTATTGAATTCAATGGTATGAGTAACTTCAGCAATTGGATAGATATTCAGCATCACGACAGGAATTGAATGCGAAGAATTGAATAAACAGAGAATATCTGAAGTTAATTACAGGGAAGAGTGAGAGAACGAACGGATTCTTTGAGGACGAGGCGCGTGCGGCGCATGAACTGTTCCCGGAGTTGTTTGCGGCGCTTATTGGGGATGTTATCCCTAGGGATTACGAAGCGCTCTCTGGGAGGCACGTTTTCGCCGATCTCGTGCATTTCTCCGTCCACCACCCACCACTCGGTTCTCTCATCCACCTTTTTCAGCAGCGCCGCCGGCGAGATCTTGGAACGCCTTCGCCGGGAGGAGTGCGAGCCCGCATCGGTCTTAACGGACCGTAGTTGGAGATTAAAAACCTGCAGGCAAGGATAAGAGCTCCGAACTCTTCTAGCGATAGACAACATGAAGAACATATATGATCGGAGGTCTCTCCGGCTTCGGAGGAGAGGTCTATCTTCCGGCGATAGATCCAGCAGAAATTAGGGCAGATAGAAAAACTGCGCGCCTAAACAGAGAAAATACAAAGTGAATGCTTCCAGAAATACAAGGACCTGTCTGCAATTATCTCGCATAGGAGGAATCAAACCGTAACCGCCTAAACGGCGTCGTTCCACCCCCGTTCCCGCTCTGTTTTTTTCTTCAACTTTTGCAGAACCGCAGACGCCAATTATCCCGACGATTGAAGCCGCCGTCGTCTCCCAGAGTCGGAGAAGATAGACAGAAGCTATGTGCGGAAGAACTCGATGCACTCTCCGAGTTGATGACTATCCTCGTGCCTGTCACGTCTCCGGCCGCCGCGTCCGTCAGCTCGACTTGAACCGGTAACGAACCACCGCCACCGAAGCTTTCTAGAACTGTTATTTTAGTTTATCCTCATGTAATTGAAGGATTTTTCTAAGGCCTCTCGAGATTTTTAGGTATCGGCCGTCGTATAATGTGTCTCCCGGATTCAATGTTCCGGTTGTTCGGAGAGAAGACGGTCCAGATGACGACGGTGTTGTTCTTCACTGCATGAAATGGGGGCTGATTCCCAGTTTTACAAAGCCGAACGAAAAGCCTGACCACTATAAAATGGTAACCGCCATTGTTGTCAAACAATTGCAAAACTATACTCTGCATTTGATTAGAAAGGCTTAAAACATGGAGGAGAACCAACTTTTTTACCCTTCCCTGTTCCAAATGTTGAGGGGAAGGGTAGGAAAATTTTGGCCCATTCACCCTTGTGGGGAGGAGGACAATTGTCTCCTCCCCTCCTCTCCCCTCGGTGGCAGAGCCAGAGGGGATGGTAGGGCATGTCCCTCGGTGAAGACTACGGCGATTCTGGAAAAGGTATTCTTTGTATTTTCAATGATTCCAGTGTGGCTGGTGCCCTCCGAGAGCCCAATTTTGCCTCCGACATTGCTTCCCCTCCCCTATCCTCCAACAAAATTTATTCTAGTTTTCTGACTTGAGAAGCTTTTGAAATGCAGTTCAATGCTCGGTCTGAATCAATAAAAGAGAGGGCTTCTTTTCGCCGTCTCCTCCCTAAGAACAGGTGCCTTGTTGCAGTCGAGGGGTAAGTGCGTTCTACTTTATGCAATCTTTCTCGGTTCAGGTGCCTAATTTTCGATGTTGGTTGCAAATCTTCACAATGTCCCCTCTGTCATGAATGAATGGCGATATGCTCAGGTTTTATGAATGGAAAAAGACTGGATCCAAAAGGCAACCTTACTATATTCATTTCAAAGATGGCCGCCCACTTGTTTTTGCTGCTCTTTATGACTCTTGGAAGAATGGAGAAGGTGAGCCACCATAATTATCTTTAGGGCTATTGAGCAAAACATCCAAGTTAATTAGGTTGTTATTTTGATTGAGTGCTAGTGTGTGTGAAACTTACCTTTTGTAAGTTATGTGTTTTATGGGCATTTTTGCATATGGATGAAATGAGCATAATGTTGTGGTCACTTGAAAGCAATCTCTTGACTTCTGAGTAAGGATAAGGCCTTCCCAAACCTTACTTTTTTTTGCTAGATTTTACCGACTTTGTTACTGTTGTAAATGAACATAATGTGCGAAGAACAACTCATGTTTAGACTCCATTAATGATTGTTGGGGCTCGGTTGGCTAATTAAGTGTACTTAAATGACATTTGTCGTATGGTTCAAGCGTTAAATGAACAAAACATAAACAACGAGAAAGTCATTTGATGAAATAATGAAAGTAGCATTTGTAAGCTGCTATTTGACTATGTTCATGCAGGAGAGATTCTTCACACCTTCACTATTGTGACCACTTCTTCGTCCTCGCCCTTGGGATGGCTCCATGGTTAGTGTCTTAATCCATCCTCATATGTTCCACCTGTTTTGGCCAACCAATGCATTGTGATGATTTTTTTTTAATTGTGTTTGTGGTAGATGTGTTATCCTTTTCTTATTTTGTGGATATCTTTATGCAAATTTATTCTTTGAGGGCAATCATGAATGCCGGTTCCTCTTCTTAGAAATCGTTCGAACCAAAAAAGAAATTTAGTCTTGTTTTTACCCTCGTTGGGTGAGGTGAAGACATATTTAGTATTTTGACATAAACACTTAGTTGTTTTACCCATTCCGGAATATATTAATGGATATATTGTAGACCGGATGCCCGTGATCTTTGGCAACAAGGAGTCGTCTGACTCATGGCTGAATGGTTCTCTGTCATTCGACTTCGATGCTCTGCTAAAACCATACGAAGTAGATTTGGTAAGAGCCCTCAACAATGAACCACCTTACTTTATGGGCTCCTTTGCTGCTATATTGAACAAGTACCAATATGTTCAAATGAATAAAGTTGGAACATTTTTTTTGCAGGTTTCGTACCCCGTAACACCTGCAATGGGCAAGTCGTCATTCGATGGACCTGAATGCATTGTGGAGGTACTATTCTCCTTCTTCTTCTCTCTCTCTCTCATGGTTGCTTCGTTAACATAAACTGCAGATTCAACTCAAGGCCGAGGAGGCTAAATCGATCACTCAATTCTTCTCAAAGAAGGGAGATCAATGCACACAAGGGCAGCCTCCACAGAGGGAAGTCACACATGAAGAGCCCCCAAAGGAGCCCAAAATGATGACAAAAGATGTTGATGATGCCTGTGAAATCGATGTTTCTGCAACAACTATTATGTGCGGGAAGGAAAGCGCTGTTATTAAAGCCAAAAGAGGGCATGAGGATGAGCTCGTGGATGATGATAAAACAAGGACAATGGTTAGGAGCCCACATAAAAAGAAAGCCACAAGTTCAAGCGGCAAGCAACCTACAATATTCTCTTTCTTTAGAAAATGCTAGTGTAGATTATGCCCTAATTCACTTGTATTATGTTTATATCGAGACCCGGAGGAAAACACTAAAACTTTTGTGATGTATGTACTATTTCTCCAAGAATAGTTCTTCCAAGACATCCAATTCTCATAGAACTACTCTGGTTTGGATCTCTACCAACATCAAAAATGAACGTAATCCTCATTGGATGGATGGCTTTGTAGTGATAATTTTCAACAAATGTGACACAAATGCATTGATTCCCATAGCTCTCATGGTTAGTATTTAGATTTGGACTTGGGATTTCCATCATATAACCAATGTTTTCATAACAATCACCAACCAAAAGAGCAGAAAAGAGAAACTCCATGATGCTAACTTGCTAAGAAATAATGGATAACAATGTGCAGAAAAAGAAAACTGAAAACTGCAGAATTCAATAGCATCAAAGTTTATGATCACTACAACACCTTTTACAGTCTTTGGATTTGAACAAGGTTCCATCTTTCTCCATCAATTTGCTTCAGAATCATTTGGCACTGGTTAGGATGCCACCAAGTGTGCCCAACACCGCGAAAGCGAGAAGAGGACTGACATCCAGAGTATCGAAGATGGGGGGGATGATATTCCTGAAGAGATTCAAATACGGATCGCAAAGGTCCCTAATGGCGGATAGTGGTTGTCTTTCCCAAGGTATATTTGGGAACCAGCTGAGCAAAACCCTAACCATCAAAACCCCACTGTAAATATCCAGCCACTTCGCCATCCCTGCAGCGATCACCGTTAGCGGCGTGTTCAGAGAAGAGGTGTCCACGGAGCTCTTCGCGGCGGCGAAGAACAGGTGCGCCGCGGAGCAAGCCGGAGCCCCCCACGGCTGGAAGCTTCTCAGATGCAAGCCAAATCTGCAGGCGATGGCTTTCGACACTGCGACCGCGACCGCGAGAACTGTTGCGATTGCGCGCGTTGATCCGGTGAGTGGCGAATCGGAGGGCGGATCTTCGAAGAGAATAGGGGCGGAATTGGAAACCCTAAGCGGCGGCGGCGGCGATATAGAAGCTCTGGCGGCGAGAGCTGGGATCCGGCGACGGAGGAGATTGTGAGTTCGCGCCACAGGAAGAAAGATGGGGGAGAGATCCCGACGAGGATAATGGACCGGAGGAAGAATGGTTTGGAGAATCGAGGTTCGAGACGCCATTAGAGAAGAAGAAGCCATTGGATTCTCTGCAATTCTTCAGTCCTGACGATTCGAGGCTATGGACGATCAATCTAAACGAGACCCGCTTAAGATTTCGTAAACAAATATCCAATTTTATTTCATCACTAGATGGGCTGATGGAGTTTGGGGCGGACTTACAATTTCACAACAAAAACTTGTTGTAAGCCCATCAAAAATCAAATACTTTATTTGATTTTTTTATTTAATCCACTATTTATAGTAAAAAAAAATATTTTTTAGTTGGAAAATATTTTTACGATCGACATTAACTCCGGTACACAAGAAAGACGAGTGGAATTCAATCACAATCTTCTTTATATTTTTATTGACTAGTTGAACTATGTCACTGTGTCACAATCTTCTTCAACTTTAGAGAGGTCTGAAAGCCATTTAATGAGTTGAATGTAAGAACATATTCCACCCTTCTAGAAGACTTCATTTACGGAGTACTTAATTAAATACTCCCTCCGTCCACAAATAAATTTTACATTACGCGTTACGATGTTTGACTGAAGTTATTTTTAAATCATTTTATATAAAAAATGGTGTAGAATTGAGAAATAAAAATTACATATTAAAAAAATTATATCAAAAAATCTACAAAACTAGAGGTGACATGACTATATTATTTTATCAAGTGGGTGACGAAAATAGGCCAACAAAGTGAATAAAGTTTGACCCTGTGAATAGTGAACGTAAAGTTTATTTGTGGACGGAAGGAGTATCATTATTGGGTTTATTTTAAGTATAGATTTTTCATTCACCTCTTAAATTATCTGACTTGGTTTTTGTTAAATTCTTAGTCCCATGCATGGCTCCAATGATTCAACCGGACAGTCAATGAATAATTAATGAGTTTTGGTGGGAATGAATTAACCAGTAAAAGAGGGGGGAAAAATGGTGCAGTGGGTAAATTGGAGGTTGTTTGATTGATTTTCAGGACCCAAATCTGTACATGCTGACAAAATTAAAAGCACAAGGAAAATTCAAGGTATGTATGCTCCAGCTAAGAACTGCTATAAAAAGAAAAGAAATGTTAGTACCTGCAACTTAATTAATTGACTAAGTACAGACAATAAGTAAAAGAAATTGAAGGAAAACCTGCACCCTCCACCTAACTAAAAGTTTTGTATTAAGGGGAAGGTTTTTTTTGACATTGTTGGATTATATCATAATATCATATTGGGTAAACATGAGTTTATTGTAGGGATCAAGCGTACTCCTACCCGAACTCCGTATTAGTATGATATTGTCCGCTTTGGGTCATCAAGTCTTCAAACGGGTAGCCTCGGCCCGTTAATCGGGTAGTCTTCAAAATTGTCTTCATACATTGCATACCAAGTCAAAAGGAGTTTACTGTACGGACTGCGCGTACTCTCACCTCAACTCCGCATTAATATGATATTGTCCGCTTAGTGCTAATGGAGTTGGGTTAACTTATACATTTTGGTCACATTTCTCTGGTATCGGAGGAGTTTGCATCCCAACATGTACTAACCTCTAAATCATCATCAAGACTCGTAGTTAAGGAATGCTCACAAAACCGAACAATTGACACCGTATCAAAGAACCAACCCTTCCAAAGAAAAACATCTGCTTTTGTGGTAACAAAAATTTTTACAATGTAGTGTGACATAAACTTTTGATCCCATGAATTTCTTGCCACAATGTGGGGGGAAAAAAGAGAGCAGAAAATCTAACAAAACCTGCAATAATTAAACACACTTCTGATCTACATTAATCCCAGCAAAACTTGAAATGGTAGGGATGGCATGATGATGAAGAGCTAGCTAGCGATGGCAAAGACATTTGTAATGGTAGGGGCTGTTGATGGGGTCATTACCTTCTACTGGAACTTGTTCTGCTCTGCACTTAAACTTGCACCCTTTGCATTCGTTGTATGTGCACGTCGGCGCCACCGATCCTATCATCATCCTTCTCCCCGTCCCGTGCTCGTTCTTCTCTTTCCAATTCTCCTGGTTGATTAAACATCGTTAATAAGGAGTAAGTTCTGTTAGAATATAAAAAACATTTTCTGCATTTTTCTCCTTACCTTGGAGTGTGATTCCACTACACCATTTGAGCTCGCGGCGGTGGCGGCGCCTGAAAGGGTTTGGGAAGATACAAAAGGGTTAGTTGAAGAAGCATATAAATGGAAAAATGGGGAAAAAAAGAGGGCAAAAAATGTATAGTAGGAGAAGGGCAATATGGGAAGTGATGACCTTGAACTGCTGCATGATGATGATGATGATGGGAAGCAAAAATAAGAGGGAGGAGGAGGAGGAGGAGAATAATGGAGATGTGAGGGGTAACTTTTTTGGCCATAATATTTATAATCTTTCTTTCTTTCTTTCTTGTTTTGTTTGATTGTGTGGGAGGGCTGAACAAAAGCATGGAAAGAGATGGTGAAGAATGGTTTATGATGGCTAGGGTCACCAGGTCAGGCCTCAATGTTGAACTCATTTTTGTCATGAGCTTGAATTGGGAGTAGGTGCACACAAACTTTACTTTAGGGTCTTGTTTTGTAAGCTGATATGACATGAATTCAATTTCAAAGACTAGAAAAGTGATATAAATTCTAAAATATGAAATAAAAATATTTAGAATTTGCTAAGGTTTATTAATGATAGGTGGTTGATGTGATGGCGGACAGAGGAGGGAGGCCGAGGACTGGAGGTAGCTAAGATCGGTTTAAATATTTTATTTTATCAAATAATTTAATCAATAAATTAAAAAGGCGGAAAGGAAAAAGATACTTCCTCGGTCGTGATTAAGTGCATGTCTGTTTAACTATTCACGGTCAATGTGCTTTTTTTATACTTATTTTCGTTAATTATTTGTTAAAACTAACATAGTAGTATCACTAATTTTATAGAGAATTTAGCTCAGTTTTGTAATATATGAATTTTATTTTGAAATTTCTTATCATTATTTAGTTACCTTTGAAGTTATAGCATTTTCAAGTAAAAATAGAATTAACTTGCAATTCATTTCACTTCAATTTTTTTTGGTTAATTTCAGTTCATTTAAGTACAACTCATTATTTTCAATCGAAAAGAATCGATAACTAATAATTGCTTGAAGACGATTTTAATCTCGATCCACGATTAGGATGAAACTGCTAAATACCCATTAGAAATACTACAAAAAAATCTCAATTAGTATTGTAATTGTCTTGAATTAAACTTTAATCTGTATCCACATAATTATTAGGATAAAGACTGCACACAGGCTTTGAATAAATTTCAATAAATATTTGTAGTACCAATAGATCTCCCGACTCTAATTTTGCACGTTGTATCTTTAAATTAATTTAATTTCCACACTTAGGGTTCGTGAAGTCTTTCACAAGATATTGCATAGTATCCTTGCAAAACAAAGGAACAGTTACCTTTCATAACAAACAAAGATTTCTACTAGTAGTCGATCGAAGAACAAAAAAACCGCAAGCCAAAAAAACGGAGATGAGACCAAAGATTATTGAAACCGGAAAAACCCTCTTTGCAGAGGTAAAACCACCACTATAAAAATAGTGCAAGTACAACTTAACCGTCAAGGATTACAACATCAATCCTAGACCCACATACAATATTTTGGTACAAAAAAAACACCTAAAATATTGTATGAATAAATAAGTTGTACAACCTCTCTCATAAAAGAGCACACATGGCTAGATTTTTTTTTCTTCTTTTCTCTTGCTCGTGCCAGCCCCACCACATTTTTTTCCAAAGCCTATGCAAGGCTTTAAATATAGGAGAAAAGGCATTAAATTAAAACCCAAGCTCCCACCTAAGACAAATGAAGAGCCTCCCAAATGCAATAACACCAATCACCACATTTGTCTTTGCAAATGTTAATCCATGCACTAGACAAAAAGGAAGACTTGAAAAAACATCTAGGGCTGGACAATTTTGGGAAATAGTCCCAACATTTAAATAGTTCACATTATATTTCAAACCTTTCATTATAAAAGAAGGGAGAATAGTCAACTAGTTAAAATCGATCGAATGATCCGGTTTTGCACTTAATGAAAAGATAAAGTATTATTAGCCCATTTGGGAATAACGTTTTCAATTAACATCATCGTTTTAGATAAAATTTTAAGAGTATAAATTAACTTTGAAAACGTTAACGTTAAACACTGCTTGTAGATAATTTTTTCAAAACGCTAACGTTAACGACGATATTCTCAACTAAACAGGCCCCAATTCAAAAGCTTAGAGAAAAAAATGTGTAAATGGAGCATTGAATATTTGAATCAATCTAGATAATGGAGAGTACCAAATAATGAGTGTCTTGTAACGGAGTTGAGGGACCTCTATCTAATCTAATCCATAAATTATTGAATATTTAAATTCTACGCCTTTCATCCCTAAATTAAGTTTAGAGTTTGACTTTAGAAAAGTTACAATTGACTTTTTCCTATTGATTTGGCAGTCTGTTACAATTTGACTTTTTCCTAAATTAAGCAGATGTTTTCTATCAACGATTGGTGACAATTGTTTGGACAATATTTGTCAAAAGATCTCTCCTTTTTAATTTTTTCATTTGATTTTTCTGTGTTAAATTTGTAAATTTTGACTTTGATATAAACATTAAAACTGGAAGAAACTTTTTGATAAAATTTACTACTTTAATTTAAAGATTTCTTCAAATTTCTAAAGATAAAAAGTAATGAGAGCATTTTATTTCTCTCAATTAACTAATGAAAATGCTTAAATAAATAAAAATCACTTTACAGAGTGCTATTGTTTTTCAAATGTTAAGAACATTACATATTGATACAAGAATAATTTTATTTGATTTGTCTTGTAAAATATTTTTCAATACATTATTTCTTTAATAATACTCTCTCTGTCTCATAAAGTGTTACCCATTTTGACTAAAGTAGAAATTAAGGAAGGGATAATTTTGTGTTGACATTCCAAAAATATCCTTGATGTGATGGGTAAAAGTAGGATGTGATGTGTAGATTATTAAAAAAAAGGTATGATGTGATAGGTAGGGTTTGAAAAAGTAAGGGGTAAAAGTGGTTTTTTAATAGAAATGGGTAGAAGATTGTGGGACACAATTTTTTTGAAAGGTGTAAATCTTTTTGGCACGGAGGGAGTATATAATATGTAATTTTTACTTAAATACTCCTTCGCCCCTGAGAAGTTGTTCACTTTTGATTTTTTCGATCAAAATTCGTAAATTTTGACTTCAAATTAAATAAAAATGATAATACATAATGATACAAAAACAATTTTATTAATCCGAGAGAGAGTTTTAAGAAAAATATTGTTCTTGATTGAATGCAAAAATATACCCACAAATGTTTTTTACTTATTGATAAGCTATCGGCGCGCGCACATGGATTTCCCATGCATGCATGGTGTGATGACTATACTATACGTTATTATATCAAGCTTTATAGTTTACACTAGTTGAGAAGTAATTATTCCTTGACTCAGCTCCGCCGGCGACGGCGGTGTTGTTGATTCCCGTCCGGTCGAGAGGAAAGTAAAATGGATAAAGCTCATATCGGACATAGCAACTGCTGTATAAAACCCGGCACCCCTTCTTATTGTTGCAGAACCCGCCAGCGGCGAAGTTTTTCTCGACGGCGATGGCCAGACACTGAGCACAGTTCACCGGCGACAAGTCCCTCGTGCACTGTACCAGCGCGTACAACGTCACGAACTCCAAGAGTTGCGTCTTCCCTTTTCCGAGCCCTTTGTTCTCCGGAACGGTGGCTTGTTTACCGACATCTTCCTCCAGTTTCCCCAGGGCCTTTTTGAACTTCTCCGGCTCCGTCACGTTTTCCACGTTTGCGTATAGCGTACCAATACCGGCGTCGACGACTCCGATGAAATCCTCAGTGTCGTACCTGAATGAATAATTTATAGGCAAACTCAATACTCTAATACTCAGCTTCAACTTATTCTTATTATTTACTCTTATTAGAATCAAATCAGACTAAATCAAATCAGAAACATCGCTGAATATAACTATATTCAGACTAGGTCAGATCAGATAGATCAAGTCAGATTAGACCAGGTAAGAGAACAAGCAATGAGCATGTCTCGAAAAGATCTTTCCAAAATTTAATTAACATACCTCATGAAGCAGTACTCATACCAAATCCGGGCATCGACCCGGTCGGGGCAACGGGTTCGGATATCCAAGGACGCTTGTCGGATGCAAGAGGAACAGTCTTCCGAGCTGACGTCGCCCCTGCACTGAGCCAGCCCGTAGACTCGGCTTTTGGACTCGCCGGACGAGGCGGTGGCGAAGCCATCTCGGGAGGCGGCCGGCACCAGAACGGACAGCACTTTGGCGGTGTTTGATGATGTTTGGTTGTCTGGGTTTTGGCTGTTTGGGTTGCAATACAGTCCGGTGTAGTCTTCCGCCGGCTCCACGGCGTAGAAGCCGGTGGTGGAGAGGGTTAGGAGGAGGAGGAGAAGGTGGCTAAGGATAGCCATAGCTATGATTAATTATGGAGGAATTAGTTAGTGGAATTAATAATGTGATTGAAATGAATGATTGCCTTTAATTTGGGTGTGTATTCTTTGATGATTATATATAGGCGGTGGGGAGTATAAATAGGGAAGACATTCAATATTTAGTTTTTACATTTTTTAAATAATTTTGAGTTCAAAAATTTGACATTATATATTTATGGACATAAATAAATTAAATAATTGTAAGTTGTTTAGATTATTCAGACAATATTAGTCATTATGTATATATGTATATAAGTTTTAGTTAATGTATAATACATATTTTATTTAATTATTAGGCAAAGATTAAAAAAATTAAAACTGAATAAATGATATTTTAATTAATATTCTACTTGGTATTATTATTCCATGGCAGACATAGTTGACATAAATAAGTCAACAATTGGGACGTGCAAGTTGCTCCTAGCCTCCTCCCCGGGCTGACCTTATCACATTCACAATAATCCTTTGCTCATTGATCAATTAGTGTACGTGATTGGTATATTATTTTATCAAATCATAAATTAAATTATACATCTGTTAAATTGAACTTATCGTAAAAAACGTTACATATGGAACCACTTTTTCCAATAATATTTCACAATTCTCTCTTAGATAAGCATGGGAGCCAACTCTAATTTCTCTCCAAATGTCAAAAGTAGCTCCAATTGCTCCAAAGTCAAATGGTAGAAAGTTTCCTCATTCATGAGTACTTTTTTTTATGAAATATCAAAGGAGTATAGGCTTGGACATGAAACGGTTCCGGTCTGGTTGTAATTTTAGAACCAACGGTTTCAGTACCACCAGGCGAATGAACCTGTTTGTCGACGGTTACATTTCTAGTTTCGGTAGGAATAATGCTTTTTTAATTTTTATTTTAAAGTGTGATATATGACTAAAATATTTGTCTAAATATGGTTGCAATATGTATAATAACACTATACAAGTCTCAACAACATTTAATGTCCCAACGATTCAAAATAAAAGCGGTGAGGTAAAGCGTTGTATGAAAATCCTTGATAGAGATTATAAATCGCTCAACTAAAAAACCTAACTTACAATTATAGAAAAAGGTAAGTCTCTTGTTCGAACTACTATATCACTTTCCACCGTAGTTGGGTCTATGTAGTTTTGTGTATCGATGTCGTATATCCCGCCTCTTGTCGTCAACGTCTCACCAAGAGCTTATCTCGGTTGCAAACTAGTATCTCCAATGGTTCAGCGTTGAGGAAACTCTAGAAGTCACTCAAAATATTGCCGCTAGAATTAAACGCTTGTTCCACGACTATCGCTGGCACTCACATAGATAACACATGTTTAACTAGCATTTCCAGTGACGGGATAACATGCTAAACATAATGGAAAATGATATATATGTCTGCACCAAAAATTGTACCCCACTTAGTACCCCGAAGACATACATCAATATTTTGTGCTAGTGTGATACTTTACACTGTCACAAAATATCAGTGCAAATTTTGTTATTGAATAATCTACATTTTGTACCAGTATGAATCATTAAAATGTTAGTGTATCCATTTGGGACACACTTCGCTACATTTCTTGGTGTATCCCTAGCATGGTTGAAACATAATACCATCGTCCAGCAAGGGTCATCATCAAAAATTTGAGATTTGACTTTTTTCAAAAGAATAAATTTCCAAAATAGTCCTTTCTAGTAAGGTATTTTTCCAAATCAGCTCTCTCAATAAGTTAAATTTTAATTATCTACGTGTTCGTCTATAATTGAGATTTATTCCCTAAATAGTCATTCGTAAATAATGTTACTCAAATGATGATTTATTGGAGGGTATTTTAGTATTTTTTTACTAGCTAAATTTAAAATAAGTTATTTAACATGATCATTTCTAATGAAATTTTGTTGGCGATTTTAGTGTTATCGCTTTATTTTGCGTAATTGAATTTACTTAGATCGGACAAGAATTTAAATAGACGTTGTCAAACGAGTTAGGAGGCGCGGAGTGTGTGCTCGTTCAACGATATTATAAATTCACTGCGGGATCTGGGAGCGGCAGCCCCTGGCCGGGGTCGGACAGCTAGGAAATTTTTTATTTCGGACATTGTTTCTTTATGAACATTCTTAAGATTTTCGTGATCGGAGTCCAAAACAATAAAGGACTCGAACTAGTGGATAAACGTCGAAATACACTCTAAAACCGCAGGAAACTCTTCGTTCAAACTCGCGCCTTTCTTCTTCCCCGCACGAACGTACGAGTATGTCTACGCGAAGGTTCATGTCCGATCATGGAAAATTTCGACTCTATAAAATAGAGTCTCGTGGTATGGATTGGGAGACCGATTTTCGAGTGATTGTTCTTGATTAACATCTTATCTGATTGACGTATTTTGTATACCCCGAAATAACTTTGATCTAAAAGCGTTTCGTACGCGATTCGTTATACTATCAAGTTCGTCTTTAACATTCCTTAAACAATTCCAACAAAGTTTTTTTCCAAAATGGTTTCTTCTAATTAAAGATGAGTATTTGATACGAATTTTAAAAAGATTTTTTATGTGTTTTGAATAATTTATAGATTAAGTATAGTCAATATATTGTTTTAATTTTACATTTAATTGTATATAAATGACCATGTCAAGAATTTACTTTAAATTTAGATGATAGAAATACCAAAATATTCTTAAATTAATTATCATTTGAATAACATTATTATTTACAAAAGAATACCTATAGAAGAAATCTTTATTATAAAGAACCACGTAGGTAATTAAAACTTATTGAATACTGAATTGAGAAAAAACACATTATTACAAATGACTATTTAAAAAATTTACTACTTGCTCTGTCCCAAAATGTAAGCAATGATTACTATTTCGACTTTTCGAGAACTTTTGTTTGTTTACTCGTTTTGGTTGATCATTTGATAAAATAAAATATTTTTGTTACATATCTTTTTATAGAACTTTTGATCTATTTTTAAATGGTTTAATTTTTACATTTTATTTTTCTATCAATTTGAAAATAAAATAATTTAAAAGAGATAAAATTTTTAGACATGATTAGAAAGATTGCTTATGTTTTGGAATGAGGAGAGTATTATTTTCAAAATTCGAAACAATTAGACATCCATGACTACGGCAATTAATGCGGCAATCGCGGAGCGGAGGGTAACCCGATAAATTCACACGTCTTAGAAGTCTCATTTAGTCAATCATCAATTTTGAAGCGGACACCGTTCATTTCTCCTGCAATCCTGTCGGATTTTAATGGAGGAAGACGACGGGGAAGAGTACCTGTTCAAGATAGTCGTCGTCGGCGACTCGGCGGTGGGCAAATCGAACCTGCTATCCCGATTCGCCAGGGGCGAGTTCGACCAGAACTCCAAAGCCACCATCGGAGTCGAGTTCCAGACCCAGGTCGTGGTGGTCCAAGGCAAGGAGGTCAAGGCCCAGGTCTGGGACACCGCCGGCCAGGAGCGCTTCCGGGCCGTCACCTCCGCTTACTACAGAGGCGCCGTCGGTGCCCTAATCGTCTACGACATCACCCGCCGGACTACCTTTGACAGCATCAAACGCTGGCTTGATGAACTCGACAGTAATGCTCCCTTCCGGCCTTCCCTTGTCCATTTTTTCTTTTCATAGGCAACATTTGTTTTGGTTTCTTGAGATTTTCAAAATTTAGCTATAATTACTTGATGTTCTAGGTAGAATTCCTTGCTTATTCTGAACTAATTAACTGTATTTTTTAATGAGCTGATTCTTCAAAAGCTGATTTTGAGAATCACAATTGACCAAAGAAGAATCAAATCCAAATGAGCCCTTAATGTCCAAATTTCAAACCAAACTAGAGATCAACTAGCTAGTAGAGCTTATAGAGTTATAGGGTCATGTGTATTATTTGAATGAGGGAGTTTTAATCACTAGTGTCAATCTCACATTTCTCTAATAGTAGGTTTTAGAACATTGTGTCTAGAAAATGGATTGCAGACGACACTTACGACTTGTTTTTTTAGAAATTATGATGATGTTGGTGAAATATAATGGAGTTTTTCGTCCTACATTTGTTTAACTTGTTTGAGAGAAAGTGTTTATGAGGTAATCGTGCGTAGGCTAAGGTTGCGATTACCTCCAAATCTTCTTGTTTCGCTACATGTGAATTGGCAAAGAAGGGAGGTAGGTTATTATACTTGTGCCAGGAAGACACATGTGCCCATGGCTTTGTTATGTGCCACTCCGTATATACGGAGTATTATATAAACAAGTTACAAGTGTTAAGGTAATAAGTATAAAACCTAACTTCATTTATCTCATTATTTGCCAAATAACATTTTTATGAAACGCTACCTTCATAATGTTACTCCAAATTATCTACCTCTAGTTACCTTCATTTATTCATCTTAATTGAACTTACTTGTTTTGCATCCAACTCTGTACTAACCTTCACTTATTACCTTAGTTGGACTTAATCTGACTCTTCCCAAACATTGAATTAGATTTTTAGGTGTAGAAACTTAATGACATTGAGTCTTTATGCTTGTTTGGCAAATAGTTGTTAGAGTAGTAGTTAGCTCCTATTGGTATGGAGTTCCATGTTTTGACTTTTGACCATCTCAGTTGTTTGCTATGAAAAAGTTGTAAAATAGGTACTTTTTTTTATAGAGAAAATCTTTAAGCTACTTTGGAAAGCTGAGGGTAGGCCTTTTTGCAAAGTAACTCATTGAACCCAATAAGCTGTTCACCAAGCAACCAAAAAAAACTCATTTGGCTGCTCAAACCTCTTACAATACAAAATAACTATACACTCCCCAATTTTCTTTTTTCCCAAACATATTACTAATGGGAAGTTCTTTTGACCCTAGATCTCAAGGTCATAATTGAATATGACATCGGTCATTTTGAGGTGCCTACGGTACTCTGTTAGACCCCAAAATAGTTTTTACCCCCTAATCTCCATAGCCCGTCTCCTGCCCCTACCTCAGCCCCCTCATCCGGATGACAATCCACTATCAAATTTTGACAGTAGATTGTCACCCGGGGGGGGAGACATGCTAAGGGGGGATTAGGGGGTAGGATCTGCTTTGTGATTCAAATGGACCCAGTGTCATCTTATGACACTAGGGTCGAGTGTCAAAAGGACTGTGTTGTGTTGACAAATGGTGGCACAACTATTACTAATAATGAAAATGATGCAGCTCACTGTGACACGGCGGTTGCAAGGATGCTAGTGGGGAACAAGTGCGATC